GACTCACGTGACGCTCGTTGTCATGGTAACGTCTACACTAAGCGTAATTTTGGATCGGATTACTTGTAGTGAGCATGTAAACGGAGATTTTCATCAGATTGTTGAGTAGAGTGAGCAGATAAACACCTCAGTCTTGATCTAGAATTGAAATGGATTCAATCAGATTGGCACAAATCTTTGCATGTAAACACAGACACTGTTATCTGTAAACGTGGACAAATACAGTAGTGGAGGTCTGAATTCTGTCTGTCATTTACTGTTGGGGTAAAGGCATTTTTACTGTTCCTCACTGATTTTAGTCCTGTTCGAGTGTGCCATGTCAGTCATTTTTACAGACTGTGTTCTCCCACTTCAGTAAAGATTCTGGCATCTTTAGCTTCTACAAAACGAGGCGTAGAAATAACCTCAGCTCATATTCATGCCATTCAAATCCACCTGGCAGTAAAAACACTATCCTGTTCTGTGGGAAAGGAGTTTGTTAAGTATGGAGGCAGCCAAAAAATGTGTACTTGTGTTCTCTGTGGCTAAAATCATACCGATATGTAACGTCACTGTCCCGTCTCACATGAACAGAGCAGAAAAAGTGTGCAGTGAAGTTGACTGTTAGCTGTGAATTCCCAAGCTAATGGTGACGCTGTTGATGCACTGCAGGACAGCTGATTAGAGTAAACAGAATAACAGATCAATGAAATGTTTTAACATGTTTTCCGTCTTTTCTGGAGTAAAGGCAGGGTGTAAATGGAGTAGCCCCTCCCATCTCAGTCATGTATGCATTTCTAATCCTGTGTGAATTAACCAGAAACATGACAGACATCCTGTGGTAAACTGGTATTACTCACCTCCTCATGGAAAACTAATCTTGTCTGAATAGGACTTTAGTCCTCCACTTGCTTTTCCCTCTCTCCCTCTCTCCGCGAGCCCCTTCGCCTCCTCTCTTCTCCTCACCCTTTGTCCTCCACACGCATCAGCAGCCTCCTTTGAGAGTCTCTAGACTAGACTTGTTTGCTCGACATGCTTTGTGTCTGGACCCAAGATCCATCATAGAACCCCTGTTGCCATGGCAACATGATTGATTGATGGCTTGATTGGTTGCCATGTTTTGCAACCGGGCAGATTGAGCTTTGAGATAAACACAGTACAAACAAACAAATAAACAAACTAGCTAATGCGCAAGTGATTATGCCGCAGAGCTGGATTCGTGGATTAGCGAGCTAGCTGCTGCTTCGAAACAGCTTCGACAGCAACAAAAACTACATCCGATCTGTCCAGTTTTTGGGTGGCCATGTGGACAGTATGCTCTGATTTCTTAGGCTGGCTGTACACGGTGACACTTACATGCAGCTAGTTGCATGCTGTGAGTTGCCTGCAACATAATGTCTGTGCAACTTGACAGTCACATGAAGCAATTCAACAACAATCATTATTGCAGGCACTGCATTCAGTTACTCCACTAGTTATGCAAATTAACATCTTATATTTCTGATAAAAAAAGTATCATTCTCACTATTAAGTCATCCATGAGGTGCAATTTGTGTATTTGCAGTATTTTTACAGTGGTGCTTGAAAGTTTGTGAACCCTTTAGAGTTTTCTATATCTCTGCATAAATTTGATCTAAAGCTTCATCAAATTTTCAAGTCCTAAAAGTAGATAAAAAGAACCAAATTAAACAAATGAGACAAAAATATTAGACTTGGTCATTTATTTACTGAGGGAAATGATCCAATATTACAGATCTGTGAGTGGTAAATGTATGTGAACCTTTGCTTTCAGTATCTGGCATGACCCCCTTGCGCAGCAGTAACTGCAACTAAACGTTTTCCAGTAATTGTTGATTAGTCCTGCACATCGGCTTGGTGGAGTTTTAGCCTGTTCCTGTGTACAAAACAGCTTCAGGTCTGTTATGTTGGTGGGTTTCCTCCCACTGCTTGCTTCAGGTCCTTTCCAACATTTCTATAGGATTAAGGTCAGGACTTTGACTTGGCCTCTGATACAAACCATGATACTACCACCGCCATGTTTCGCAGATAGGTTAATGTTTAATTAGCTGTCACAGTTGTGCTTGTTGTACTCAGTCTGTCCTCGAAGCACAACAAGTTGATCAAAGGCTGCATCTCGGTTGCTGCTGTAATAATTGTCATCCTTTGGATCCCAAGTGAATCTGAGCTCTATGTAAAATTCATGACCGGTGTGTCCCTAACTGTGATATGACCGCTTTATTGATACAAAAGAACACAAATTGTGGGCGACGCGGGGTAGATCAGGTGAGAGTTAGAGTTTCGGTCCAGTTCACTGCTTCAGGCTCAATATTATGCTCTGAAGTCATCTTAAATTAAATAGAAGCTCAGTTTGTTTGAGCTCAAACTGCTCCCACAAACTCTGCCTTGAATAAATATTAGTTTATGAATGTTCCTTTGTGTTGAGCCATTGATTTACATTCAACTGGATCCTAGAAAAGGCTTATTCTTCCATGCGTTCCTTTTAAAAACATGAAACCTTAATAAATCATACGGTTTTATTGTTTTCTCTCTTTAATCATTTTTCCCTCTGCTTCAGAAGAAAAGTATGCAGAAAAAAAGGCCGGAGGTCTTTGTGGGTGAACAGTGCGAGTGAGGTGGTGCTGAATTATGAGCATTACGTTGATTATTTATGCTTCAGTCGTATAATTCTTGCAAGGATACATCACTGCGGGTAGCATCATTACTGAAGATGAGCTGAGCATGACAGTGCTGTCATGGATTTGTCTCCTGAATGAACGGATGGATTGGTGCGTGGATGGATAGACGCCTCATGGCTGTGTGGCTGTAAGCGTAACTTGGTAGCTGCATGGATGCGTATAAAACACAGTCAATACTGATGACCTGCAGTTATTAATACTAGTGAAAATATTGCCGGCAGTAAATCATTAATTACTGACTTCTTTGGTCGCCGCATGGCCAGGATTTGAACCCAAGACTTACTGAAGATATAAAGAATAAAACCTTAGATGATTGAGTCAGCTCCTGTTTAACTGCAGAACGTTAATAAATAATAAAGTAATACAGGCTGAACTGGAGAACACAAAACACTGTCACGCTTAAAATAACAATAACATGTAAAATGTATCCAAACCTACCATAAAACCTTTTCTATGAAGAGAACTGATGAATACGAGGAAACATAAGGCCTCCACCTCTAGTGCTACAATGTGTATAGAACTTAAAGGGCCTATATCATGCATTTTTCTTATATTTTATTTTTTGAGTTTCACTTATAATATTTGCGTGGACATAATTTGATTTCTACATGACGTTTTCCCAACCACTCTTTATTCCTTACCCTGTGTTCACACCGGCAGCAACACGACGCGACAAAGCAGCTGGAGGTCATTCATTTTCAATGAGACCTGGCGATTTCCGGCGACAGGAGGCGGCGCGAACGTTGGTGACGTGCAGTGGGTGGAGTCAGGGATACAACAAAGTTGAGCATAGTTTAACTTTGTACAAATGAGAGCGAAGCGACATGGAGAGCATTCAGCAGCGTAGTACGCACTTTGACTCAGCCACTGTGTAACAGTACGCTCCATTTTTGGTTCCTATATAATTGTTCCTGCTAGAGATGGAATAATGGAGGCGTTGCGTTCGTCGCAAATAGACAGTAATCGCAAAGACCAAATACCGTTTTCCTCACATACTGACTGAACAGACACAGGGATTAAATAAGCACACAAGCTTCTCAGCAGGATGTTTATTTTTAGCAGGTATACATCTGATTTGTGCTTGGCATCAGTGAAACCATGGCAAACAACGGTCAGTTCGAGTTCAGAAATGCCCACAGACGATGAGCGACCAGCGATTTGGACGACAAGAGGCGCAAAGTTGCTGCTGGTGTGAATGTAGGGTTAGAATTAAACAGACTGTTTATGTTACTGTTTCTTTAAGACTGATACATATGTGCAGCATGTCATGTGCTACCCTGGGCTCATAAAGGACACTGGAGACAGGAGAAACGTCTGCAGCTGCCACTTTAACTTTATTTTCACACCAACTAATGAAACCAAACCAAAGCTGGCCATTTTTCAGTGGCTTCACAGTTAGACTTCAGTCCTTCTCTCAAAGTTGAGCATTCCAGCTCTTCAGTCTGTCACTGCTGCTGTTCGTCGTCCCTCCTCCTCCTCCTCCTCCTCCTCCTCCTCCTCCTCCTCTCCTCTCTCCTCCTCCTCCTCTCTCTCTCTCTCTCTCTCTCTCTCTCTCTCTCTCTCTCTCTCTCTCTCTCTGTTCCTTCTCTGCTCTTCTAAAGGTGCTCAGATCACCAGATCAGCATCAGCTGGCTCTCATTAAGGGCAGAGTGAGCCCCTGAGCTGAGAGGGAAAGAGAGCTCATTGCCTCCCCCTCACCAACCCCTGCTCCCCAGCTTGGCCATCAGGATCAAACGTGAGGCATAATCTAGCTGCCTCGCTGCGGAACAGGAGGCGTGTGCCGCCTACATGCCTCTCATGGCTGTTGTCATTGTCCTGCCCTCTCGTGCAGCTGACATCCTCCTCCCGCTGTCACTCGCGGCTCTTAGCGCACGAGGCTTGGACACAGCCTTCCCGCCCTCTCTCGCGGCCGCCGTCGGTGCCTGTGGGTCAGGTGACAGCCACAATATGTAAATGAGCTTTGTTCTGATTGGCTGCCCAGTATTGTGCCTCATTCAAAAAAGACTTGTGGCTGAAACACTCCTGATAACGTAAAAGTGTTTTTGTGACATCACAGAAAACGGCTGTTTTTGCATATCCATATTTCCAGATATGGACAGGGTAGTGAATATATATGGTTTGCAATTTTAACATTAAGTGAATATTTATGAATGTGAAAAGCTCACGGCTAATGGGCTCAAACTGCAACAGCGACTTCGTAAAACCCTGCACGAACTTTTTTTTTTCATCTTGCAGTTTTTTTAGTTACATGTAATATTCCTGTGCACCCCTAATATATTCATACATACTAGTTCGTTCACCTTTCACCTCTGACCTCTTTTCTAGGCTGTGGTGACCTGTGTGCCCCCATCGCTGTGTGCCGGCCCCTGGATGTCACGCTCAACAGCAGCTCCCCGTCCACTTCTGGAGCTCAGTCCTGCCCTGTGCTGCAGCAATGGTGTCCCTACTTGTCCTCCTGCCTGCCCCTCAGAAGCCCCTGCCCGCCGGACTCTTGCCCAAACTGCTCCGGGGTGGACCCCCTGCCCCCTGCAACCGTGCGTCCACGCTACCGCCTGCTCGCGGAGGTCCTATTCACACTGCCCCCCGGACCCTCCACACATGCACTGGTGAGCTGCAGCTCTGTCTGACTGTGAAAGTGTATAATCTGCTAGCTGCCATGGCTACTCCATAAAATCAAAATGTAAAAAATGATCAAATTTGGATTCTCCGGCTGCTCTCTCTTATCAAACGCGCTTTATTGTATACATTTTTGACATTCTTTGTGGGCAAGCAAGCAAGTTTTCACAGCAGGAGGTTCTAATCCCTTCTCTGTCACCCCTCATTGCTCGCTAGCAGCTCAACACAGTCACAGTGTCCTAGTTAATCTGATAACAGAGTTACAGTGGAAGATATTTTATTAGATATTATTAATTCAAAATATCTGAGTCAGTTTCCGTTCTGGCAGCCGTTCGGGGGCCTGCAGAAAGAGAAAACAAAATTCTCTATCTAATCCTCTATCAACGGATAACAACGTCTGCCCCCCAAACCCAAATCTGTCCAATTCAGCCTAATCACAGGCTGCGTTTACCTGCAAAGAATTTTGTTGACCCGATTGAATACATTCAGATTATAGATGAAGACTGAGGTGTTTATCTGCTCACTCAACTCAACAATCTGATGGAAAATCTCAGTTTACATGCTCACTATAAGTAATCCGATCCAAACTGACGCACATGCGTAGAGAACCACTCAGTGTAGACATTACCATGACAACAAGCATCACGTGAGTCCAGTCAGAGTGAGATGAGCAGCAGTGAGCAGCGCTTGTGTTTTTAATTACTTTAAAATGATGTCAGACTCAGGAAAACGTCCTTCACATACATTTAATAAAGAAGGCAGAGAGGAAGACATTGTGTCGCTATGATGCGATGCACATGAACAGAACACATTTAAACTTTCCGATTGGGAATGTAATCAGATACAGGCGTTTATATGGTTATTATTCTTCTATTTAAAGGATTATTTACAGGATTACCCACCTCGTTCAATCAGATATTCATCAGAAATTATATTCCGAATGGCCTAGTCTATTTCGATTGAGGTGTTTACGTGGACATATTTTATTCCGATTGAGCTATTAGTCAGATTATTAACAGATTATCAGGCTGCATGTAAACATGGCTACTGTCATGCCAGTGCAAATGCAGCAGAACGGTTAAATATTTGTAAAGAAAATAATTCTTCAGTAGATCTGGAAGTTTCTATGAGCTTCTAGGATGCTCGGACATTTTAGATGTCTGTTTATTAAGCATCTGCCACTGGGTTTTCGTATAAAACCTTGACTGAGTCCTAATTGAACAGTAGATAACTCTCCTTTTACTAAATTTGGCTGCACCACAAATCCTTTAGTCAGGCCTTAACTTACTACTGTGCACGTCGCTTTAACATGATGATAACATGTTCAAATCCAATCTATAAACCTGCTACCATGGAAACACAACAGCAGCTTGCGCTGACTTTTTCCATGGAGAAATATCAAGTATAAAAGAGAACATTGTGTACAAGTTGAACTGAGTACTTGTAGCCATTGTCTGAATTAGTTCATATTTCTTTGCAACAACCAAATATGCAGCTTTTTTAAATGAGGGTTTCTGGCCAACAGACACAGCAGCAGCATCAGTTTAGATGTTTGAGCAGCTGCTGAGTCTCACTGAGCTGGAGCTGTGGGTGCTCAGCTTCATGTTCAGAGCTAAAACCAGGGCAATGATTAGAGCTGTGAGTAAAATCACAGCGTATAGCATTTAGTGTTTTTAGCTTAGGCATGGTTTTAGTCTTCTTCGTGCTTTCTAAATGGTTTCTGTTGGTTTCCCCAACACTTACACCTGCTTAGGGGGAGGTGTAAACATTTAGTAGATACTAAGCTTAATGTTAAAACTAGTTTCGGTGGTGCAACTCGTTTTGATTTAGTAATAAAATAAAAAGTAAACTTAGGTCCAATACCATTTCTTATTTTCACCCCTCCCTCTTGTTTTTTCTTGTTTTGAGCATCACTTTGCCCCTTGGAACTGAGTTACTTGGGGTAGTGGTTGAAATCTTCCCTCTGAAATGAGACCCTCAAATAAAGGACATTACTTCATTAATAGCTACCAGCGCTGCTCTGTAGGTGACCCTGCCAGTCTGCAGTGACAGCAGAGGAGGGTAAAGTTCAGCTCCTCACTGCTGGGCTTTAGTTACATTTAGGGAATCATATGCTTTTAAAGAGGGGGCAATTATTTATTATCACCCACCCCTAATTCTTCAGTGATATGAAGCTGAAGTTGGCTATTCGCCAGCGTCTCATTCAGATTTTCCTGTTCCACCTTAAAGCAGGAGCAGCAGTTACATTCTGCCGCTTCAGGCGTCAGAACTGCTAGACTATTTAAGGTGGAAAGAAAAGTTAAGCTAGCTAGCTACCGAGACATTAGCATGCTATTAGCGATATTTTGTGCTTGTTATGAAGAAACAACCATAATACACTGAAACGACATTAAGATAATACAATGCTTATCATCATTTTTAACAGAGAAAATTCTCACATTTGTGGGTTTCTTTGGTCGCTCGTTCAGCCGTCTGGCCAGTTTTCTTTTTCTCTCATATCACTCTGTTTGGAGTGTGTATCTGAAAATCCTCCGTTTGGAGGGCCATGTAGCCCTAACACTTCACCCTCCCCCTCTATCTCCACAAAAATCGGGACACCCTACCCCCAGACGTGAACATGCAAAACGGAGGGGTAAGGGGTAAGGGGTGAGAAGGGGTTGGGCCCTGCGTTTGAGCTTTAGTACAGCTGCTGCAGCCGACGCCTTTTGCTTTCAGCTGGTTTAGAATTCTGCAGTCCTGATTGAAACATTCCTCCGTTGTTCTGATTCTAAATGTTCTACTTTGTTCCCTGAAGAACCCTCATATGTTCTCTTCCGCTAAACTGTAACTGAGCAGAAGAGAGCATGAATAGGAAACATTGGTGCTTTTCAGCACAATATAATCCTTCCAGAAATTGCATTTCATTTTCAGTCTGGTGTTAATTACCACCCCTGACCCACCCACTGTTTATAACAGTGTTATGCTAAAGTACTAAATAATCCATTTGGGAAGTGGGATAATCATATACAGCGTGTAAAACGCTGCTGCTGTTTACTTTAAGGCAGAAATGTAGCAGTTAGTGGAGGTATGTGAATTGGAAAGTGAAGAACTGTTTTCAGCTTATTGCATTTGAGGTTATTGTAGTTTTTTCTTGGAATACATTTGACTCTAGCAGTACAGTGAATGAATGAAACATATCAAACCATATATGCTGTTGACTTGAAAGATTCTTCAACATTAACATTAGTCTCATTGGTAAGTTCACTTTTCTGGATTGCAGTATTTTAGCTAAGGCTTTCGTGCAACTAGTTGTATGAGTTGTATAAATCGCCTGCAACATGATTTCTGTGCAGCTTGACAGTCACACGAAGCAATTCAGAAACAAAGTTGCATGCAACACATTCAGTTACGTCACTAAACCAAAGTAGCAGCTCGTGTTTTTTTATTCATTAGCATAGAGCTCTTTATTATATATTTGAGTTTTCTTATCTGTTGTTTGTATGTTAATTTTGAAAATGAATATTTAAGTATCCATTATGGTTGTAGCCTCCTTGATGTCTCACTCATTCTTTTCTGGAAGTTCACTGAAGATCTCGGTTTCCACGTCTGTAATAAATTTCATCATTTGAATTCCAAATGAATCTGACCTCTGTGTAAAATGAGGAGACATCAAGAGAGGAGACAATGAGTCTAGCTTCCAATCTTGAGTCAGTTAGGGTGGGGTGAGGGGTCTCCTTTTCAACCACCCAATAAACCACCTTCTGTTTAATTCTCTTGTCTACAATCAACGGTTTAAACGTATTGCATGATGTGTAATCAGTTTTATGATTGGCTGTTTCATGAAACTTGCTTCACGTTGTAGAGATGCTTGCAACGGCTCCAAGTTGCAAATTAGTTGCAAGATGCTTTACATTATACAGCTCAATTGCAGGTTAGGGTCTCTTTGTTTAGACCACTACAGTCAACTATAGAGTATCTACAAATCTTCAAATTGTTACCAAACTATCTGTTGAAACTCAGTTGATTCTAAACAGTGGTGGGGTTAGCGTTTGGATTTGGACCAGGGTTAGGGCTAGGACCAGAGTAAGGGTTGGGTTTAGGTTTTTGGTGGAGGTTAAAGCTAGGGTTAGGATTAGAGCTAGGTTTAGAGTTAAAGAAAATCATGGTCAGTTTAGTAGGTATTTAGTTGAATGTAACTTGAAAGTAAGTTAAGTATCTACAAAGCATCCAAAGTGGACCATCCAAACAAAGTGTTACCCAATTCAGTTTTGTGTAGGTTTCAAGCAACTTAAGTTGCATTAAAAGTGTAAAGCCAGCCTAATAATTGGATTGTCAAAAGATTAAAATAATGAATCATGAGACTGCAGTTGCAGATCATTAAAATCATGCCATTAAAGGTGCTGAAATGAAACAACTTTTTAAAAATATACATATGTTAAATGGTTTCTTATGTAAAAACGTATGTAAATAAAGTTACAGTAATGTTTCTGAGTAATTTTTGGAGGTGAAGAAAGTCAGTGAGTCAGTAGGCAGTGCCAGGTGGTTTTTAGACCTGAACTAATAAAATCGATTCCCGGGTGCTTTCCTTAACTGTGTTTTGTAACTGTAAACTCTAATTTCCACTTCTCCATTCTTTCCTGCTCTTGCTGCACTGACCCATGTGATTTCCACTCAGGTCCAGAAGGAGCTAGAAGACCTGCTGGTTGCCCCGGGTGACTTCATCGCCCTCCAGCACGATGCTGGGCCCTCCGGTCTACTAAGCTGCTCTCCTGACCCTTCGTCGCCATGGAAACAGAGCTTCCTGGTCCTGAACCGCTCCGATTGGCTGCACGCTAATGAAACTCTGGAGGCGGGCGGAGATGGAGAGTGGGTGGAGGAGTCCGTGTGCCAGATTAGGGTGCTATATGTGGGGCAGAATGAAACCAAACTGCAGGGTCCATTTCTCAAGTCTGGGCTGCCCCAGCCTGGCAACTACAGCCTGGAAGTGACACTGGACGATCCTGACTTTCCTGTGAACGCTTCCTGTCCCATTCACGTCATCCCACCTTTGGGCCTCACCGTGGTCCATCCGGCCAATCAAAATGGGACGGTCTACTTTCTACCCAATCAGACGTCAGTCCTGGTCAAAGTACGCTCTGAACACAGTGCTGTGACTGGCTGGCAGGGCACCAATAAGACCGAGCCGTTCCAGCACTCATGCCCACCGGCACTGGTCCCCAAAGTGCCAGAATGTAGAACACCCGACCCAAACAACGACACCCTCTTCGCCTGGCTGGATCTTCAGCTGGGCTCCACCCCCGGGCAGACCAGCGTGGTGCTGCATGCCCAGAGCGAGGTGACTGAGGCTAGGCTGGAGATTCAGGCGAAGGTGGAGGAGCCGCTGCGAGGCCTACTCGTCCAGCCCCATCCCAGCCAAAGGGTGCTGATGGAGTCTGTAGTGGTAAGATGACCAGAGATGGTCTTATCTCTTCAGTACCCTGCGAAACAGTATTTGTTATAGTAGCAGTGGGCAGCATACCAGTTCATCTGTATGGGTCAAAAAGGTTCCTCTGGTATGAGGTAAAGCACAAATCAGTGCAAACGATGCAACATACAAACAGTGCAGACCACACTAACACTATCCCATGTTGCTGAGTCGCTGAGTCAGGGATGTTTCAGTCCTGTTTCAAACGAAAAGGAAACACAGCAGATCTTCAGTCACCTCCAGCTGTCTAGTCTGTTTCATCTGAAGTAGTTCACTTTGTTTTCGAGACAGCAGACAAAAAGGAATGACCGGTCTTTTGGGGTTACAGTATCCTAACACATAACCTAACGTAGACACCAGGCCAGTGAGGCCTGGCTGAGGAGCTGCCTGACTCATCAAACAAGCCGTGGACCAGCTGTGTTTGAAGGCACATGTGGAAATCAACACTATATGTATATACACACATACACACACACACACACACATTTTCTAAACTGTTTATCCTTGTGGGTTGCAGTGTGTGTGTGTGTGTGTGTGTGTGTGTGTGTGTGTGTGTGTGTGTGTATACACAGTGGTGTGAAAAAGTGTTTGCCCCTTCCTGATTTCTTACTCTTTTGCATGTTTGTCACACTTAAATGTTTCAGATCACCAAACAAATTTAAATATTAGACAAAGATAACACAAATAAACACAAAATGCAGTTTATAAATGAAGGTCTTTATTATTAAGGGAAAAAGAAATCCAAACCTACAGGGCCCTGTGTGAAAAAGTGATTGCCCCTAAACCTATTAACTGGTTGGGCCACCCTTAGCAGCAACAACTGCAATCAAGCATTTGCGATAACTGACAATGAGTTTTTTACAGCGCTGTGGAGAAATTTTGGCCCACTCATCTCTGGCCCACATTGGAGGGTTTCCGAGCATGAACCGCCTTTTTAAGGTCATGCCACAGCATCTCAATCGGATTCAGGTCAGGACTTTGACTAGGCCACTCCAAAGTGTTAATTTTGTTTTTCTTAAGCCATTCAGAGGTGGACTTGCTGGTGTGTTTTGGATCATTGTTGCAGAACCCAAGTGTGCTTCAGCTTGAAGCACACAGATGGCCAGAGGTTCTCCTTCAGGATTTTTTGGTAGACAGCAGAATTCATGGTTCCATTTACCACAGCAAGTCTTCCAGGTCCTGAAGCAGCAAAACAGCCCCAGACCATCACACTACCACCACAATATTTTACGGTTGGTATGATGTTCCTTTTCTGAAATGCTGTATTACTTCTACGCCAGATGTAATGGGACATATACCTTCCAAAAAGTTCAACTTTTGTCTCGTCAGTCCACAGAGTATTCTCCCAAAACACTTGGGGATCATCAAGATGGTTTCTGGCAAAACTGAGACGAGCCTTTATGTTCTTTTTGCTCAGCAGTGGTTTTCGTCTTGGGGGTCTGCCATGCCGGCCATTTTTGCCCAGTCTCTTTCTTAAGGTGGAGTCATGAACACTGACCTTAACTGAGGCAAGTGAGGCCTGCAGTTCTTTGGATGTTGTTGTGGGGTCTTTTGTGACCTCTTGGATGAGTCGTCGCTGCGCTCTTGGGGTAATTTTGGTTGGCCGGCCACTCCTGGGAAGGTTCCATGTTTTCGCCATTTGTGGATAATGGCTCTCACTGTGGTTCGTTGGAGTCCCAAAGCTTTAGAAATGGCTTTATGGATCTCAATTTCTTTGTTTCTCATTTGTTCCTGAATTTCTTTGGATTGCAGCATGATGTCTAGCTTTTGAGGATCTTTTGGTCTACTTGACTTTGTCAGGCAGGTCCTATTTAAGTGATTTCTTGATTGAGAACAGGTGTGTCAGTAATCAGGCCTGGGTGTGGCTAGGGAAATTGAACTCAGCTTTCCAAAGATGTGATAAACCAGTTAATTTATGGGGGGCAATCACTTTTTCACACAGGGCCCTGTAGGTTTGGATTTCTTTTTCCCTTAATAATAAAGACCTTCGTTTATAAACTGCATTTTGTGTTTATTTGTGTTATCTTTGTCTAATATTTAAATTTGTTTGGTGATCTGAAACATTTAAGTGTGACAAACATGCAAAAGAATAAGAAATCAGGAAGGGGCAAACACTTTTTCACACCACTGTATGTGTGTATATATTTATATATATATATGTATGGTCAGGACCCCCATGGACCCTCACAGAGCAGGTACTATTTGGGTGGTGGATCATTCTCAGCACTGCAGTAACACTGATGTGGTGGTGGTGTGTTAGTGTGTGTTGTGCTGGTCTGAGTGGATCAGACACAGCAGTGCTGCTGGAGTTTTTAAACACCTCAGTGTCGCTGCTGGACTGAGAATAGTCCACCAACCAAAAATATCCAGCCAACAGAATCCTGTGGGCAGCGTCCTGTGAGCACTGATGAAGGACTAGAGGATGACCAACACAAACTGAGCAGCAGCAGATGAGCTATCGTCTCTGACTTTACATCTACAAGGTGGACCGACAAGGTAGGAGTGTCTAATAGAGTGGAGAATGATCCACCACCCAAATAGTACCTGCTCTGTGAGGGGCCATGGGGGTCCTGTCCACTGAAGAACAGGGTAAAAGGGGGCTAACAAAGTCTGCAGAGAAACAGATGTACTACAGTCTGTAACTGTAGAACTACAAAGTGCTCCTGTATAGTAAGTGGAGCTGATAAAATGGACAATGAGCGTAGAAAACATTTATATATATATATATACATATGGTGATATGTACTGAATCAGAATAATTAAATTTTATTGTCATCTAAATTTTTGGCCACAGCTGTAGGTTATACAGCTGTTTCCCAATTCCGGTCCTTGACCGCCAATACCCTTCACAGTTTTAGGTTCAGTTTTCTAGGAATGTACCAATATGGAATTTTGTGGCCAAGCTCTTCAGCATGGGGATCTTTATCCATCAGTTGGTTAGATGCTTCAATGGACTGCTCATCATGTTTACAGCGCTTGCTCTTTACTGGTCAGATTTAAAGTGCGGTCACTGAAAAACAAAATGAAACCAGACCACTAAGTGGAAATTGAATGTTTGAGCTTTCGTTCGGTGACGCAAGTGACAGTTGCCCAAACTGAGTCTCCTGTTTTTTCCAGACTTGCAGACATGCTGACTGAAAATGTGCATTGCAAGTAGGTCCAAAGGGTCAAAGGGCTGTCTGATCCTGCCACTCGTCTAGGCTGTTAGAGGAAATAATGCAGACTTTTATTGAATGCAGAGCTTCCAGAAACACAGCCTTAAGCAGAATTTGCTTGTGGCATTCCCTACATTTATACACAATGTGATGACATAAACAAAATAAATAAATAAATAAATAAAACAAAACAAAAAATAAGACAGACAAAGATTATTTTCCAGTGTAACAAATAATTACCATATTTTCAAGTGAGTTAAGTCTCGAGTTAAGTCTCAAATTTAGGTGTAGTCACATTATTAGCTGCAGGCATTGCATTGTACAAAAGTGAACCCCAATTAAATGCCTGTCAGCTTCCACATAACATCAAATAATGAGCCTTACATCATAAAAAACTTTGTCAGGGCAAAGCTGAAGCGCTACATGCAACAAACGCAGTGCTTAAAGTAAAAGGAAAAGCTTGAAACGGTTAGTCTTTAGTTTGTATAGCAGGTGTGCCAGCTAGCATAATAGTTAATCATTAAAGGATCTATACTACTTACTAAAACTTCAGCTAGATTAGCTACTAACAAGTAACCGATTTACACACATAAGGTTGGCGGTCCTACTTTAATCAGTCATATGTGCTGAGTTGCGAGTCAGTCAGCATGCAACTTGAGTGTGACTTGAGACTTGAGACTCCCCATCGCTAGTAATCAGTACAATTCATGTGCAGATGAGCAGTTGATACTGTGTCAGTATCAACCATGGAAGCGCTTCATACACCCATACAGCCCTGCGGCCTCGTGGATCAAATGTGATGATGTTGAGCGCTTCAGGGAACGTTACAGAACGCTGTAAGTCTGTGAGACTGGAGTCCAGGGTCCGGAGTGTGGAGATCTAGATGGAATGTTTGGACCAGTCCCAGTCAGGAGGTCTCACAACACTCTCGTTGGGAGTTCTATTTAGAGGCAAACTGTGCCGTGAAATTAAACCACCATGCCCGAGCCTGTTTCCCGAAGAAGACGTCTCTTTTGCTTTGAAATGTCTTTCGTTTGAAATGTACTCGCGTGTTTCTGTGAAGTATTCTGCCATGTTGTTTTTCTGTGATCACTCACGCACAACGTCTTAAGCGAATTTTGACCTTGTAAGTTTTCCCTTTACCTTAAACAAGAGATTAAGTGGAAAGTGAAAAATGCCATAATTGTGAATTGCATTTTAAAACCTGCATGTAAGTTTCAACACTTTTGACAAACTTTAAATATAAAATTACAGCTTTAAATGTACACCAGTCAGGCAACATTATGATCACCTCCTTGTTTCTGCGCTCATTGTCCATTTTATCAGCTCCACTTACTATATAGGAGCACTTTGTAGTTCTACAGTTACAGACTGTAGTCCATCTGTTTCTCTGCATACTTTGTTAGCCCCCTTTTACCCTGTTCTTCAGTGGTCAGGACCCCCATGGACCCTCACACCCTATTTGGGTGGTGGGTCATTCTCAGCACTGTAGTGACACTGACGTGGTGGTGGTTTGTTAGTGTGTGTTGTGCTGGTACGAGTGGATCAGACACAGCAGCACTGCTGAGTTTTTAAACACTGTGTCCACTCACTGTCCACTCTATTAGACACTCCTACCTTGTCAGTCCACCTTGTAGATGTAAGGTCAGAGACGATAGCTCATCTGCTGCTGCACAGTTTGTGTTGGTCATCCTCTAGTCCTTCATCAGTGGTCACAGGACGCCATATTTTTGGTTGGTGGACTATTCTCAGTCCAGCAGTGACAGTGAGGTGTTTAAAAACTCCAGCAGCACTGCTGTGTCTGATCCACTCAGACCAGCACAACACACACTAACACACCACCATCACATCAGTGTTACTGCAGTGCTGAGAATGATCCACCACCCAAATAGTACTTGCTCTGTGAGGGGCCATGGGGGTCCTGACCACTGAAGAACAGGGTAAAAGGGGGCTAACAAAGTATGCAGAGAAACAGATGGACTACAGTCTGTAACTGTAGAACTACAAAGTGCACCTATATAGTAAGTGGAGCTGATAAAATGGACAATGAGTGTAGAAACAAGGAGGTGGACATAATGTTATGCCTGATCAGCGTATCTCTTAAGCATTTGATGAATACTTAAGATGTTTTATGCAGGCAGCCGTTCTCCACTTGGAGACCTGATTGTGCCATCATTTTAACTCAGCCACTTTCATAGACAAAGAAACAGAATTCTAACATTTTTTCAATGCTAGTATTGACTTGGCACTAAAGTACAGATATTTTTGGTATTACTGATGTGTAGAATCGAACACTAAATAATGAATATTTTACTCTTTCTGATATGTACAGGGGTTTTATGTCTCATATCCTAATGCCGTACCATTATATAGAACAATGAGGCTGACTTTACATCAGAACTGTGACTCTGAGGTGGTTGACCAGATGATTACGGTTCTCCTTTATAAAGTTCATGTTCATTAATGTTCTCAGAGGTGTTTCTCAGTGTCGCACAGTTTCTTTTTCTGTGACATCCTGCTGACTGCCCTTCCACTCCTCATGTTCTTCGTCTGTAGTGCTGCTCATTACCTTTCTCCCTCTTGACATTCTTCTAGCGCTGATGTTCAGTGCCCTTTTTATCCTGGCTGCTTCTAATTATCTGTCCACTCGCTGCATGTATTTGATCAGACGCTAATCTTTTTCTCTTTACTCAGTTCAGACCTTATGTTTTTCTGCTTTGTTCTTCTCTTTCATTTATTGCTTAAAAAAACTATCAATATCTATCTTTCTTACAAAGTGTCTCTTTCTCTCTCTTTCAGAGCTACAAGGCATCTGTAGAAGGAGGAACTGACCCCTCTTTCCGGTGGACAGTGGACGATAAGCCGTACTTCACCTATTACAACACCGTGCTCAACATCATCTACCAGAATGCTGCTGTCTACAAACTCACAGTAAGCCTCATTCCGCCAGTGGAATGGACATCGACTCAGATACATTTAATGAACGTAATCTATTCTAATCGTAATATTTCCCCCGTAACTCTGTTATCAGATTAACTAGTGTACTGTTGTCTGTGTGTGTGTGATGTTGTGACTGTGTTGAGCTGCTAGTGAGCAATGAGTGGTGAAATAGGAGGGGTGAGAACCCCCTGCTGTGAAAACAGTTCACACTTCTTCACAAAGATGACCGTGTCGAGATAAAACGGACAGCACAGCTGCAGCTTTCTTGATATCAAACGTTCCTGTACAACTAACACAACTGATTGACGTGCTTGCTGGCCTACAAAGTGGAAAATCCTGTTTTTTTTAGCTTTTGTAAATCATACACATCACTATTGAGATTCATTTCATCCATGTTTCTGATTACATCACTGTGGACCAGTGGGCGGGGCAAAGTAATATTAACCAATCATCTCCCCCCTCCCACCACCCCCACCTGTCATGCAAAGAAAACTAGCTCAGAGAACCTCCGATACTCACACAGATCACAGCACAGGAACATGAGTTATCATCTCCCATTCACACTGACATTAAAGTGTTTGAGATTTTAAAGTGTTCCAGCTGTTTCCTTTTTTCATCATGTACCAAATAACAACTGCTAAGTTTAGCAAAAAAAAAAAAAAGGATGTTTCAAACAGAAGTTGTGATTGGTCTGTGTTTTGCGGTTTCTCTTGCTTCATGTGTATAAAGTCACAGAGCGAGCTTGTGCTATCAGCTGGACTGATGACCCTTATCTGGTTTCCTAGGTAACAGCCATGAACAACGTGAGCAGCCTGACGGAGGATTTCAACGTGACAGTGGACAGAATGAACCCGATGAGCGAGATAACCGTGAGCGGGGTCCCTGAAATTGTGACCCAGGGGCTTTCTCAGACCCTCTCCGCCTCACTAGAAGTGGACGTTTCGGTGGACGCCACTTTCCGGTTAGTTCTGTTACTAGTGTTGCAGTGTTTGAGTGCAAGGCCTCCTTACCTGACTGGCCTTTTTTATCATTATTGAAAAACATCATATTCAGATGTCATGTTCAAAATACAGTCGTCCTCCTACCCCAAGCATACTCGATCAACCAAGACAAGTTTGGTGTCTGAAGTTGTTTAGTTTTGCGCTGGGCCTACAAGGTTAATATAAAAGAGAGAAAAAAAAGAGAAAAGACAGTACCCCCACCACCCAATTAACAAACTCACAGCCTTTTCTTATTCGTCCTAATTTCACTACTGAAAATCGCTACCATTAGCTGCCTCTTCTAAATGTGTCGCTGGTTTGTGCTGTTGTGAGTGAACGGCTAGACTTGTTCTCTTTCTTCATCTCCCTCAATAAAATTAGATCAGTACCAGAGATCAGTGTACTGTCACAGTGAGTGCGTTTACATGCACTTAATAATCCGGTAACTATTTTGTCAGTAATCCAATTAACACGTTTACATGCACTTGAATAGTCAAATAATGGGGAAACTTCAGGTTTACATGAGTCAGACAGTAATCAGATTTCTGCTTTGCAACCGGCCAGTAAACTCACAGAAGAAGGCGTGACGTAAACGTAACGTAAAACCATATGACACGGCTTTTTTAAAAAAAAAAAACATCGAGTTATCTTACCTGAAAATATGAACATACATCATCTAGAAGATGAAGAATATTGAAATCCTTCATTTCGTCAAGCATGTATTTGGTTTCAGCGTCACTCCAAAAGTGTTTTGCTGCGTCTCGCGGCAACACTGCTCTCTTATTTTCGGTACAGCAGTCTGTTTTCACTCATGCACAGACTGAGAAATCCGAAAGAAATCAGAGTAAGAGTTTACAAGCTCTGAGAAATCTTATTATAATCTTCATCAGATTTCTAGACCTTATTCCGATCTAAGAAATTGGAGTATGCTGTTTACATGACTGTTTGAATAAACAGAGAACTGCAGAAATCAGATTATGATCTGAGTGCATGTAAACAGACTCAGTGTCATGGAATAGATGATATGAATTTATGGCATGTACTGAAATAGCAACAGCGCTGCCATCCATGTGGCAGGCTGGGGTTTGATGCTCCACCCGGGGAAGCACGAAAGAGTTTACCACTAAGATTCCTTGGGCAAGACTCTTAATGCCACATGTGTAATGACTGAACTGTAAAAGATGTTAGTTTTGGTCCTGTGATTACATGTAATCTCTGCAAATCTGTGAAAGAGAAGATTCAAAATGTTGTATGTTTTGTTGTTCTCTGACTGATGTGTTGTTGGGTGTTTTAAGAACATTCCTGAAGTTGTCTTGAGTTTCAGCCTGTTAGAGTCAATCCAGCCTGTCAGTGCCCGGTTTCAGAGAGAGCTTAGGAGAGACAGACAGAGCTGCGATTTGCATAAGAGCTGTCATGTTTGCCTCTGAAGTCGTGCTCAGAGTTAAAAATAAAAAAGTGAGCTGAGAGTTAGTTATTTGAAGTTAATATGTTAGTAAAAATAAAACAGTTCAGTTTATGTAGATGCAGGTGTTCAGCCCTGGTCCTGGAGATCTACCACCCTGCAGAGCTTCACTCCAACCCTAACGTTAGCCACCTGTTCCAGGTAATGAAGGCTTTCAGGGGCATCTGAACATTAGAGCCTGGGGCCGTATTACAGAAACTTCTTAGGTCTGAAATCTTATCTGTTTAGTCACCATGACAACTTTTAAGACTTAGTTAGGACTGAATGTAGGACAGTAGCTATTACAGAACAAAAGTTCTTAAGTTCATAATCTTATCCATTTACTCCAGATAAGAAAACAGTGTTACAGAAACATCCTAACTAGACTAAAGCTCCTTAACTTTAAGACAAACCCAGAGGGTCTTAACTTCTGTTTAACTGTCTGTTTATATTGTTTTATCCAGTGACAGGCAGCATAGTTCACTATAACTGGCATAATGACATTACATTACACTGCAAACGGTTTTAAAGCCCCAGAAACTGCAGACTCGATCTCCACCCTTCCCTCTTATTACCTTCATGTGTTAATGTTGATGAAAACTCATCAGATAAAATATTACAGAGATGGTGAATAATGAGGAGACAGAGCTGAACGCGTGTCTGTTTATTAGGAGGAGTAATGTTAGCACGCTCGGCTAAAGCGTTTGGGAAATGAAACTGAAACTGTGGAGCGGCGACTCTGATAAACAGCATGAAGCGCTGAAACAATATTCTTAACTCTCAGTTTATCGCGCTTTAGTTTTGTTTGACCTTTTTTGTACATCAGTAATGGTAGCTAATGTTAGGCTAACTAGCTTGATTACTTTGATTAAGTGTTTACATTGTGTGCGTATGGTCGGTTGCTAGGTAACAGACATGATGGTTGATTGTCGACTTCGATCGAGTGAGTTAAGATTTCTTAACTTGAGAGCAGATAAGATGCTGTGAGAGAAGATTCTTAAATTAAGATAAGATTTGCTTCTGTAATATGAATTTGTGAAAAATCTTATCTTGACCTGTCAGAGCTTAAGACAAAAAGGTAGGACGTGTCTGTAATACGAACCCAGGTGTGCTGGATCGGAACTGTTCAGAGGTGTACATCTCCAGGACCAGGTTGCCCTTAAGGTGTATTCACACTGAGATTGATTTGATTTTTGTGGAGGAAAAAAATAAATGGATGCAATTTTTAATGCAGTGGAACCTTCACAGCAAATCCAATGTGTTAACACTCTGAGAATGTGAGATGATGGAAGAGGAAAAGGAAATTTATTCTTCAAGTAGTACGTTTTGTTTTTTAACACTGTCAACTACAAACATACAGACCAAACATTCATTCAGTATGAACAGATTAGCATATGCGTAGATAAACCAACAACACCAGAAAGGGTACCGTCATTTCCTAGATTCTCAGCTATGGTCTGCCATGTGTTTTCTTTAAGCTCCTCATTTTTATAGTCAGCGTGTCGCTTGGTTAAGCTTTTGTACTCTGCCACAATTGAAATGCTGTCGTCATAATGCACAGAACTGCAAGCTTTGATTGCTCAGTCTGATTTTAACAAATGTGTACAATGCAGGAAAAAGATAGCATCACTGACGTTATTAACTGCCCATCCCAAGCCTTGTTTTCTTTAATTTCCAGTGTCTTTATTGCAGCTTCTGTTCTTTTCAGGACGCTTGCTTTCAGGATTTCAAAGAAATCTGCAGAGATATTTTTCCACACCTCTAAAGTTCAGTCGTAAAAGTTGGTTTGCGCTTATCCTTCTGGGTCGCGGGGGCAGCTGGAGCCCATCCCAGTAGTCATTGGGTGGAAGGCAATAACAAATTTCAAAAATACAAAATGCAAATTTTGACTCAGCAGTATCTAAAACCTTTCTACATCTCAGATGTGTGGATTTGGTGTTCTGTTGGAAACAGTTTTGGTGGTCTACCAGGTCTTGCACAGTTGTTAGGAGTTTCATGTTCCCATGTTATTCATTATTTACCCACCAACAGGTCTTGGCCAGTTAAAGGGTTAAGATGCCTGTGTTTATTTTCAAACCTTGACATTTTTTGTCTGTAGAAGTTATGCTTGGTGTGAATAGGGCTTAATTAAATGAGGTCAAGTGGTCTTTATTGTCATTCCTCAGTATAACTTGTATACATTGGAACAAATATAAAAGGGTCCATGATTTATATTTGCACTGGAGAGTTTGTTGGACATATTCTAGATTGTTATTTAGATACAGTAATGTATACCAGATTTTTCCGTGTTGCGTCTTTCTTTAATCAAAGGGTAATTTAGCCAGCGCATGCAGTATCTGATGTCTTTCATCACCAAATTAAAGGCTGTTATTTGAATATTCTATGTAATACATGGCGACGTTTCCTGGAACTGAACTTGGAGGGTTTGAAGGGACTTTCCAGACTTATGTTTTAACAGTACATGTACAGAGTCACCTATGAGAGCGTATGGTCTGTATATAGCACAAAAATAACACATACTCACTCATACTGGCACACACTCGACACACTCGACACACACCTTTACTGTCTCGCATTCTCTCACCTCTCACACACACACACACACACACACACACACCCTCCGCGTGCCCTGTAATGGCACTCTACTGTGCGCACGACTGCTCTCGATTTACAGCCTGTGGTTAGTGAAGATTGCTGACAAGAATTTTCCCCCGCGCCGCTCCTGCCACCGGGCTTAGCACAGCTTCCAAACTTTCCATTTTCTCCTCCGGATCTCTTTCTCTCTCCCTCTCTGGCCGCTTCCAGACACATCTGCTGCTGCAAGCGCTTTCATGCTTTCATCTTAACAGTTTTTGAGGAGATTCTGATGAGCCCTGCATCTCGCTTCTCTCTCATCTTCCATCAGCATCCACTCCACACTACACTAAATGTATAGAGCTGCAACACTCAAGTCCAGACTTCAGACCTTTTTCTGTCGTCTCGGACCCGTCCCGGTCTCGACGCTGGTCTCGTTAAACCAGAGGTCCGTGCAAAGGTTTGGCCGCCCCCAAATCGACGTTATGTTGTTCTTTTGATAAAAAATAAGTTAACATCTTCTACAGAGAACACACTTCCATGCATTTGAATGCACGATTGCTGTTTATATTTGCTGAATTTAACATATTAATAAAGAAAATAAAACATAAAAGGAGGCCTGTGCAAAAGTTATGATACGTTTAATAATTTTCCCAAAATTTTAAACCCAGCAAATGTAATAGAAATTGTGCATTGAATTATAGAGTGATAGCAAACAACAACAAATCATGTGATGTCAAAACTTTTCCATTGTATACAGCTTCCAGTGTCAGAGAGAGAGATATAAAGACATAGCTGGCCTGACTGGGGTCATATATCAGTAATAGGTTCAGTTCTCACAATGTTTCGACATCAGAGCCAGAGAGATGATCAGAAAGAACTTTCCTCCTCTCCAGGTACAGATAACTTCAGAAGTGAAATACCACCTTGCTTCTGAATCCCGCAGCACCAGAAGAGACTCCCCGTTGTAGTGTTTTCCTTTTTTCTCTTTTTTTTCTGACTTCTATCTCCTCTTTCCAGACCTCTTGTTGGCTGTTATGGGAGGCAAAAGAAATTAAAATTAATACAATAAAATGTAAATGCAGACCTCTTTTTGCCATTTTTTTTCCAAACATCTGCACAGATATCGTGGCAAAATTGAAAATTAAATGAAATACCTACATTTGCAATTTAATTTTTCACAGGCCGTTTGGTCTGACGGTGTTTGGTCTGATGTTCAGTTTCACCAGATCTGAGTCATGACGATGGTTTACCTGAGACTCGAAGTCGTTTAGCCTGAGGATTGATGCTGTTCTGACTCTGAGGTCTGAGGATGTCCTAAAATGTACCCCGTAGCCCCGCCTAGTGATACTTAACATATATTTGCATGTTGGTCAGTTTGAAAACGAAAAAGCAAAGTGTGAAATGAAAAGTAAATCTCCAGCAGGTGGCGCTGATGTTCGTTTGCATTTGCCTTTTCATTCTGACTCTTAAAGCGCGTCGACGCCGAAAACTGAATCACAAACTGTCACTTTGCTGTTGATTTATCAGTTTTGCATTTTCATTTTAATTTAGTCAGATATGCAGCCGATTGCTATGAAAAAGAAATACGAACGTAAACACAGTATTTTGATTTTAGTTTTGACACGTATTCTGCATTTCATGAAGAAAAGCCAAAGTGAAGCTTGGGTTTTCTTTTCTCTCTTAGCTTTTCCATTTTAAATTTGACCATGAAAAACCAGTATAATGGCTAAAATTAAATGACAAATAGCTGTTTTAAATTTATTTTAATTTTTGTCACAAATGACTTTTTTTCACGCTTATGTGAAAAATGAACTGAAATACCTACATTTTCAATTTCATTTTTCACATAAGCACGAGTCATTTGTGACAAAAATAAATATCCTTTGGCAGGATATTTGTGCAGATGTTTGGAAGTGGCAAAAAGAGGTTTGCATTTACATTTTATTGTTTTAATTTTAATTTCTTTTTTGGCCAGATTTGCCTCCCATAGGCTGTACCCTTGCTTTGTATTTGACTTCTCCATTCTGAGCCTTACTTTTATTGTCCAATCAAACATAAATAATCTGGGAAATGAAGCATGCTGTGTGTATTTGTGTATTGTGTTTATGTGTGTGTGGATTTTGTTAGCAGTGATTCTCTGTGTCTCAGGTGGTCGTTTGGAGATGGAGGTGACTTGACGTTTCACTTTAAACCACCCTATGATGTCCCTCACCAGAGCCATGACCTCTCTAAAAAACAGGTTTCCCTGCGCAGCGATGTCAAGTACACGTACACTCAGCCAGGTAAATAACTCTAACCCTAATAAACATAATAAACCAGAATAGACTGGCTCAGCCAAGCATGTTTCTGCTCGAATTAGATTTTGAGTACTGGATTTTTTATGGTTACAGCATGTTGACTGGCTTGCAGCTAGACTCGGACTGGCTTTAAACTGACTTGCAACTCAACTCAAACTTGAGACTTAATACTAATGAAAATCTAAGCCTGAAAAAAAAAGGGAAACAACACGGATTAAAGTAGGGCTGCCAGCCTTAATGAGGTAACGCAATAAAGCTTTTCGTTTCCTGTGTGATTTCACCCTGTCAGATCTCCTACAGCAACATCCAAAGACAAAGAAAAGCCTGTGGTGTTTTAAAGGAAAGAGGCAAAAGATGATTTAGATATAAGGAAATAGATAATTTAGCTGGAATACTCAGCCAGTCTGAATGTTTTCCTGTAATAAAAGACTCGTTATTTGAAGCTATGTTGAACCTGACAGGTTTTTAGTGTGGTTTACTTTAGTACAGTGTAATGCCTGCGGCCAATAACAAGGCTAAACAAAAACTCTCTACTAAAGACTCATGACTCAACTTTACTCAGACTTGTATTACAGAGACTTGAGACTTGATTCAGACTTGCACCCCAGAGTTTAGAGACTCGAGACTCGACTTGGACCTGCACCCTAGAGATTAGAGACTCAACTCAGTCACACTCCAGAGACTCAAGACTTGACTCAGACTCGAACCCAAGAGACTCGACTTGGACCTGCACCCTAGAGATTGGAGATCCGACTGAAACTCACACTCCGGAGACTCGAGACTCAACTCAGGCTTGCACCCCAGAGACTTGACTCAGGCTTGCATCCCAGAGACTCGAGACTCAACTCAGACTCGAACCCAAGAGACTTGACTTGGACCTGCACCCTAGAGATTGGAGATCCAACTGAAACTCACACTCCGGAGACTCGAGACTCGACTCAGGCTTGCACCACAGAGACTCGAGATTTAGACTCACACCTCAGAGACCTGAGACTCAACTAAGACTTGCACCTCAGAGACTTGAGGCTCGATTCAGACTTGCACCCCAGATATTAGAGACTTGACACAGACTAGTACCCCAAAGACTCAAGACTCGATTTGGACCTGCACCCTAGAGATTCAAGATTCGACTCAAACTCACACTCCAGAGACTCGACACTTGACTCACACTCACACCCCAGAGACTCGACTCAAGCTTGCACCCCAGAAACTCAATTCTCAGACTCACATCCCAGAGACTTGAGACTTGACTCAGGCTCACGCTCCAGAGACTCGAGACTCAACTCAGACTCACACCTCAGGGACTTGAGGCTTGACTCAGGCTTGCGCCACAGAGATTCAAGACTTGACACAGACTCGCACCCCAGAGACTCTTGACTCAACTCAGACTTGTGCCCCAGGGATTTAAGAGTTGTCTCAGGCTTGCTCCCCAGAGACTTGATTCAGACTTGCATCCCAGAGATTCGACTCAGACTTGCACTCCAGAGACTCAACGTTCGACTCGGCCTTGCACACTCAAGACTTGACCCTGACTTGGACCTCAGAGTCTCGCATGAACATCTCCGGTTACAAATATACTGATAACTTGCCTCCCTATAAGAGTATTGATCATGTGTTTTTTTCTTTATTGCAGGAGAGTATACTCTAATGGTCTCCGTCTCCAATCGCTATGAGAACAGAACCTGCAAAGTTCACGTATATGTATACAGCATTTTAACAGTGGTGGAGATCAAGTCTGATCCAGAGCTTCTGCATGCTGGAAAGCCTGCTGACTTTGAGGCTCATCCTTTGCCATCCCCGTATGGAATCATCTACACTTGGGATTTCGGCGACAACTCCAGCATACAGGCAGGACGTGAGCGCAGGGTCTATCACTCTTACAAGTGCGGCGGCATCTACACAGTCTGTGTGAATGTGAACAACACTGTTAGTAGTTTGGACAGCTGTAAAGACATGATGGTGTATCAGGACATTGAGGGTTTGGAGGTGACATCATCATCTCCTACAGAGCTCAACACCCCTACAGTTGTTACAGCTACTCTGCAAACAGGCAACAATGTCAGCTGGAGTTTTGCAATGGGTGATGGTACTGTGCAAACGGGAGTGGAACCACGTGTGGAACACACATACATAAAAGATGGAAACTACACTGTCAACATCTCCGTAACTAATGCCATCAGCTCAAAATGGGTGACCATACATGTTCAAGTGTTCGTACTGCAAGTGTTATGGTTGGAACCTGCTGGGTGCGTTCAGGAAAAAACAGACGTCACCTTCCATGCTTATGTGTCAGGGAATGCCTCCGCTCATCAGTATGTTTGGAGTTTCGGAGACGGAACTGCTAATGAAACTCACTATGGAACCCCCAGCATCACTCATTCTTACTATGGTAGCGGGAATTATCACCTTTCTCTGCTCATGTCAAGCAGTGCAAACAAGGCTAATTTCTTCAACTGGATTTGCGTCCAACCTGCAGTCGCCAACGTGACTCTTGAAACTTTCAGCACACACATCAGACTTGGAGAGGAAAGCAAATTTACAGTAACAGCCATTCCCAATTTTGACTACGTGTACCTGTGGGACATTGGGATAAGCGAATCCACAGGTTCCATTCAAGGCAGTGACAAAATGGCTTTCACTTACAAGAGCCCAGGCCTGTACCTGGTAACTGTAACTGTCCTTAACAACATTTCTTACAGCAACTCCACAGTGCAGGTTGAAGTGCAGCAACCAGTGGGATGTCTGCTGATACAGCATAATGGATCGATGGGAAACAGTCTTGCCTTGAGGCAGCACTACACCTTCCTGTCATCCTCAGACTCTGCTAATGTTGTCTACCTTTGGGACTTTGGGGATGGGACTGTCCTTCCAGGCCACAATGTAACACACTCTTATAATTCCTCAGGTGTCTTCAACATTTGCGTCACGGGCAAGAATGAAGTGAGTGAAAATAAAAGTGAAATCACAGTCACCGTTTTAGCACCCATTCAGGGACTTTCTGTCAATTCCAGCCGTGTCAATGTTCCTCTGAATGCCTCAGTTCATTTTGAGGCCCATCTTGACCAAGGAGATGATGTTCAGTACTCGTGGATCCTTTGTGACCGTTGTACTTCCATTCCAGGCACACAAACTATGTTCTACACTTTCCGGTCAGTTGGGACATTCAATGTCATTGTAACTGCCAAAAATGATATTAGCACCACACAGGCTAGTATCTTCATATTTGTACAACGGGAGCTTGAAGGCTTACAGATAATGTCTGATGAACTTGGAGAAGGATGCTGTTTTGCCACCAGTCGCATCCTTCATTTGCATGCTTTGCTAAAAGAGGGCACTAATATGTCCTTCAGCTGGAGTGTTTTGAGGGAACATGAGAATTCTGCTGCCCTCAATCTTACAGGCAAGACCATAGAGCTCAATTACTCCACTCCTGGACCCTGCGAAGTCCTCCTGAAGGCCACCAACTTGCTTGGCCAGATAGCTGTTAACCGCACCATTGAGTTTCTTGATCCTGTTGGAAAACTGGTTCTTAAGGCTGTCCCCAACCCCACGGCTGTCAGCACCAAAACAGACATGACAGTGTTTGCAAATATTGGCAGTGATCTGCAGTATAGATGGTCGGTTGATGGTCATTTTTTGCCATTTAGTGTCCCGTCCATTGTACATGTCTTTGAAAGTCCAGGGCTAAAGTTGGTGAAAGTGGGGGTTTCAAACAGAGTTAACGTGGAGACTGCTTCAGTGTTGATCAGTGTGCAAGAGCCAGTTTTCAGGGGTAACTTTCACAACAACCAATGTAACCGAGCATAACTTCGTAGCCTCTGGTGTCAATGTATCACTACGTGGAAATATCCAGACTGGAACCAATGTCTCATGGATGTGGCTTTTACCAAATGGTGCAAAATCAAGCCAACAGGCAACATCCTACATATTTCCAACCGCTGGAACCTTCACGGTTACTTTGAATGTATCAAATGACATCAGTAGCAAGACGCTATCGCATGACTACTTTGTGCAAGACCGAATTCAGGGGCTTGAATTCAAGGCCAGCAAGCAGAACGTCGCAGTTGGCGAAAATGTGGAATTCACCATCTCTGTTTCATCTGGTACCTCTGTGAGCTACACCTTGAGCATCAGCGGTGATGCAACAGTCCACCCTAACACGACCTACGTGCACCAGTTCAACAGGGTGGACAATTACTATGTCAATTTGACTGCCTGGAATCAGATAAGCTCAGAACGGAGAAATCTGCATATCTGTGTGTTGGAGCCTATTACAAAGCTCACCATCTTGGACTGCTGTGAACAAGCCATACCTGTGGGAGTGCCCAAGACCTTTGAAGTTCACATAGTGACAGGCAAACCTGTGGCATACTTGTGGACTTTTGACATTCATCACAGAATCAAGATATTTAATGTTAATGATGGTAAAGTGACCTATACACCTGAGGAACCAGGTCATCTGACCATCTATCTGTCTGCCTTTAATGCTCTGACAACTCTAAATAAAACCGAGGTTGTGCTCGTTCAAAATATTCTAAAATCTGCTACTTTAGAAGCTCAACCTCGGGACACTTTCATTAACAAGACAGTGGTCTTCCATGCAGGAGTTTCCCCACAGTCCACCTCTCTCAGTTACCAGTGGGACTTTGGTAATGGAACTTATGTTTTGCTTTCTAGTACTCCATCTGCCAGTCATACCTATTCTGTGCCTGGCCACTATATGGCCCAGGTAAACATCAGCAATCAGGTTAGCTGGGTTGTCGCTCGCTTTAGGGTAAACGTGCTAAACTGCAGTGAACCAGAAGTCCAGGTGGTTCAAGCTCCAAGATTAGCTATCTGGCGTTCCAAACCAGCTTTGGTGGAAGCGAAGGTGGACTTGAAAGGCTGCGCTCACTATGGCGCTGAATATCTCTGGGAGATCTTTCCAATCCCACACTGCCAGCATATTGAAAAGCATTCATCTCCAGCCTCTAAAGTCCGTCTTCCAGCAGAAGTTGATGTCCGAAGGCTCCAGCTGTCACTACCCAAGATGTCACTTGCCGCCAGGAACTACACCCTGATCTTCTCCCTGTCCTACCAAGGCATTCCTCTGAGGAAGGCTGCCTGTCTTCAGCTGTCAGTGATGTCTGCCAAACTGGTGCCCATAATTGAAGGAGGCACATACCGTGTCTGGTCCAAAACCCAGGACCTACAGCTGAGTGCGGAGCAGTCATATGACCCCAACCTTGACCTTGAGAGTCAGACTCTACTCAACTACCACTGGGAGTGTGTGAACACCTCTAAGGTAAGAGCTACCGGCCTTTTGTTGTACTAATTTGAGTGAGATGAAGTGGTTGAACTGAGCTGATTTGAATTTTGAAAGAATTTTGGTTTGGTTTGCATTTTGGATCAAATTTTGAATTAGCTTAGGTTTTGAATTATCTTGAATTATTCGGTTGAATTTTTAATTAAATTTAATGGGAACTTTGCTCGGTTTTTGCAGAATATCCAAAGATGTAGCTATAAAAATGGCTATGAAGGTGTCTAACCTACTTGTAAAGTTATTGTTGTGGATTGTAAACACTGAAGTACAGTGAACATTCTCTTTAGTGCTGATTAAAGTTCTCTGTTAAAAACTGACTGTTAGCTATTCAAATTACCTATAAACAAGCCTGGGTATTGTTCGGAATGCTTCAAAACCATTTCTAATACCTTGACTTCAATACTGATTCTGAACAATACTTTTTTCACTACCGTCTTTTAAATTACAGACTGGAAGTGGGTGTGGCTTAAAGCAAAAATGAGAGTTTTGGAACTGAGTATATTTACTGACTGCAACCGATTGCAGAGCTCTGCACAGAATTGAAAAAGACTAAATAGTGTATAAATCTAAGGCTTACAATGTCTTAAGGCTTATTATTCAGCAACCACAAGGACTACAGTGCAAACTGACCGAGTTATACATAAGTCATAGAATTCTGGCCATTTAAAGAGTTCAAAACATGCCCATGGAGTGTAGTTTATGTGCTGTTCGGGTAGGATTGTTTCTCAGTCATTTTAGTCCCATCTAAATCTATCATGTCAGTAATACTTCAAGTTTCTGGTGGCCTGCTATACCTTCTGTAAAATGACCCATAGAAATAACCCCAGATTACATTAATCCTGTGCTGTAAAACAAAACTTGGACAAAAAGCCAGATTGTATTAATTCAATGCTAGAAAACAAACCAGAGAAATAACCCCAGGTTACATAAATCCCATGCTATAAAATAAACTATGTGTATTGTTATTTTGGTAAATATTCTACAATATCTTGTGGAAAAGGAGTTCACACAGTTGTTCTTAAATATGGAGACACTCAAGGAAGCATTTATTTGTATTCTTTAATGGCCCAGATCAGGCTGCCTCACAAACAATAAACCATGTAAAATGACAGAAAATAAAAAAATAGCCTTGATTTTTTTGGTGACTCCCTTGCTGCTGACAATGCTAATGATAAATTGCATTCACTTAAGACAGGTAGGTAGTTAATTAGAGCAAATAAAATTACAATTAAGTAATTATACAACCAATCCTTTCTGTGTAGTGCTTAAGACCGCCAATCAGAAGTCTAGATTTTGGAGCAAGCATGGTTATTGGGTCACTGTTGCTGAGAAGTCTGACTACTTAAGTATTGAAATTTGGTACTAAATAACCTAAATAATAAATAATTATTAAATAATTAATAAATAATTTTCCAATTTTCAGTGGTACTGAAGAAATTTGGTTGGTACCATGAATTTTGATACCCACCAGTATCAGCACATCCCTCCAAAGGCAGTCCTGCCAAGCTGTATTAAGCTGCTGTTTTAACAGCCACTGGGGGCCGAGCTTTTGTGTCTTAATGTATATTTGATAAGGCCCTGATAAGGACTAATAGACTGGATGGTTGGAGGTACTGTTTTGCATAGAGCCATCCAGCACTGAGACAGTCCAGGTGTGCTTTCATAGTGGGCACTTTCTCTCTTTCTAAACTCTCTTTTTCTCTCGTTGATTTGAAATGATGTCTAAACAGAAGATGCACGGTTGGAGAACACCTTCTTAAAAGCTCAAAAGTAGGACCGCTCATTTGCTTTTATTGCCCTCTGCATACTTGGGGAAAAGTGGAAAAGAAAGAAGCGTTTACGAGGCACGGCTCACGACGTTAGCGAGCTTCACCCGCCGTTTAATGCATTCTCTGTTTAAGGCGTAAGTGAGAGGAAAAAGAGTGCAGATACTCAACCAGTCAAACGACTGGAAAACATAATTAAAGCTGAAGTATTTTCTTCCCCCCTTTTTCCTCCCCCTCAATGTGGTCTTAGAGGGCTTTTGTGCTCCATCTTGGCTTCGCCTGCTCCCATTTTTTTCCTTTTCCTCTCCTAAGGCAGATTCCTATGCCGTGCGCTCTCCTTCCCTGGCACAGCTCCGGGTGGTGGGATTTAGTGTATTTCGGATGTTCCAGTTTAAAGACTAAACATTCTGGGGAATGCCAGGCGAAAGGAGAGAGAGGCTGACTCTCTAAGTGGATTAGAATAAACTCCCACAAAACTCCCACCAAAACCAAAAATGGGGGTTCATTCGTAAAATGTCTTCAGCTGATTGACGTACTGTCAACACTGTGAGAAATGTTAGTGTAAAATGACATTATTTTTACTGTATTATATGATTACAGTACTTTACCGTATATGTAAATGCAGTTGATTGCTGTATTTTGACCACCACATTACAGCAGTTACTGTACTTATACCAGACGATAAAGGGGAATTCCACCAAATTCTTCCAAATTTCTGCATAATTTAATCACTGAGATGTAAATAAGGTCACGCGGAGTACTTTGATGTGAAGTGAATCACTATAAAGAAACCTAGTGACTCCATCGCCTTCACTGTGAACAATTCTAACTCAAAAATGATATGATGTTTCACGTCAAACCACTCTGAATGAGTTTGATTACATCCTGATTGTTTAAATAAGGCCGAAGACCTCGTTAGTACTACAAAGATGGCAGTAACCAAGTAACCAGACAGCTATTAATTATTACAGTGGTTTTCAACCAGTGGGCCAGGGTGGTACTGCTTTTTTCAATGTAGACATTTAACCAGTACGAATATTGTTGTGATAAATATTTGCAAAAGTAAATGCAGCGGTAAGTAGCATGTGCTGAGCTTCACATGCACGGGAAACTGCACAAGAGCAACTGCTGTTGTACAAAATACACTATCATGGATTTAAAAGAAACTATGTAAACCCATTCAGACAATCGCTTGTTAAAGCAAACGGCTATAAGATGCATGCAAAAATAAAGCTAATCAACAAAAACTAGCAAAACTACAAGAAATGCTGGAAATCTCTGCCCTCAAATATCAGGTAACAACAGCAAAACACAACATTCTAACCTCTTAACAAGAAGCTTCATCCGTTTCTCCCAGAATGCACCATTCTTTACAGCAATCTCCTGTATTTACAGAATACAGTGCTTTACTGCAGTGCTTGAATGCATTAATAGCTCTGTTTGAGTTCAGTGATAACTGTTTGAATGCAGTGATAACTGAATGCAGTGATAGCTCTGTTTGAAGGCAGTGATAGCTCTGTTTGCAGTGATTGCTCTGTTTGAATGCAGTGATAACTGAATGCAGTAATAGCTTTGAGTTCAATGATAGCTCTGTTTGAATGCAGTGATAGCTGTTTGAGGTCAGTAATTGCTCTGTTTGAATGCAGTGATAACTGAATGCAGTAATAGCTTTGAGTTCAATGATAGCTCTGTTTGAATGCAGTGATAGCTCTGTTTGAATACAGTGATAGCTCTGTTTGAATACAGTGATAGCTCTGTTTGAATGCAATGATAGCTCTGTTTGAAGTGATTGCTGTTTGAAGTGACTGCTCTGTTTGAAGTGATTGCTCTGTTTGAAGGCAGTGATAACTGAATGCAGTGATAGCTCTGTTTGAATGCATTGATAGCCCTGTTTGAAGTGACTGCTCTGTTTGCAATGATTGCTCTGTTTGAAGGCAGTGACAACTGAATGCAGTGATAGCTCTGTTTGAATGCATTGATAGCCCTGTTTGAAGTGATTGCTGTTTGAAGTGACTGCTCTGTTTGAAGTGATTGCTCTGTTTGAAGGCAGTGATAACTGAATGCAGTGATAGCTCTGTTTGAATGCAGTGATAGCCCTGTTTGAAGTGATTGCTCTGTTTGAAGTGACTGCTCTGTTTGAAGTGATAGCTCTGTTTGAATGCAGTGATAGCTCTGTTTGAAGTGATTGCTCTGTTTGAAGTGATAGCTCTGTTTGAATACAGTGATAGCTCTGTTTGAATGCAGTGATAGTTCTGTTTGAAGTGATAGCTCTGTTTGAATACAGTGATAGCTCTGTTTGAATACAGTGATAGCTCTGTTTGAAGTGATAGCTCTGTTTGAAGTGATAGCTCTGTTTGAATACAGTGATAGCTCTGTTTGAAGTGATTGCTCTGTTTGAAGTGACTGCTCTGTTTGAAGTGATTGCTCTGTTTGAAGTGATTGCTCTGTTTGAAGTGACTGCTCTGTTTGAAGTGATTGCTCTGTTTGAATGCAGTGATAGCGACAGAGAAAAGGAAAGAAAGAGAGAATCCGAATGAGAGAGCATACGGAGAGAGAGGGTGAGAGAGATATTTTGTGGTTATGTAAGTGAGATAAACTTAGCATTCCTCAATCTCTGAACCTGAACACAAACTCACAGCTGGAGAGAGACAGACAGAAGAAGAGACAGACAGAGAGAGAGAGAGAGACCAAAAACCAGACGGAGATGAGATTTGAGACAAGCCCCCAAATATGTGCAGTATTAGACAATTTGTTTCTAACAGTGGTTATTGTTATTTACTTTCGCTGTTGCTCTGAAATAGTCATGTTCAGAAGCAAAAACTATTTTCTTAACACTCAGAGGTGAAGGTTATTACTATCATTTGCAATATCATTTTAAACACAGTACATACTTAATTACATAGTGCCATAATGAATTACAACTGCATTTGTTTTACGTTTTATATCGACCAGTTCAAGGCTTACCAAAATGTGCTATAACTTTTACACAGGCCACATTTTATGTGTTATTCTTTCCCCAAAATGTTAAATTCAGCAAATAAATAGTAACTGTGTATTAAAATGTGCAGAAGTGTGTCTGTAGAGGACGTGTTGAATTATTCACACTCAGAAAATCAATAAAACACGTCCTTTGACCAAAACTTCGGCTTACGGCTGTACAAAAGTATGTCCTAATGTACTTTTATTACTGCCAGAGTTAACAGTGTCTTCTCTTCATTTTTGTCCAGTGTCAGTGTTGTAGTTAAAGCTTTCGCCACTTTGCCAACTTCCTTCATTTCTTTTTAATGTCTTAATTTCTTTGGCAGTAATACACAAAGTGTTGCACTGAAGTGAGAGAGAGAGAGAGAGAGAGAGAGAGGAAAGATGGCACACGATTGCCAGGCGAAGTTGGCCACGGAGTGAAAATCCAAAGGAATGAAGAAAACAGGGAAAAACGTTTGGGCGGACAGTGAAATATTTATATGAATATCAATAATAATAGGAGAAAGCAGAGGAGGAGGCGATGGCACTAAAGACAAATAGAGCAGGCAAATGGCTTTAGATTCTGAACGTTGGCTGCTCGGTGCGGCGTCTCTGATTAGATAAATAAAGGAGGAGGAATGGCGGGAGCTGGCGGAGCGTCTGGAGCCTGAGCCGCAGAGCAGGGTGGGAGGAGAGAGAAAACAGGAAATGGCAGATACATCAGGAGTCAGACCAGAAACACGGCGCAGACGAGAGGAGACAGATTGCTGCGGTGTGAAATACGGTTTAGACTTATAAGAGCTTGAGTTCAGATACATTCCAATCTCAAGGAGTTCAGTTCAATTGATTTTTTATGTGGCCTTTTGTTTTCATCTTTTTTCGAACACATCCTTTTGCTTTTTGCCATATTTTAATGTCTTTTTGTTTTGTTTTTGTTTTTTATTGATTTTGCTTGTGATGCTTTGGTAAAGTAACCTTGGTTCTAAGAAAGAGGCTGTTATTGTTATGCAATGGATATATATATATATATATATATATATATATATATATATATATATATATATATATATATATATATATATTAGAGCTGGGTGAGATGGCCAAAAACGTTATCACGATAAACAAAATTCATAGCGTTCGATATCGATACATATCGCAATAAATGTCAAATCATGATTTCTTTCACGTTTGAAGGCTGATTTTGCTCCTGGGTGGTTAATTGTGGTTTTAAACTATCACTTATGGTCCGATCATGACAAACACTCAGCAAACAGTGGAACATTTCACTAATCTGTCATGGGACAGTGGGAGAAAGTTTCTGAGCTGTTTTTATCAGATGGAAAAGCACAGCTGCAATTTTTGTAATAGTCATGATTTAAGAAAGAAAACAGATTATTTTTAGCTGTCTGGTGACGAGCGCTCGGCTACCCCGTTACAAATGCTAAACAAGTGGCCAACAACAGTGCTAAACTCTTTAGTTTCTCAACAACGACAACTCGGTTCGGTAGGTCACTGCTGTCACTCCGACCACATCCATGTCAGAGCAGATCACAGTATTCAGACACCAGCTAGCGATGGCTGGGTTTCTCTATGCTACCGTAGTAGTTTAAGGGGTGAACCGCAGTATATCTGACGCTCCCTGTGTAAAAGCATTATCTGCAGTGTGAATCTCTCACACCAGTCACAGAGTCCTCCTTTTAGGCATGTTTAAACTGAAAGCAGTGATTTTGTGTCTTGTTTGATCTACAGTATCATCAATTCACCGTGTTTTGCCGGAGCGCTGCTTCAAGTTAGCCAGCAGCAAAAAACAGCTAGCCTGGAAAGCTAACCTAACCTCTCCAATGTCTCACAGCTTCCTTTCGAACATGAACCACTTCTTTCTTTCACTTTCGTTGCTCGAGAATGCACTAATACTAAAATATGACGGTTTGGCGCTGTAACACGGCGCTGCAGACGTGATTTAACACCGCTAAAGTTGTTAGGATGCACGGAAAGAGGTGAGTTCACTGTAGGTCAGTACAGTTACACCACTGACCTCGTCACTCACACTCGGTCACAGCAGCTAAAACGTGGAAGTGTGAGAATGGTGTATTATATCGAACATTTATCGAACCTGTCTTATCGCTCTATCGAGGAAAAGTTATATTGCGATACTTATCGTTATCGTTTTATCGGCCAGCCCTTATATATATATATATATATATATATAGGTTATATTATTACTAACTATTAATAAACAAATGTTTGATACAATACAATTGATATATATATATATATATATATATATATATATATATATATATATATATATATAACCATTATTACTCTTACCATTATTAATAATTTCTAATAATGATATGAATAATTATTAACATTAATATATTAATATAAATTGATACTAATAACAACAAAACAACAACACCAATAATAATAATAATAAATATTATAGTAATAATGAATTCTCTCTTTGTGTCTCTTTAAGGGAGCCTCTCACTGTTCAACTCTGAATTTCGGGCTGGGTCCCTGGGGTCCGGTTCAGGGTATCTCTGGCTCTGAGCTAGAGGTGGACGTCGAGTACACATTCCGTTTGACCATCAGCAAAGACGACATGCCCCCAGAATCCACCACGCAGAAGGTGAGTCCTGATTGGTGTGATTGACTGTCTAAGCAAGTTTGCTTGTTATTGCTATTTTTCAAGTAGCCGAATCAGGGGTCCCCAAAGTCCACCAAGTCCATTGCCCCACCTACACTGCTGGTATTTACTTCTCTGCTGCATACAGAGGAGTGTCTAGCTGTCCTTCACACCACAGGTTCTACTTAACCCACTTCTGATGCTGATCATATGTGTAAATCTCTGACCTTACAATGATTCACTTCCCTTGGGATTCCGATTCCTTAGGAAATGATTCAGTGCGTCATAAAGTTTCACTTTGATTTGATTTAATAATTTGATTATTTACCATTCATTTATTATTAGTGCTAAAATGAGTCTGTTTTTAGTATGATCAGTTATAATTAGTTCTGACATTCTAAAATCAATGCAGGTTAGTTGCCACCTTCAGGTCAATACCATTTTACACCCATTTAAAAAGTTATTCGGTCTGGCCGCAGGTTCTCGCTAATTGATAATTCTCACAGAGCAGGGTGTGAGGAGGGCACAGCCTGTGGCAAAGCCTGCGCTCAGTACTTCCATTAGCATCTATCATACAGACAGAATTCAGCCCACAGAGAGGCCTCTGATTGGCTATTAGTCACCCAGGTCAATTGATGCCGACTCCTCATTGGTGATTTCTGATTGTTCCCATAAGCAGACTGCAGGAGATCTATGCTAAAAGGTATTAAGGGTAAGACTGCTATGCTGGGTGCTAATGAAGCGAGTCTGTGGCCATTCTACAGCGCATGCTGAAAATAAGTGCTGCACTGAATTTACTTGAATAAATTTTTTACATCATTTCCACATGAATAAAATATATCACATCAATGCAGTTAAGCCTTTCCGTTCACTTTCTTTTGGCAGTAACTGTGTTGATGTAATATATTTTAATAATGTGAAAATTACTTGCACATTTCAGTGCAGGGTTGGGCAATATGACCACGTACATTACCGTTCAAACATTTGGAATCACTTGTCATAACAGTGATTGCTGTTAATTTATGATAGCAGTAGCTTACACAGTGCAGCTTTCTCAGTCATTTCAGAGTCATGTACAGCTCTGTCCATCATTCTGGACACGACTAACATATTTTACGGTTTCCGACAAATTATCAGCGAAGTTGTGAAGTACTAGCATGATATTAGAATCATTGTGTACCTGATTCTATTAAGGTCCTTCAACAAATTAGTTTTATGTAAATAGAAAACAATATGCTTTTCTGAGTATATCATAGGTATCACTGGTGCATCTAGAACACTGCTTTATTCCAGCCGAGTGCTTTATTCTAAAACACTAATTCATTCTAGAGTGGTACCTTTCTCTAGAGTGCTGACCGATTCTAGAACAATGCTTTATTCTAGAACAATACCTTATTCTAGAACAATACCTTATTCTAGAACAATACCTTATTCTAGAGTACTGGTTAACTTTGGAACACTGCTATATTCTAGAACACTTCGTTATAGATAAGTAATTGGTCAAGAACACTGTTTGATTCTAGAACACTACTTAAATCTTGAACACTTCTTCATTCCAGAGTGGTGATTGTTCAGTCCCTTATTCTAGAGTACTAGTTCGTTTTGGAACACTGCTATGTTCTAGAACAATCATTATAAAAAAAAGTATTTTGTCAAGAACACTGTTTGATTGTAGAACACTGCTTTGTTCTAGAACACTGAATAGTCGTAGTGTATGTATATTTAGTAAACGCACAAACACACGCTTTCTAAGCCGCTTATCCCTCTGGGTTTTGGGGGGGGGGTGTGGTTTAGGGGCTGGAGCCGAAGAAGGCAGGAAACACCCTGGACAGGTCACCTGTCCATTGCAGGACAGACAGACAGACAGACAGACAAACATTCACAGATACTCACACCTCACACCACATACACATTCACACAGAAAGGACTCTGGTTGCCCGGCCAGGGAATCGAACCCAGTCACTTCTTGCTGTGAGGTGACAGAGCTACCCACTGTGCTGCCCCTAATAAAAGTTCAGATTAAGACTAATTATAGAGAGCCTGTCAAAACAACAGCGAGGTTATAGTGACAGATTGGACATTCTATGATTATATTAGTGTATTGGTTTATTTGTACCAGTTGTTTTTTTTTCATTACTTTTGATTTCTTTTTGGAAACGTTGAACTGAAAACAATCATTGTTCTTTTTTTTTAAGCACTGCTGTTTTGCTGGGGTATTTTGTTCCTTCCAGTTTCACAAACCTCAGAAAATGTATGTATGGACATATTGTGTATCATGAAGATGCCAAGAATCGTGATACTATATTTTTGCCAAATTGCCAGCCCATTCAGTGCCTTACTTTTAAGTGCTCTTATATACTCCCTGTGCGACTGTGGTCACTTGAGTGTTGTTCAGCACTTCTCAGGTGGACTTTTAGCAGGTAATAAATGCTGGGTAAGCGCTCTAAAGCTCACAGTGATTTAAAATTGATGGGAACAGAAGAGAGGAGGGTGATTGCCCCCCAAAATCTTCTGCTTCATCCAGCTCCTGTCTTTACTCTTCACATCTAAAGCTCGGAAAAATTGAAAAAGAGGCAGAATACATCAGAAGAACATTGTGAACCTTAGAATGGTGGCAGTTTCAAAATGTCTTTTAATCTTGCTGCCTCTTTCTTCTCCAGGTTCTTTTTATCTCTCCTTCTTTTGCATTCATTCAAAAAAGAATGCCCTGAATGTGCTAAGCCCTTTTTAATGATCCTTCATGCCTGGCCTCAATAATTATTTCCACGGCTGTGTTGCTGATGAGAAAAGAGATGAGAAAAACTACCATAATTGTTTGCCATTGTGTTTTGTTTTTGAACTTTTTAGAACAGTTCTTGAATTTTTTTTTTCTAAATGCCAAAGGATAAATGGTTCACCTCATTCCACCTTCGTGATCACCAAGCTCAGTATCAAAGGCAGGCCAGGAGCAGCGGGCGAGCTTTGGCATGATGATGTTATGTAAAATAAATTCTCTCAGAAGTGGATGGAGGAGCAGTTATTACTGCTCCTCGAGGGGCTGGAGAAGGGGATGTTTCTTTTTATCATCCCACCTCGTCTCTTCCTTTATCTCTGCAGGATCAAAAAGGCGAAGTCTGGTGTTTAGGGTTAAAAGGCAAGGCTCAGTCATTTGGGTGCCGTGGTCCATTGCTGCCCCTTAAAGCATTTTTTCTTAAGTGTGTCATCAATGCTTTGCTCAATAGAATCTTTCCCAGATTACGAAACTATGGGAAGTCCACTGTCCTCTAAGTCTGTTTTAATGAGCTCTCCAGGACTCTGCATTCAAACCCAGTAGCCATTAAAATAAATTAGCATGCTCATTTTTCATGTCTGAAATATGCTTCTTTAGTTTTGCACTAGAGCTGCGAGGCTAACGTGGCTAACAAGTAACAGAACCAATTTTCATTATGCTACCTGCACCCCTAACTAAGGCTGAGTCTAACGCCAGGATCAGACCTCACAAATTCAGCCAGATTTCGGTACGACATAATCAAAGATCAGCAATGCGGCACCTGGGACGCCTCACGACACCCTGACGGCAAGTCTAGCACGTCTGCTGAAGCTCTGTGCTGTTTGTGCTGGTAGCATCGCTGGTCTTGCTGTAATGCCACCTTCACTCAGCTGTAGTTACAGCCACAAACTGCACATTGTCCCAGAAACGCCTCAGAGACGTTTAATAGGACAGAACAACAACTTAAAATGTAAGCATGTAAGAATGACGCCTCCGTTCTCTAACCGGATATTTCAGCCGTACTCTCGAATCACAGCAGTCACGAGAAAAATAAGGTGGATACATTTTCATATCGAAGCGTCATGAGATGTTTGAACTTCATGCTCTTCTCAGTGTCGAGATTACAGTGTACTTTTTTGCTCGGCAAAGAAAAACTGCGGTCGTCTAAAGGTTTCCACAGAAGAAGTGCTGCGTCACGGCAATAGCACATAGGAAATGTCGCAGAAAAGCTCAGATAAGCTTCAAGCTCAACTCATTTTCTTCTCTACTTGGAGGGAATTAAACTACCAACACCATTAAGTGACTTCATCTTGTTTGGTATGAGCTAACTAACTCTTCACAAACTCATTGCTTCCAGCTAAATGATAAGATCTGAAATACAACATGGGGAGGCCAGTAGCGTTAGCTGAAGTAACAGATGATTAACACATGTGTCTGTTTATGCTAAATGCTTTAGACCGGCTGCCTTTCTTGGTATCTATTTTAAGCTACATAGTTACTGCAGTGGCTTTTGGTATGAATGATACGTGGTGCTCAGGGAAATGCAGCAGTGCTAGAACTCGTTGATTGGTGCAGCTCATCGACACTAAATGCCCAGTTCCAGATTTCACTGAAGTGCACGTCGCTCAGGATCGGCACTATAGTTTCGTCCTGTGCTGAGGATCATCACTGAAATAGCTCGGTGAGAAGATAAAGGCTGTACGGACAGAGCAACACGTCTGCTTCTCTATATCTCTTGACCTGACCCTCTCCCTCTGTCTCTCTCTTTCTCTCTCACTGTGATTGTCTTCCTCTCTGTCTGTTCTTTCTCTTAGTGTTGAGTGTCCTCTTAAAAGCAGAGACATGTTGGAAGAAATGACTCTCTCTTCCTGTCTTTCTTCTGCTGTTAAGTTTGATAGGCTGTCAGAGAGCAGGAGAGACTATTAGAACAGATTCTGTCTCTCTCTCCCTCTCTCTCTCTCTCTCTCTCTCTCTCTCTCTCTCTCTCTCTCTCTCCCTCTCTCTGATAGCCTATCAGAGTTACTGGGAGAAGTAAGAGGTGTATAATGGTCTGGTGTAGCTGAAATCGTAAGGCATTTTTCTTTATATAACATGACACATTTGTAAGTGAAACACAGTATCAGGGAGGATCTCCAAACTAGCTGAGCATGCATTTTCTGTTCATATGTATATATATACATTATATATATATATAAACAGATATAGATATATGTGAACAGATACATATATATATATATATATGTGTGTGTGTGTGTGTGTGTGTGTGTGTGTACACCGATCAGGCATAACATTATGACCACCTCCTTGTTTCTCTGCTCATTGTCCATTTTATCAGCTCCACTTACTATATAGGTGCACTTTGTAGTTCTACAGTTACAGACTGTAGTCCATCTGTTTCTCTGCATACTTTGTTAGCCCCCTTTTACCCTGTTCTTCAGTGGTCAGGACCCCCATGGACCCTCACACAGCAGGTACTATTTGGGTGGTGGATCATTCTCAGCACTGCAGTAACACTGACGTGGTGGTGGTGTGCTAGAGTGTGTTGCGCTGGTCTGAGTGGATCAGACACAGCAGTGCTGCTGGAGCTCTTACTGAGAAAAGGAGACACATCAAACAAAAAGCTGAACAATTGACTGACCACCCCAGAGTCCAGACCTCAACATCACTGAATGTGTTTGGGATTATTTGGATGGTGAGAAGCAGAAAATGTTAAACCAACTTCTAAGACTGAACTTTGGAGGTGTGAAAACCATCCCTGCAGATTTCAAATAGAGGCAAAGAGTGGACACACCAGTATTTCAATAAAAATGATATTATATTTAGTTGTTGAGGATTCTCTGTAATTTTCTGCTTAATATGTTTTTTTCCTTTTTTCCTGGCACTTTAACATGAATACGCTGTACTTGGTGGCCGTTTTCACTGAAAATGACATAAATGAAGAGTTTTCTTTATATTCCAGTATTGTGTAAATAGGTCTTACAGTCACATTTGGGCACATATTCAGTGTATTTTTAAAAAATATCATACCAAAATGATCAAACGGAACTGAATTTAATCATGATAAATTGTGAGATTTCACCACAAATAATCTCTCTTCTCTCTTTTCCTCTGTCTCTCTCTCTCTCAGGTGTTGGTGAAGAGCGGCCGTATTCCCATCGTGTCTCTGGAGTGCGTGTCCTGTAAGGCTCAGTCTCGTTATGAGATCAGTCAGAACTCCTATGTTTACCTTGCTGGAACCTGCAGCAACTGCCAGGGCTCATACAGAGGGGTGAGTGAGGAGCTAAACAGGAACACAACACTGCTTCATCCACAGAAACAGCATGCACAACTATTCAGATCTGTCCATGCTCCACTCACAGAGTGTTCCACCATTGCTAGATTGGACAGGCTTCACAGAACCTTGGTTACAGTTAAATCTGGCACTGCTAGCACATGCTGTCTGTCGAAATTGAGAGATACATGTGTGTAAAATATTGTGAAAATGATTGTGATATGCTGTTTATTTCGTATCGCCCACCCCTAATCAAACCACATCCGTGAATTTTACTGAAAAGGACCCTTACGTAAGACTGATTAAATGGCAGTTACCCAAGTGTTTCTTTGGTGACTACTTATTATGTCTCAGAACACGAGACCTGGCTCTTAAAGAGTGACTACACCCCACTATTTTCAGCTGACTCCACCCCTGGACTTGTGGGCACCGTACAAACCTCTCACTTGTTGATAACATTTGCAGTAGGCTTGGTGGCTGAGGTGTGTTGAAAGTTAATGCAGAAAAAAGCTAACTCAACCTTTGTAGCCTAAGCTAGTTAGCTTATATTAGCCGTTCTCTAGCATTACCATCATCACAACCTAGTGTTTAGCATGCTGCCTGTTTGATTCCAAGCACAGAAGTATAACAGGCAGGCTGTGTCGTACCAAACAGGTTGTTCACAGATGTGACCGGGTTGGTTGTACATTGCCTCACCGGTCATCCAGGGTTTGCTGCCGTGGCCCGAAATCCTCACGTTCTGCAAACTGTTCATGGCACTTATTAGCAGCTATTTATTTAGAAGCTTGCAAGAATCCTCACTTAATCGGTCTGTCAGGTTACATAATTATCTGTTGAACGTCAGTATAAGGCTAGTTAAGCCTAAAAGGCTAAAAACTACAATATCTACAAATACAATAACTAAGAATTAACAATAATAACTAACTAGAAGACACGTGATCCGTGCCTGTAGCAGAGTTGAACCAAAGGGGCGCTGCTGAGGCGGAATTGACCTTGATAAAAATGATATTTTTACAGTTTGGGACGATGTGTTCACATTTCAAGCAAGCCTGGTCTATTTTATTATTACAGAGCAGTGCATTTCAGCTATTAACGAAAAAGAAGGTCTTGGGGTGTAGTCACTCTTTAAAAACTCAGAGAAGCCCCCCACCCCCGAGGTATAAGTTTGACGTTTGTCTAGTTTTATGTAGCAAAGCCTGTCATAATTCATTTTTAAGATGACCATGTTTTTAATCCCTTAGAACTAAACAGCCTATTTTTGATGCTGTGGCTTTAAGAATAATATATGTAAATGAGCTCTGTTCTAATTGGCTGTTCCGTATCACGCCTTATTTCAAAAAGTCAGTCCGGGCTTGAACACACCTTATAACTTCGATGGGAGGGGGCGGGGCAAAACGTATTGGTTTTTGTGACGTCACAAAAACAATTTATAACCAGCCCTGTTTGTTGTAGCTTAGTTTTCAAATATGGACTGTATGGACTGAGAGTGAGTGGTACGTTTTGACATTACAATGATGTTTCCATGCTACATCAAACACATACATACATACATACATACATACATACATACATTCACAAAAAAAACCTGGAAAAATTCATTTTTCCATGGTTTGGGCCCTTTAAAGAAGGGGTGCTTTGAATGGGACTGCTGTGTGGCACATCCTTCTAAGGTTTTGCTTTGTTGTCAGGAGAGCACAAAAAATCTTGTGCTGCTTTATTGTGTAAAAGAGAGCTTCTCTCAGGCTGCTTGAGTTTGGTTAACTGATGTCACCTCGTTTAACCCCAGAGCTCAGTAGGCTGTGTTATGAGCTCATATCTCCTGGGCATGCGGGGAATGGCTTCATCAGTCCCTGGGGTAGCTGGGTAGATGGGGGTTTGGGCTGAGTGAGTCACTTTCAGGCCTCGTGCTGATGGAGAGAGACAGACGAGCTTTTAAAGAGAGAGATGAAGTCACAGTGAGGAACCAGCAAGAGAGAACATGCATCTCTTTCTCCAACACAAAGTCAAAAGAAGCTTCATTGGTTGGAACATATTATGTCACCAAAGCATCCAGATATGTTTTTTTATGTACGTCAGTCAGTGAATCAGTTCACAAATTCATGCTGCGTATGTTCAAGTCTACACGTGTTCTGTTATATTATTGTTGTTTTGACTATATATTTACCCTTAATTGCTGATGCACATTATATACACTTTGGCATGAGAAGGCATGATGAAATCTAGGAACTTAAATTACATGTCTGTATTACATAACTTACATGTGTATATTGAGTATAATTATTATGCTTGTTGTATTATAATATTATAGTATTATATAATCTCCAACTATTATAATAACACTCTTATTTAAGCTTTGGTTGGAAACAAAAGGGTTAAAATGAAAAATATTCCAATCAGAGTTAGTCCTGTGACAGCTAGGTACAGTCAAGCGAGCTTTCCCATTGGTTAGGACTTTAGGAGCTGGACTGAAGATCTTAGATGTTAGATTATCTACCAACATCAGGAACTGGCAGAGGATTTAACTGATCAGACAGTTTCATGAGAAGAAACATCTCTCTCAGTCTTCTGAAAGTCCTACTGACTGAATACGAGCTGTGGTCTAACCAGGTTTCAGGTAGTTGTTAGGAATGGAAGAAAGTGGCAGTAGCTCTATACCAGGACTCTACTGAAAGAGTTACTGTAAAACTGCGGCATACAAGCTAACATGTTTACAGTAATGTCTGCTAATGGCTTCAAATAAAAGTATACAATGTCTTTTACAAGCTTCAGATATCCTGTGCAGCAGCGTAGAAATCGTTCATGTGCAGTAGTGCTAGCTATTAGAAGTCCCATAGTGGCGCTAGCAGAAATTAGAATTATTGCAGGTGGGCTTATTTGTGAGTTTTGACGTTTCAGTTCGGTTTTATCGAATTCAGATTTTTCTTTCTGAGGGATGTTTTCACACTTCCATATACTTGAGTCTGCACTCCTGACTGATTCTGGGCTCATTTTGGGGAGGGGCTCATAATCGCTGGTTTGTTTTCACACACAAGAGGTGTGTCCCAAATCAGGGGCTACATCCTTCATAGACCGCGTCCTTCGAAGGCTGCGTAGACCTGCAAAGGCTGACCCGAAATGAGACGGTCTGCTCTACAGCGGATTTCCTGTTTAGGTCACAACAACGCTGTTCCCATCCTTACTGTTGCATCACGAAACGACGCTTGGCTTTTTTAACATTTCTGTTGTTTTTGTATAGGAGCCTTTCGCTCCTCTGCTTGTTTTCGAAGCCTCGCTGGCACGCAAGAAACTTCGGGATATGTTTGCTGGCGAAGGATGCACCCGTTGAATGTTCGTTGCCATGAAAAAGAAGGACACGTTTCTTGGCCGCATATGAAGGAGCCTTCGAAATGGGACAGCCTAGTCGCTCCGCTGAGACACAGTCTGCCTTCACATGCGGCCTCCGAAGGACGCAGCCCCTTGGTACACAGCTGTTAATTCCATTTGAACCGTGGATTGATTGCACAATTCCGGCTCTTTTCCGTGAGCCGTTTTGCTAAATGGTAGGCACTAGCTTCTTCTGGTTGCTGCTTTTTATTCTTTTCCTTGAATACAAACGCTCAAGCGGCGAGGAACAGAACTTTTTGTCCACAACAGTCCTTTCCCGCCATCACAAAACTTGAAGTAAGTAACTTTAAGTAACTTGATTAGTCAAAGCAGTCATGTAACGAAATAGGCCACTCATGCAACCCCCCCATGCTGCGCCGGGAGCGGATAGCTTCCACACTGCAGTTCACTGGAAGGTCAACCCCAGACCACCGATTTATCGATTTCGGGAGGACCAGAGGTTGGTTGGCTGCTCCCAGGCTGGAACGCAGCTTTCACAATTGACCAAACATACCAAACTTGCAAAGCAAGCAGTCCTGGGTTGGGAAAGAAAACTCTAAATGTGAAAACACCCTAAATGACCAAATTTGAAGAGCATGAACAGCATGAACAACTGTCCCTGCTCCGCCCACAAACGTGTTCTGCTGTTGCAAGGTTGGACAAGCTTTACAGAAGTTTAGTTTAAGTCCCATTCAGCCTACTAAGAAACCGCAACTCAGTGTTTATCCAAAGCACCTACATTTACAGTGTTATTCATTGCAACCCATGTTTCTTTTGTATGTGTGTTAAAGGTCACACTGTTAGGAAAGATCAGAAGGAGTCTTTTTGTCATGTCATCTAACACTAATGTTAACATTAGTTCTATAGTGGTAAATTCATTGTTTTTTCAAGCTGTCCAGTTTCAAATTAGCTACAACAGCTCAGTTTAGCTCAGTACTGTATCAATTTAAACTCAACATTATGTAGCATCTCCAAATGAATGTTTTAGATGTCAGTTCCCCAGAATGAGAAAAGGAAAGAAAGGCTGAGTGGGTGTAGGGGATGATGTCATCATTATGAAATGATGCATTCCACTGCCGTTAGCTGTCTGTGCTAGGCCAAGTGTAATTATAATTGCACATGCACACTCACACACACAGTTGTCAGGCTGTTGCCAGTCAGTGCGTTTTCTTTCACCTAGTGACCGTTTGGTAAATGATTCATTTTCAGGTAATTTGTTTCTGGACTGAAAAAGATTGAGATCTGCTTTGGATCAGTGTATAACTATTAGGGGTGGACAGTATGAGGATATGTTATCGTTACTGCCATATATTATTACATTAAAATACTCTTTTCTTAGCATATCAGGAGAGCACTGCTCTATTCTATATGTATGTGTGTGTGTGTATGTATATATATTTACCACTATAGCACTTAGTGAAAAAGAAGAAAAGGCCCAGAATTGCTTGGAAAAATGTCTGGTTCCATTGACTTACATTAAAAGTGTTTTTTCCCTTTCCTGTAAAGTTACCATTTTAGAGATACAAGGTTTTCTTCTAAATATATATATTTATACATATTTTCTATATACTGGAACACTTCTGTATTATACACACAGTCTTATTCTAAAGCACTGATATGTTCTAGTACACTGCATCTCCATCAATATAGTTTTAAATATTAGGATAGGAAGGAGCCCAAACTGATCCTAGACCAGCACTTTTATAAATATGCGGCAAAGTTAAACCTGATCCCTCAGCAATATGAAATGTCCTTCTGTTATAACCTATTCAGTAAAGCCTAAAAGCTTTAGATAAACATCTAATATACAGAAGTGGAGAAGTATAGAAAAGAGGACAAAGCCGAAAGATAAACCGTCTGCTCCTTATCTATCGTTTTAAATTTGCTTGGAATTCGCAGAGGCACTCTTAAGAGGCACCAGTATTACTTTACTGTGCAGAGTGAATGATGCGTCCATTACTCTTCGTCCCACGCTGCTGACAACGTCTGCGTGCTCTGTTTTTCTGATTAGAGCTGGTCAGCGGTGAACCAACGGAACGAAACACTGGTTCTGGACCACAACACCACCACCACAGCCCAGGACAGCATGAACCTGGTGCTGAGGATAGGGGCCCTACGGGACGGAGACTCGTACATCTTCAGCCTACACGTTAACGACGATAGCATGGACGGAGAGGGTGTGGCCTACATCAAGCTCCGCCCCAACCTTCCACCAGCCGGGGGAGCGTGTCTGCTGTGGGTGGACGGGGACAGGCCTGAGGTGCACACGCTGCTGGAGAAAGTGCACTTCAATTGTACAGGTGAGACACGTGTATTGTCGGTTAAGACACGTGGACTGACAGGTGAGAGGATGAATTGATTACAGGTGAAACCAGGTGGACTGAGGACAGGTAAAGCAAGGACAGTAAAGAGAGGTGAGACAGGTGGATTGAAGACCAGTAAGACAGGTGGACTGAAGGAAATGTGTAATGGTGGACAGGCAGACTGAAAACAGGTTCAACAGAAGGCTAGTTAACAGGTGAGACAAGTGGCTAGAGAACAGATGGGACAGTTGAATAGTGATCAGGTGAGACAGGTTAGTGAACTGGTGAGATAGGTGGTTAGTGAACAGATGAGACTGGTGGATAGTGAACAGATGAGACAGGCAGATAGTACTATAAAGAGTTGAAACAGGTGGATCATGAACAGGTGAGACAGGTGGATTGTAAACAGGTGAGAGAGGTGGATCGTGAACAGGTGAGACAGGCAGATAGTACTATAAACAGTTGAAACAGGTGGATCGTGAACAGGTGAGACAGGTGGATAATGAGCAGTTGAAGCAGCTGCATAGTGAAAAGGTGTGACAGTTGGATAGTAAACAGTTGAAACAGGTGGATCGTGAATAGGTGAGACAGGTGGATCGTAAACAGGTGAGACAGTTGGATAGTAAACAGTTGAAACAGGTGGATCATGAATAGGTGAGACAGGTGGATCGTAAACAGGTGAGACAGGTGGATCGTGAACAGGTGAGACAGGTGGATCGTAAACAGGTGAGAGAGGTGGATACTAAACAGGTGAGACAAGTGGATAGTGAATAGGTGAGACAGGAGGTTAGTGAAGACTTGAGACAGGTGGATGATAAACAGTTGAGGCGGTTGCATAGTGAACAGTTGAGACAGGTGGATAGTGAACAGTTGAGACAGGTGGATAGTGAACAGTTGAAACAGGTGGATCATGAACAGTTGAGACAGGTGGATAGTGAACAGGTGAGACAGGTGGATAGTGAACAGTTGAGACAGGTGGATCGTGAACAGGTGAGACAGGTGGATCATGAACAGTTGAGACAGGTGGATAGTGAACAGTTGAGACAGGTGGATAGTGAACAGTTGAGACAGGTGGATAGTGAACAGGTGAGACAGGTGGATAGTGAACAGTTGAGACAGATGGATCGTGAACAGGTGAGACAAGTGGATAGTGAATAGGTGAGACAGGAGGTTAGTGAAGACTTGAGACAGGTGGATGATAAACAGTTGAGGCGGTTGCATAGTGAACAGGTGAGACAGGTGCTGAGTGAACAAGCTGTGTGAACAGTTAAGACAGGTGGAGATGAGTGGATAGTGAACAGGTGAGACTTTGCGTAAGAGAAACGTATTCAGATTAGGCTTGGGTGATAATGTGAATTTAGGCAAACGATTATCGTCTCCAGAATTATAACGATAAACAATATTAGCGTTATATTTATATATATATATATATATATATATATATATATATAGAAATTTATGAAGAAAACCCAAGTGAGTGGGCCTTTCAGTCACATGATCATTTTATTGCAGCCTATGTAAGTGAACTGCTGCATCTCAGCGGAACAGCAAAGGAGAATTACAGCAGTGAATCTTAATTCTGGAAAAAAAACTGTTATGTTAGAAGAAATAATAATAAAAATTATTAATATTATTATGATTATAGTCTTTAACAACCTAGATTGTTTTATACACAATTAACATTATTATACATCTCAGGCGCCGCTGTCTTGCTGAAGTACTTGCGGCTTGTAAGGTCGTACTGTGGATTCATGGTCTGTTTTACCCCCTTTGGTGATGATCAGTTTTCTGCATAGACGGCATGTAACACTGTTAACATCTAACGGTTCTCCGTGTTCGTCTGGTTGGAACCGAAGTATTTCCAAACGGGCGCGGTGACACCTTTCTTTAATACAAGCTCATCCATTTTTCACCGTGGAGAAGGTCACATGTAGCAGAGTGTTTCATATGCATATACCCACCATTCTTTGCCAGACTGAAACGCTACATTCTAATCTTTTCAAGTGGCGTTTTAAAAACGTATATTTGTTGTTAATTAGTTATGTTTGCATGGTCTATACTTAAATGCTGTCTTTTCTGTTATAGCTTAGGTCTAACATTTTAACCTACCATAGATAGAATGCTTGTACAAAGTCAATGGTTAAATACAAGGAATGACAAGAAAAAGAAAAAAGTCACATGGCAAGGGTACATGATAAAAAATAAAACGATAATTTACTTCATATCGTCACTGGTTGAAATTATCGCGATATTCGATAATATCGTTTATCGCCCCAAGGCTAATTCAGATGATGGTATCTCATACCACAGTGGGAGTGTTATTACACTGACTTGGCATGACTTGGACAAAGTATCTAGAGAAAATGATAAGGGCTAGAGGTTAAAGTGTTCTCTTTCTCCTCCGTCTCTCTCTCTTCTTCTCCAGGCTACACCGATTTGGATGAAACAGAGTCTTCTCTACTTTACAGTCTGCTAGTGTTGCGCTGCTCGGAGTCGCACTGTGAGGATTTCTGTGTGTATAAGGGCACCAGCCCGGAACACTCCGCCTTCCTGCCACCCGGTTTTAGTTCCGCCCAGTACAGGGTCTCAGTCTCTGTCATGGTGGAGGACCACCAGGGTGCGTCCATCACCGCCATCAACAAGTGAGTCAGGGGTTTGGAAAGAAGCCCAATTTGTTCTTTTTCTCTCTAGTTATTCATAGACAGTGCAGCTCTATCTGATGTGCTAATTAACTTCTGAGCAATTTGACATTTCCTCACTGTAGTTTTCACGCTTTCCCGTGCTGGTTCAGGGACGAACACAGACATTTGAGTTCTTTAACCTGTGTGCGTTTGTATGTTTCAGGACGATGGTGGTGGTGCTGCCTGAAACTCCGCAAGGTTTCAGCAGTTTGGCCCACTGGCTGAGTGAGAAAACAGACACCACTCTGAAAGATCTTCTGAAACAGGGCGACTCCCAGAGGGTCCGAGAGCTCTCCCTCGCCCTCATTACTGTTCTCAACGAGGTCAGTCTCACGCTCTCGACACACGTGTCCGTGTTGGACTGAGGGCCCCTCACACACCAAGTAGGCTTGAGGTTGAAGATGTTTAGTCAATTGTCGATAGTTTCCATCTATTGCAATTGTAAATCAAGATGGATGATCTGTTTTCACTCAGGAACACTTTGCATGATTAAAGTGTTCTTCGCATCCAGATTGATGGAAAACGTGCTGTAGATGGTTCTATATAGAACCTTTTTGAAACAGGGTTGTACATACATGGGCATCATAACAATAGTAGAACCCTTTTGGGTGCTATATAGAATGCTTTTCAAAAAGGTTCTACCATGTTTTAGTTTAATGCTTAATGTTAGTACATATTCTGAATCAGTAAAGATACACTGTCTGGCTATAGAACATTCAGTACTTGTGTGTGTGTGTGTGTGTGTGTGTGTGTGTGTGTATGTATGTATGTATACACGTTCAGTGTATATATATATATATATAGAGAGAGAGAGAGAGAGTACAAGTAAGGTATTAATAAAGGAAATTACTCATGTAGAGTTGAAAAGTAATTTGTGGGAAAACTACTTCTGTTCATGTCTGTTTCTGTATATCTAAAAACTAAAGCAAAATATAAGATTACATGAGAAAAAACGTTTTGAGTCTAATCACAGGATTCTCCACTACTGCACATATTAAACTCCATCAAACTACACAGTTTGCTACTATACAAAGTTTGTTGACTAGTTTGGAAGTATGTTTATCTTCTCCAGTTGAATCAGACACGGCAGGTATTGTGGTGTTACCACAGGAGAGACGTGATGGTGAGCTGACAGAAGGCGATCATTAGTCGGTCTTAGTTGACACTAGTTGTTCCTTGTTGGCTTGGTGTATTAAAGCCTTCTATGAGTCCAGGTCTCCCCTGCGTTAAACCAGCTAGGCAGTTTTGATTTGTCCACGTTTTTCAGTGTATCTACAGTCTTTCACTGTGTTCTGTATCTTAAATGTCTGTGTTTTTCTGTGTGTGCAGTATGAGCAGGGCATGGTGCGTAGGCGTGAGCGGGTGAACAGGCTGGAGAGACAGTACAGAGTCAATGTGAGAGGAAACATCACCAGAGCTCTGACATCACTGGATCTGAACACGGTCAGCGACATCCAGCAAACCTCTGCCGCTCTGGCGCAGTGCACGGTAAAGTATCTATATGTAATAAACATATGTCCCATGTGTATTATATGTATGTGAAAATATGTCGCTGCTGTCGGACGAAAACCTCTTTTTTTATGTCGTTTTTCAGTTTTTGACATAATTTGAAAATGCCTGTTGCCCTTTATATTATATGTAAATTTCATGATGAATGGACCAAAAGAAACGGCCCAAAACGTCTGGTTCTATTGACTTACAGTAAATGTACAGTAGGTTTTGTCCTTCTCCTGTAAAGTTACCATTTTGGAGATACAAGGTTTTCTTCTGACAACGGCGATATGTAATATGTCCCATATATGTATATAATAAACATGTATCTATATGTAACAATAGTATGTCCCATATGTACATGTATATGTATATATCATTGCTGTCAGGACAAAACCTTGTATCTACGTCACTCTTAAATTCACTAGTGAAATATAATCGTAAAATTTTTGTTTTTTGACATAATTTAAAAAAGGCAGTTGCCCTTTATTTTGTGTCAGAATTTCATGATGAACAGACCAACAGAAATGGTCCAAAATTACTTGGAAATACATATTCCTCCATTTACTCCCATTAAAAGTTAAGAACGTTTTCCCTCGTCCTGTAAAGTTACCTTTTTGGAGATGCAAGGTTTTGTTCGACAGCAGCGATACACACTGTTTAAAAAATGATGGTTCTTCAAGGGTTCCTTTGCAAAGAAAATGGTTCTATATAGAACCATGAACACTCAAAGAACCCTTTGCATGGTTCTTTGCATCATGAAATGGTTCATTAGATTGATAGAGAATGTGGTGCATGTGGTTTTATATAGAACCTTTTTGACAAGGGTTCTATATAGCACCTAAAAGGGTTCTTCTATTGTTATATTGTTACAAGCATCTTAATATTAGCAGAATCCTTTTGGGTGCTATATAGAACCATATACAACACATTCTCCCATCAATCTGAAGAACCACTTCATAAAGCAAAGAACACTTAAATCATGCAAAGGGCTCTTCGAGTGTTCATGGTTCTATGTAAACCATTTTCTTTGCTAAAGAACCCTTGAAGAACCATCTTTTTTTAAGAGTGAATACATACATATATGTGTATACATATATATATGCACACTAACATATACCATCTGTCCCATATTTAAATAACTATATGAAATAAAAATCTCAATTATGAATTTTACATTGTTGCTGTCAGAACAAAACAAATTTTTTACAAACTTTAAAATGACTAAATTTAATGTATCAAAATTCAATGATGAAATGATCAATAGAAATGGCTCAGAAAGGCTTTTTGATGAAAGGTTTTGTTCTGACAGTGTCTGTATGTATTGTTGATGTGTGTAACTAACCACCCCAGACCACTCCAGAGAATGTGTGTAACTAATGTGTAACTGTGTGTATGTAGGCGGTGAGCCGGGAGTTTGTGTGTGAGGAGTGTCAGAACAGCACTCTGGATAAACTGGAGTCGATGCTGGAGATCCTTCAGACGGACACCAAGCAGGGGACGGTGACTCCCACAGAGATCGCGGATAACATCCTCAACATCATGGGTGAATTTTACACACGCATTTAATCACAGTTCAAGAGTTTAGTGTAGATACCTACATGCACACTCACTGACAAAAAAAAGATTCAAGCAACTACAACCCCAATTCCAAAAAAGTTGGGATGCTGTGTAAATAAATGTAAATAAAAACAGAATGCAATGATTTGCAAATCTCATAGACCCATATTTTATTTCACAATAGGGAATAAATAGAAACAGTCAATCCCGTTCCAATTGTGTTCTTGTGGGCTACAGAAACAACAGAGGCCTCAGACAGTCAGACAGTCTCAGCTGCAAACAAGCTGTTAATAAAAGCCAGTAACACAACAATAAAGCAGACGAAAGGCAAGTCTGACCTACGGCGCTCGTTTTCACTGGTGACTAACACAGATGGAAACTGGTTATACTGGTCTTTGGCGGGAGTGGGAGAAAAACGGGTGGCGCTGCACCTCCAAAAGTGGTGGGGCAAAATGTTTCCCAAAAACAAAAACAAAACAAACAAACAAAAAATGTCTGGCTGAGTGATGAAATGCAGTTAGGCCACTGACTCAAACCACCTTTCATGCCTCAGACAGTAAACTCTACTAGCTGACATCTCTGAAGAACATCAGGCTGTTTTCAAACAGCTCTATTTCTAAAGTCCGCACCAGTTTTGGAAGCAAGGGCTCTGTTACTCTCATATTTGCAACCGTGAACATAGACAAAAATAGATAAAGTGCATCACAATCATAGCAATAGCAATAAATCATAGTTGATATTTTCTTCATGATCGGTTTGTCCATTTGAATGTAAGCAGTTAGGTCGCTGATGCTCGGCCAAAAATATGCTTTGTGATCCATGAGCCAGGATCAAACACATGTTTCCGGAATTATTTTATTGCTCTTAGTCAACAGCAGCTCGAGCTGCAGGAACCATATGAGCGTCTGTGAAGAGTGAACTGTCAAAGCAGGCAGATGGTGCAGGGAAAGGAAAAATGCGCTCTGGTGTTGAATTCCTTTGTGAATTAGTCCTTCAGGGAGGACCTGAATACGGGAGGAGTGTTTAGCGAACTGAAGAAAAAGTTCAGTAGATCCACAGCAACCACGGTAGATCAGAAGGCGGTCTTAGTTTAGTAATGTAGCAGTACGAAATATTCAAACTGACATTTCATAAATTTACACAGTGTAATAAAATGAACTGTGACAGTGCATTAGATTGTGAATCTCAGTAAAAACACTGGCCAGATCAGTGAGCTGAAGCTGCTCTCACTGAACATGAAGGCTTTCCTGTTTGGGAAATGTTCCACCTCCCAGCTGAAACGAAGATTCTGATTGGCTCTGCCCGCGAGTTCGACTCTGTCTCTGTTCATGTCTGCTGGTCAGCACTTCATGTAGTTTAATTTCTTCATGGTGTAAGCGATGTGGACTCGTGGTGAGTCGTGGCCACATCAAGCTGATGAGTGGCGGGTCAAATGCTCGCTCGCCCCCCGTGGTTCCAACAGCCCTGGAGAAAACATTTAGGTTATAAGCAGGAGCGGGACAAACAATCCAGGCTTTTATGCAGGATCGGGATGAAATCTTGAGTCTGTGCGGTCACATTAATATCATATGTAAATTGGAATCATTGTTTTCAATGACATAAATACCAGTGTGTACGCACCAGTTTTGCAGGGAAGCAAGAGCTCTGTTACTCTCATATTTGCCACCATGAACATAGAAAAAATAGAAAAAAGTGCATCACAATCATTGCAATAGTAATAAATCATAGTTGATACCTTCTTCATGGTCGGTTTGTCAATTTGAATGTAAGCGTTAAGTCGCTGATGCTTGGCCAAAAATAAAAAAAAATTTCGAAAAATCTATTGAATTTTCACTAAACTTACCTTCCACTCTTTCTCCAGGTGATCTAATCCACCAGGTGAGTCGGGCTGCGTCATCTCCTCCAGAGGAGTCTGAGGGTGGCGGCTTCCCACAATGTGCATCTCCAGTGGATGACCAGCCGCACCCCCTCCGCGTGGCCGCTAAAGCCTACACGCTGTCGTCTGAGCTGATGCGCATCCTGATGCTGTCGCGCGTTCTGAATGAGGAGCCGCTGATCCTGCGGGGGGCCGAGATCGCTGCCGCGGGGAAACGAGCGGACCTCCAGAGCCTCCTCTGCTATGGTCACAGTGACGCTCCCGAGTGCCGGCGCTTCTCCATCCCACGTGCCTTCAACTCCAGCCTGGGCAGAGCAGCTGAGGCGGTGGTCCAACTGATCTTTATGGTAGGGATGGGTATGATTGTCCAAATACAAGGATATCTGAACTTATTTTAGTGTTTGACTGAAAAATGAAATCTGGACTGACCACTCCAGAGTCCAATCTTCAGCATAATAGAACGTGTTTGGAATTACTTAGATCATGAGAAGCTGAAAAAGAAAAAGACTGAACTTTGTAGGTGTGAAAACATTCCCTGCAGATTTCTTTGAAAAACTGAAAGTGAGTCTCCTGAAAACAATGGAAGCTGTAATAAAGGCAAAGAGTGGACACAGTAAATACTGAAAAAAATGATTATTATATGTAGTTGTTGAGGTTTTTGTGTAATTTTCTGTTAAATATGTGTTTCCTGCCCTTTTCTGACACTGAAAAATGAATAGTTTTTACTTAATTACTGTTTTTGTGAAAAATAAATGAAGAGAAATCTCTGAATTTGCACTGTACTGTATGGAAATGTTTCATCTAAAACATGTCAGATTTGTATGTGTGTTAAATTATACATTTATATTCATTTAGACGTGTGTCTTATTCAGATGCGGATCACCTTTTAACGTTGACAGGTTTAAATACTTCTCTTGTGAATATCTGAATAGCAAAAATGCTCAAGAATCGTCCGCTCTTGCTTCCAGGTGGAGCCGAACCCCTTCCCCTTCAACTTCGTGCCCAACCACACCGTGTCCACGGAGGTTGCGTCCATGGAGTTCCGCACCATCAACGGCACACAGATCCCCATCACCGACCTGGACGAGAGCCAGGCCATCACGGTCGCCATTAACAACATCACGGCGGCGGAGCTGGACGGGGACGGAGCCGGACAGGTGCTACAGCCAGCCGGGGCGGTGAACGTCAGCCGCTGCGGCACAGTGATCGTCAGGGTCAGCACGGGGAACATCAACCGACAAGCTGGAGTCTATATCCAACTCAACTTCACCACGGTGGAGGGTAAGGTTACAGTGTGTCCACTAGGGGGCAGCATGTTCATCAGTAATCTGCTAATGAGAAAGTGTTAATAAAGGATGTGTCTGTCGTCTTTATACTCTTAATTGACAGCATGTGCCACGTCCACTAGCGGCGGCACTTTAACTAGCTAATATTAGCCTTTAGTCTCATTTCTAGTTCTGTATTTTGCAATCGCTGCTAGTTAACTGACCTGTAGATGTTACTGTTTGACCACCTAGCTTAATACCTGCCAGTGACTGCAAAATTTAGAGATGGAAAATGGATTAAAGGTCTGGATTTTAAGACCTCCACCCTGTATGATCAGTTTGTAGTCTACGTATTCTCATATCTGTGTAGAACACCAGCGAAAACAGTGTAATATATTCCACAAATCACTGTATTCACTCAGAGAATGTGACAAAGCAAAGCAAAATTTTGAAGACAGTGGTTTCTTTGTGTAGCCCATGATATTTGTTATATTGGTTTACGTCAGTTCTTCTCAGATTGTCCTGTATTATTAAATCATGAGCCAAAAGCAATTTCTCTTTTATTCATTTCATAAATGTAGAGTGCTAATATTGCAGTAATAGACTAGTCTAAAACTGCACCACACAAAGCACATTGTCATTCCTGGACCTATCGTCTGTCCACTAATGTAGTTAGTGTTCATTTCGCAGCCGTACTGAGAGAAGAGCATTTTTTATTAGGCTCATTTAAAATTGACATTAGACCTGTGTTTTACTGTTTAGCACTACCTATTAGGCTGCCTTTCAAAATAAAAGCACACAGTTGAAAGTTCTGTAAAATTACAGAAACTCCTGTGGATGTTTTCAGATCTGAATCAGGCGTGGAGCTTGATTTTCTTCTCTCTCTCAAAGATGAAAGCTTTAAATACTGCCCGTCAGAATGGGACAGTTTTGGTGGTCTACTAGTCTTGCAGGTGGTTGTTAGGAGTAACGTTTTGGGTGGTCTCTGACTTTTGCACAGTAATGTATATCGAGAGAAAGCAATTTTCTTTTTAACTGCATCTTTAAGTCTTTAAGAGGGTTTCTGACCTTTGGAGTAAATACTGAGTAAATGATGATGCTTTAGCTGGTGCTGGTTATTGACCTCAACCTTTGTCAAATGCTTATTTGTGTGTGTGTTTGTGCAGATTCTCCAGGTGGACGTGACTCAGACCCGTCAATCACAGCATACCTGTACACCTCCCAGTGGGCCAATGAGTACAACAGCACAGACAAGAAGCACATCACACTCAGCATGATGAGGGGAGGGAGCCCGGACCACCAGCCCTACACCTTCTTCTTGTCTCCACTGTAAGAGAAGCACAATTAGTGCACATGGCATGGGTGACGTGCACATCTGTGAAGGCACCATTAATGCTGAATGATATATACATGTTTTGGCAACATATGCTGCCATCCAGACAACGTCTTTTTCAGGAAAGGCCTTGATTATTTCAGCAAGACAGTGTCAAACCACATTCTGCATGTATTACAACAGCACTGTTCTGTATTAAAAGAGTCCAGGTGCTAAACTGGCCTGCCTGCAGTCCAGACCTGTCACCACTGATAATATTTGGTGCATTATGAAATGAAAAATACGACAAAGGAGACCCCGAACAGCTGAGCAGCTGAAATCCTGTATCAAACAAGAATGAGAAAACATTTCACTTTCAAAACTACAGTAGTGTCTTTTCAGTTCCCAAACGCTTACAGAGTGTTGTTAAAAGAAGAGGTGATGAAACACAGTGGTAAACAGGCCCCCCGTCCCAACTTTTTTGTGTTGTTGGCATCAACATTTGATATGTTGTCTTTGTAGTATTTTCCTTTAAAATTATGTTTTACATGATTTGAAAAATTATTGCATTCTGTTTTTATTTACGTTATGCACAGCGTCCCGACTTTTTTGGAAATGGAGTTGTAGATAACATACACATTAATTTTAGCATATCATGTCAGTGTATATTAGCAATTCAAATAAACAAACAAATAAATAACTAACTAGTTGATGGATTGAGTGTAAAAGCACAGTGTGCAGAGAAGTTGCATACATCATACATGTTCATAGATGTCTGCTTTCTTAGTGAGTGTTAAGCTTTAGGGACGCTCCAAAGCCATTTATGGTGCTTGCCTGGCGCTGTATTACAGAACCGTCCTATCTTCAGTCCTAAGTTAAGATCTGATAAGATCTTTTTACAGTTTTGTTTTACAGAAACAAATCTTATCTTCATTTAAGAATTATGTCTTATCGATTAGGGTCAATAATCAGTTGTTATGTCTGTTGTCAAGCAACCCACGATATGCGCACAGCTGAAACACAATCAAATTTAACGTTAAAAATATACAGCATCACTGCTCCGTTTCAGTTTCCATTTCCATCCCTAGGCTTTAAGTATCTTACTGCTCATATCAGCCAGGTTTATCTCTGCCTCCTCATTATTCACCACCATCGCTGTAATATTTTATTTGATGAGTTTTTATGAATCATCAACAAACGAAAGGTAATAAGAGGGAACAGTGGAGAACATCAGTGTATGTGATTTTTGAACCACATGACCTCATCGTTTTACAAGGGAAACTACTGCTTTGCAATATAAATAAATCTAACGTCATTATACTAATTATAGTGAACTTGTTATCTGTCACAGTTATCTAAAAATGATAGACACTGAAGATTGTTGGGGTTTTCTTGAAGTTAGGACAGAATTTAGGACATTTTGTCTAGTTAGGAGGCTTATTTAACACTGTTTTCTTATCTGGAGTTAATAAATAAGATTCTGAACTTAAGAACTGTTGTTCTGTAATTGCTTCTGTCCTAAATTCAGTCTTAACTGAAGTCCTCATTGTGACTCAACAGACAAGATTTTCGAGTTAAGATATTTCTGTACTAGGGCCTGTAAAGAGGTCTGATACCACTGGTGAAAATGCTTCTGTTTTGCTTTTCTTTCCAATTTAATACAAATTTTGCACTACAAATGATATTGTCAGTCTAAGAATTTGAGTGAAAAGTAGAAACCTTGAGCTTTTAACATGAATTTCTGTATTTTTTAGTGTTTGGTAAAGTGTGTCCTTCTTCTGCTTTAGTGACAGTGTGCGCTCGAGCTGGCGTGAGCTGCATATGTTTGTGTAAAAGCCTCTGATCAGTAGATCAAATCCATCTGAGAGTTATAAGGACACAAGCTTTAATTAAAGAGATTAAAAAAGATTTTAAAAAGTATGACCTTTTCGTACAAAGGCCTTAACATGGTCAATTTCACAAATTTGCCTCAGTTTGAATAGTGACCTTGAAATGTTGCAGAGTTTGAAATATTTCTTCTTTATTTTAACCTTTTTCGTGATTCTAAAACTTTCTGTTGTTTATTTCCAGCATTAAATGAAAAAATACAGATTTTCAATGTGGTGTCAGACTTTTAGACTCCACTGTATGTTTACATGGTGTGTGACTATAGGAATCCTGTAACACAAAGATGTATTTTTACATGGTCTGCGTTAGATTTTCTTATACAAAATGTGTTAAAACAGTCATTTTAAAACGTGTTGTTCATGATTATGTGACTTCATGTTGAACTGTATGACAGTCAGATTGTCAGTAGTTCTCTCTCTGTGCTCTGTGTCTCCGCAGCGTGTATGACACCACACGGGACCACTTCATTAACGTGACGGGGGGCTGCAGTGCTGATTGGCCGCCGCGTGTGCGGTTGGAGGTCGGCGTGTTTACGGTTCTGTGTCAGTATTTCAGCAAGCAGGCTCATGTCTGGCAGACGGACGGAATCGTTCCTCTGGCACAGACGACTGCGGGCCGGGCTGTCTGCAGCACACGCCACCTCACCGACTTCGCCGCCAGCCTCTTCGTCCCCCCAGATGCCGTCAGCTTCGTCATCCATGTGAGTCACAGGTTTTAGTGGAAGAAGTCGGGCAAGATAGTTTTGGGTAAAAAGCAGCATGTAGATTCCTAAATATTCCGTGAATGAGTGAATATAGCACAGGACTCAAAAAACATGTTTACAGTGCCGTGAAAAACTATTTGCCCCTTCCTGATTTTCTCTATTACACTTTTTACATTTTACAAAATGTAATATTAGAGAATTTCATGCAACACAACACACATTATTATTATTATTATTATTATTATTTCATTTACTCAGGGAGCAAAGACGTGAATCGTCCATGTGACAAAGTAATTGCCTTCTTTGGGCGAATAACGAACGCAGCCAACATTTCCTATAAGTTGGTATCAGCGCTCAAGTTGTTATAAAGGAATTGGTGCCCACTCTTCTTTGCAGAACTGCTTTAATGCAGATATATTAGGTAGGTTTTGAGCACGGACTGCTCGTCTGAGGTCCTACCACAGCATCTCTGTTGGGGTCCAAAACATTCATTTTGTTTCTTTTAAGCCGTTCAGATGTGGGTTTGCTTTTCTTTCTGCTTTGGATTGTGTCTTGCTGCGTAATTATGTTTCAGTACAGATGAACAGATACGCTCCTTAAGAATTCTCACACACAGAACAGAATTCATGGTTCTGTCAAGAATAACAAGTTGTCCAGTTCCAGAGGCAGCCAACTTTCTTTGCAGCAGATTTAAAGAGACCCAAGTTGTCCAAAAAGTTACACTTTGGACTGGTGTGACCAAACGGCTTACAAATTGTACAAGTGCTGTTTTGCAAATGTGAGGCGAGCATTGATGTTTCTTGTATGTTTCGTGTTTTCTGCCTTGCTGCTCTTCCGTGAAAGTCGTTTTTGTCCATTCGCTTTATTACTGTGGAATCAACACTGACCTTAGCTGAGGCTAGAGAGACCTGGACGCTCTTCTGGAATCTTTGGAGAATTCATGGATGATCTTCCTATGTGCTCTTGGGGAGAAGCTGGCAGGTCGGCCACTCCTGGGAAGATTCGCCAGTGATTCATAAACTGTGGTCCAAAACCGCATAGAGTATAATACTATACTAATAAATGCACTTCTGATGGTGTTGACATACTGTTTAGTACGGCACTAGGCAGTTTTGGACGCAACCTCCGTTTCTCTCACTGATGTTCTGTGATGTCTTGGAAACTTAGAAATTGTTTTGTAACCCTTTCCAGACTGATATCTTTCAAACAGCTTTGCTTCCTCATCTCTTTTGGACTTACTTTTGATCATAGTGTGCTTTTAAAAAAAACGACATCACTTTAATGATGTACTTCAGTATGAGTGAGTGTTACAATTGACAGGGGTGTCTGTGTTCAGTCAGCCGAATCTCATTATCCATTAAGTTTGGTTAATTTGCTGCTTGAGTAACTAAAAGGGCATTTGCTTTTTCACTTGGGTGTTTTATATGTTGGATAACTAAAATGTGTTTGTGTTTGTTTTCTTTTTGTCTAATATTACATTTTGTTTAAATATAAGAAACATTCACTGCGACAAATATGCAGTAACAGAAAATTAAGAGGGGGCAAATACTTTTTCACTACACTTTATGTATGTAGATATGTGTGTTTGTGTAAACGTGTCACTCTAAACTTTCCTGTGTGTGTTTGTGTGTCAGGACGCGTCTCCGAGCCGCAGTCTGGTGGTCCTGCTGGTGTGCGTGGTCTGTTTGCTGTGTTACGCCGTAGCAGCCGCTGTGCTGAGGAAGCTGGATCAGATAGACCTGAGACGAGCATCTGTGGTTCCACTGTGTGGAAAAGACGGACTGTACAAGTACGAAATACAGGTCAAAACCGGCTGGACACGAGGAGCAGGTGAGGAGCAGATGTCGGAGGTTAAGCAGGGTCACTCGTCACTCCGAATAATAACAATGATAATAATAATAATAATAATATCTTTATTAATAGAGCACTTTTCATACTGATGGCAGCTCAAAGTGTTTTCCAGACAGATGATACATTTTTTACAGTGAAAGACGAGACAATGACAGATCAAGTTATAAAGAAATACCAAACAGGCATAGAATTTTAATTGAATGCTAAGTTAAAGAGATACGTTTTTAGATGCGTCTTAAAAGTGAGCACTGAGCTTGACTGTCCAATAGAAAGTGGAATTGAGCTCAACAGTTTAGAAACATAATAACGAAAGAGTCCGTGTTTTCTGTATTTTTCGGAAGGTGTTTGTAGAAGGTCAGTATCTGCAGAACTAAGATCAGGTGTTGGAACATAAACAGACAGACACTCTGTGATGTAAGCGGTACTTTAAGGTCATTTAGAGCCTTAAAAACTAGTAGCAGAACTTTAAAATCTATCCTGAACAAAACAGGCAGCCAGTGCAGTTCTTTAAAAATGGGAGTGATCTGATCTCTCTGTGTTGTTTTTGTTAGGATGCTGCTGCATTTTGTACGAGTTGTATAGGATGTATTGTTTTCTTAGGAAGCCCAGTTAGAAGATCATTACAGTGATCAACTCTGCATGTAACGAACGCATTAATGAGTTTTTCTGTATCACTCTGAGATACAAAAGGCTTTAGTGATATTTCTCAAATGATAAAAAGCTACTTTCGTGACTGTGTTTACAAGCGGGTCAACGCAGAGTTTAGAATCTGAGCTTACACCCAGGTTTGGTATATGAAGCTAAAGAACTGAGCTTCTCATGAAGCAGCTTTCTCAGAGTTTTAGTACCAACGATCAGTATTTTAGTTTTTTCGTTGGTAAGTTGTGACATCCCCTGAGAAATATCTGACCCACAGCTGGTAAGCTCTTTTGATCGTCAGAAGGAATCAAAATGTATAATTGCATGTCAAGCAATGAAAATTTATGTTTCCTAATGACCTCACCTAGAGGTAACACAAAGAAAAGAGCAAGGGCCCTAAAGCTGAACCCTGTGGCACGCCGCAAAAAATGTTAATAAATCTCTTTTAAGAAATTAGTTAACAGAGAAACTAAGAATTGTGTATGCATCAAATATGATTTAAACCGTTCTAAAGCTGTTCCTGAGAGGCCTAACCAATATGCAAGGCGGTAGATTAGATTGTTGTGACAAACAATGGATGAATTGATAAATTCATTGATATCGAATGGATGGATAAATGGATAAATAGAAGGATGGATGGATAAATGTATAAATTGGTGGGGAAATGGATGGATGCATAGATGGATGGGTAAATAGAAAGATGGATGGCGGGATTAATTGATGGATGAATGGGAAAATGGATGAGTGGATAGGTTGATGGATGAGTGGATAGGCTGATCCATGGATTAGTCTATGGATAGATAAATAGTTGGATGGTGATGATGGATGGATGGATAAATTGATAAATGGATGAGTGGATCGACAGGTTGAGAGACAATGAGACAGCAGCAGTCTAATCCTATAATAATCCTGTAATGAGTACATACTACTTTCACAAAGTCTCTCTCTCTCTGTCTCTCTCCCCCTCTCCCTTTACTGGACCCTGCTCAGGCACGACGGCCCACGTTGGAATCAGTCTCCATGGCAGCGAGGGGCGCAGTGGGCACCGTCACTTGGACCGGGTCGGAGCATTCACTCGAAACAGTCTGGATATCTTTCACATCGCCACGGATACCAGCCTGGGCAGCGTGCTGAAGATCCGCCTGTGGCATGACAACAAAGGTGGTGGTTCATAACTGCGACAGATCTAACAGTGCATCAGACTGGTGGGGGGGCAGTGGGGGTGCTGCATTTGGCAGGAAGCAGCACACGTTTTGTAGCACATTATCTTTGGGAGAATGTAATGAGGTGTTTGTGTAGCTGATAATAAAGAGGACTTCAATTCAGTGTAAGATGAAGAGTGATGAGAACGTGTCCCGAGAGAATGTTTAGGCCCACATTTGATTCAGTTGTCAGATTCCATGTTTTCTTGATTTTCTAAGTGAAAATAAGGGAACACATCCTCTACAGAGCAAACATCACTGCACGTTTTAATGCACAATTACTGTGTATTTCCTGAATTTAACATTTTATGACCTGTGCAAAAGTTACTGCACATTTTATAAAAAAAAGACATTTTTAAGATGTCTGTAGAGGATGTGCTATTTTCAGTTAGAAAATCAACAAAACGTACAATTTGTTATAAAAAGTACGTCTTTCAATCAAAACGGCACCATATAAATGTTAAAACTAAACATATTAAAATGTCTGTCTCAGATATGTGCCCACCACATTACTGGTCAAATGACCTCAAATAAAGTTTTTTAAAGCCAAACTAATTTACTTTCTTTTAAAACACAAGTTAGCAAAAGAACACATGGAAGAAGGTGCGGGAAACCTCATCCAGGAATTCCTGAATTCACAGAAATGCAAAATAAACCGTGCTCAACAAATGCTAGTCCTTACCGTATGTTGAATAAGCATTTGGACAGCCAACACTGGCCATAGTTGCAGAAACACCCTACATGTCTGCACTTTCTGTTCATTTTAATGTCAAAAAGTGACAAAAATGTGGCAAAAATGTGAGGAATTCTTTTTCTTTACACTAAACAAAACAAACTTTTCATCAAATTCGAATCATAATAAAATATCTCCTTTTTACAAATACAAATGTGGTATGGGTTGAAAGATTAGAAGATTAGAATATGCACTTTCTACACAATTTATCCACTATTTTCGAAGAGCTACAAGACAGAAATAATTAATCTAAAACTTCAACAGGCTTTTCATGTCTCTCTCTCTCTCTCTCTCTCTCTCTCTCTCAGGTCTGTCTCCTGCATGGTTGCTGCAGTATGTTCTGGTGAAGGACCTGCAGACAGGAAGCTCGTATTTCTTCCTGGTGGAGGAGTGGCTCTCGGTGGATAACGAGAAGACGGATGGCAGAGTGGAGATTGAGGCAGAAGCTTCAGGTGAACTTCTGCACACCAGACCAGATCATCAAGTCATGAAGTATAGATAGATAGATAGATAGATAGATAGACAGACAGACAGACAGACAGACAGGGAGACAGAGAGATAGGTAGATAGAGAGACAGAGAGATAGATAGATACAGTTCTGCTCACCATTATTGGCACCCCTTCCTTTTTTGCATAACCTGTACAATATCTTCAGAAATAAATGTAAATGTACCAAAGTTATATCTTCAGGATTTTTTAATTGGAGGTCCAAAGTAATACAACAAAAAAAACATTGTTTTTCAACTTGCATGTTGCAATTTTAAAGAAGAAACAGAATAAACAGCATGTGCAGCAATAAAGGCACCCCTTGTTAATATTTGGTTGCACACCCTTTGGCTGTGATGACAGCCTCCAAACGTTTCTTGTAGCCATCTATAAGCTTCTTGCACTTCTCAGCTGGTATTTTTTCCCACTCTTCCTTTGCAGTTTGTTCAAGCTCTTGAATGTTTGCAGGATTCGTTTTCCCAATGGCAGATTTCAACTCACCCCAAAGATTTTCAATGGGATTGAGGTCAGGACTCATTGCTGGCCATTTTAAAACAGTCCATTTTTTCCTTTTAAACCATTCCTGTGTACTTTTGGATGTGTGCTTTGGGTCATTGTCTTGCTGGAATATCCATGATCTTCGACTCAAACCAAGTTTTCTTACACTGGGTAGGACATTTCGCTCTAAAATCTCTTGATAATTCTCTGATTTCATGATTCCTGTGATACGGTCAAGGCCTCCAGTACCAGACGCAGCAAAGCAACCCCACAGCATTATGGATCCTCCACCATGCTTAACTGTTGGTAGGGTGTTCTTTTCCTTATAAGCTTCATTGCGCCATCTGTAAACAAACTGTTGCTTTGCATTGCCAGAAAGCTCTATTTTTGTTTCATCTGTCCACAAAACATTGTCCCAGAATGATTGTGGTTTGTCAAGGTACTCTTTGGCAAAGATCAGTCGTTCCTTTTTATGTCTTTTCTTTAGCAATGGTTTCTTCCTTGGCCTTCGCCCATAAAGCTCTGCATGGTTTAGTGTGCGGCGTATGGTATTTGTTGAAACCATGACCCCAGACTGTTCCAGGTTGGCCTTCAGTTCTTTGGATGTTTGCCTTGGTGTTTTTTCCACCATTCGCACCAACCTTCGAAGACTTCTCTTGTCAATTTTCCTCTTTCCCCCACGTCCAGGGAGGTTCTTGACAGTTCCATGCTTGGCAAACTTCTTAATAACATTGCGCACTGTTGAAACTGGGATACCAAGGTCTTTGGAGATGGCCTTATACCCTTTGGAAGTCTTGTGTTTGCTAATAATAGCACTTCTGATGTCCTCAGACAGCTCCTTTGTCTTCACCATTGTAACAAATGAACATGGCCCAACGAATGGCTTTTTAAAACCCTGAAGTCATCATTCACTGGCTAATTCATGTCACATGGGCACTGAATTTGTCACAGGTGATTATCATTTGCGATTTACCACAGGTGAGTGAAAATGTGTTTCCATACTGATTTAATGTAAAGGGTGCCAATACCAGTGTCACAGCAAGCTTTAGGTTTTTTCTGTTTTTCCCTCACATTGTTTTTTGTTTTAAATTGTTGTTTATAGTTTGCTCTTTTGTTTTAAATATGAGTGCTCTATACAAAAAACCTGTTTCAGTTGATTAATTTTTTCAGGGGATATTCCACAATATGTACTTAAACTTCATGGGTGCCAATAATGATGAGCAGGACTGTAGATCACTTCATGAATCCCATAGAAAAAGTGTTCTATTGCAGCAGTACAAAGCACAGTAGAGAGCAAAACAAGGGCAAAATGAACAGGAGCAAAGTATTGTCTTACAGTATTTACAGATGCATAAATAGAAAGTGAAGATAAATAATAGAATAAAATAAAATAAAAATATACTAAAAACAATAAAAATAATGTGCAGCACAGGAAAAAGAAGTAAATTGCGTAAATACTATATGGTTGACAATGCAGTGGTGCGTGTTCCCTCCAGTGAATGAACAAGTGACTATGTACTGTAAATGATAACCAACTGTTAACAGTTGTGCAATATGACATTTATTACAATTTTATTATGACTTTATCCTGAATATTTGTTGTGTTAGAACTTCATTCATAACGCAACTCAAGTCCAATTTAGTTTAACATAGATTTCAAGTAACTAAGGTTGCATGTAATTTGCACTGTTTAAAGCCAGCCTTACGTTTCTGCGTTTTTATAGATTCCTAATAATTATTCAGAATTGCACAGCAGTTGCATCTTACTACAATAATCACGTTTAGCTATGGCAAAATTGATTTTATATTATTGAAAACATTGATTCTGCACTTTTGTATGTTGCTTTTGAACAGCAGTGTATGTGATATCTATCAAGGCCTTTCTCACTCACATGACTCCTAATGTTCTGTGTTCTCGCAGAGGAGGTGGAGCTCCGTCACTGGCCCCGCCTCCTCTCCTGGGAGCTCCAGAGGGCGGTGTGTGAGAGTCACGTGTGGCTGTCGCTATGGGAAAGACCCCCACGCAGCCCCTTCACTCGCCTCCAGAGGGCGACCTGTTGCTCGCTGTTGCTGCACCTCATCCTGCTGGCCAACGCTGTGTGGTACGCCACCGTTGCCCACGGCGACAGGTAAGGGACAGTCCTGAAGATAAACTTGCTCCTAGGGCTCAGGCGTCTCACCGAGGTCTGTGACGTTGCACTTTGCAAAAGTCTTTTTGCTATGCTTTTATTATGATTTTGCATTAATAATTAAATAATAATAATACATAATAAAATATCTCCTCATCTACTGACAAACACGAGTGTGGTATGGTAGAATCTGCATTCTCAACAGATAGTTTGTTTCCACTTGTTTGAAGGAGCCACGAGTCAGAAGTAATTTATTGATGTGGTGTTATAAGCTGTTTTTAGATGGTAATAACCATGTTACTGCTGTTGTGTAATGTGACTGTGTGTGTGTGTGTGTGTGTGTGTGCAGCTCTGTTCCTGTCTCAGAGCAGGTGTCTCTGAATGGGGAGTCTGTAGGAGTGGGCGTGGTCAGCTGTCTGGTGCTGTATCCTCTCTACCTGCTCATCTTTTGCCTCTTCAGACTCAGCCGCAGCAAGGTAAACACGCCCTATATGTATTCTATATATGTAGTAATAATATGACCCATTTATGCTTTATATATAATGTATATGTATACACACTCTCTCTATATAAGTCTCTATATGTGATGTGACCCATATGTATTTTATATATATGTGTGTGTCTACAAGTAGTAATATATACTATACATAATATGTAAGGCCTATATGTAATAACCATATGTCATATGTGTATTCTGTATATGTAAACATCTGTGTGTCATAATGCGTACCTATGTGTTATATACATGTAAGTGTCTATATGTGATATGACCCAGAAGTATTATATACATGTTTATATGTAATATTATATATCGTATGTATTGTACATAAGTACATATATGTTATGATATGTTCCATATGTAATGTGTGTGTGTGTGTGTGTGTCAGGTGTCAGTAGAACAGCTGCCTCCACAGGTAGATCAAGAGTCTTTGGAAATCGATGACTTTCTGGACAACTCAATGACAGGAAGCTCCTTCCTCATCTTCAATGGAATCCCCACTGAGGTATTGTGAGATCAGAACCTCTCTGGGCTGGGAACCCAGCCAAGATCTCACCACGATATCTGAGGATCAGATTTCATTACTGACTGAATGCAGATGATTATCAGTGAAACTGAAAACCTGATCTTTTTCTTTTTCTTATTTTTGTTCTTTTTTATTTCTTTATTTTTGTTGTCTTACATTTTTTTCTTTTTATTTACTTTCTTGTTTTTTTTCCTTTTCTTTCTTTCTTTCTTTATTTATTTATTTTTTTCTTTCCTTCTTTCTTTTATAATTTTTTTATCTATTTTCTTGTATTTTCTTTCTTTCCTTACATCTCTTTTCTGACTTTTTTATTTTTCTTTTACTTTCTTTCCTTTCTTTCTTTCTTTCTTTTCATTTTTTGCATTTTTTTTGTCTTTCTTTTCTTTCTTTCTTACTTTTTTACTTCTTTCTTTCTTTCTTTCTTTCTTGTAGACGTATTCGGAGGAGACCAACATTGACTTGCCTACTCCCTCCTCTAAAAGGTGAGCCTTCTGTTTCGTGGTGATTGACAGGTCTTAGTGCTGATGAAAGAAAGACTCAGAGTGACATTATGATCATTATAATCATCATTATTATTATAATAATAATCATCATCATTATGGTGTCACTGAGAGGGATGACAGTCTATACCAGGCTCAGATCAGTACAGGATAACAGGAGTCTGATTACGATGTGTCTAACTGAGTGTGCGTGATCCGTATATTGTGTGTGTGTGTGTGTATGTGTGTGTGTGTGTGTGTGTATGTGTGTGTGTGTGTATGTGTGTGTGTGTATGTGTGTGTGTGTGTGTATGGTGTGTGTGTGTGTGTGTGTGTGTGTGTGAGATACAGTTAAAACTCTCTCAGTTATTTCAGACACGTACAGATCTTTCTCTTGTTCTACCTCTTTTCTCTCCATCCTCCGTTTCTTGCCGTGTCTCTACACAGGTGGAGTGTCCCGGATGCCGACTGGCCGGATGTGCTGACTGAGCCGTCAGTGGAAATGACGGCGGGGTTTCCACCTCGGCTGAAGAGAGGTCAGGGCAGCCGACACCTCGGAGTGGACATGACCTTTAACCCCGAGGAAGAGGAGACTGTGGGGGGACACGATCATAGGAACAAATACTTCACCTCTTCAGGTAGAGCTGAGAACTCAAGTCAAGTCAAAGTTTATTTATATAGAGCTTTTTACAGCAGGTGTTGTCACAAAACAGCTTTACAGAAAAATCCAGGTCCGAGCCCCCATGAGTGTCACCAGTGGTGACTGTGGCAAGAAAAAACTCCCTAAGAGCAGGAGGAAGGAACCTTGACAGGAACCAAGACTCAGAAGGGGAACCCATCCTCCTCTTGTTGACTCCAGAAAGCAAACAACGACAGCAGAGAATGAGATTTGATCATTAGTAACATTCAAGAAAAGGGGAGAAGCAGGAGAAGCAATGTCTATGATTAAAAATAGCAGTATTATCAGGAGGGTCAGTTCATGCTGGTGAGGTTTGCCCAGCATTGGACAGCAGGAAGCTCCATGGTGGTCAGGAGGTCCATAAGGCTGGCGAGCAGTGGGCAGCTGATCAGGGCAGATGAAGCAACAGCACCAGACACACAGGATGGGCAGCTGTTCAGCTCAGCAAAGAGACACACAGGCAGTTAGTTCTGTTAATACAGACTGATTACAGTAGTGTTAAGAGAGTGAAACAGAGACTCCGGCAGGCCAGACAACTAAACGCTTTGATCAGATTACTGACAAAATCTGATTATTGTGTGCATGTAAACACACTCGTTGTTTACAAACTGAATCAACAGTTAAATGTTTGTTTGTGTTTTCTGATTGGTTACTTGATGTGACTCACAGATGAGGATCTAATCAAACGGATCCTGGCAGACGGTCAGCTGCTCTCCCAGACGGACAGTGACATGGGCGACCTGTGAGTGTCACCACTCCTCCATAATTTAATCTCTCACCCTTCTGTCTCTTCCTCTGCTCTCCTCACCTCGTCTCCTCTCTCCCTGCTCTGTACGTAGTTTGTAATCTGTGTTTGTTGTTGCAGGTCCAGTATCTTTGGCGATAAGACGGAGGTGATTCTGCTGCAGAAGATGAGCGAGCCTGTTCCTCCTGCAGCTCTGCGCAGAGATCCACCTAAAACTGCATTCACCTCACGCACGGGTACACATACACACAAACTACGTCTACATACAGCAGAGTAATGTCAGCCTTGTTTTATGTCAGCACTGAAGTATAGGCGCACGTAAACACACATACACGTCCTTAAGCAAGTTGTTTGGTGAAAAACCAAATATACGCAGTTTTCCACTTACCTCCAGTGTAGTCAATCAGCCAAGACATCTTTGGTGTACAGATTTTACCTCTTTGGTGTATAACTGGAGCTATGAGGCTAATATTGCTAACAAACACTAGAAGTCAATAGTCACCCAAATGTGTTCTGTGAACATATCTTCAAAACATCTCTCAACTTGTTCAAACTGCATCCAGGTCTTCATTACAGTCACAGAGTTGTTAGTGTGGTTGAGGATACAGTACGGCTTACTGTGAAATGTAGCAGAGTGCCAAAAGCAGCCATTTTAGACAGCAGGTGTAGTTCAATAAAACTAACCCAGGTTTTATTAATCCCATGATAAAAAACAAACTGTAGAAATAATCCCAGGTTATATTAATTCACAATAAAAAACAAACCACAGAAATAATCCAAGATTATATTAATCTCATACTGTAAAACAAACTGTAGAAATAATCCCAGGTTATATTAATTCACAATAAAAAACAAACCACAGAAATAATCCAAGATTATATTAATCTCATACTATAAAACAAACAGTAGAAATAATCCCAGGTTATATTAATCTCATACTGTAAAACAAACTGTAGAAATAATCCCAGGTTATATTAATCCCATGATACAAAACTAACAGTACAAATAACTCCAGATTATATTAATCCTGTGCTGTACAATGGACCATAGTGCTAAACTCAAATTATATTAACCATTTGATATAAAACAAACTGTAGATATAACCCCAGATAAAACAAACTATATAAATAATCCTAGATTATATTAATCCTGGGCTGTAAAATGAACTGTAGGAATAATCCCAAGGTACATTAATCCTGTGCAAATTTCCATGTCGTGCTGTATGTAAACTGAGTAGTCACTTCCATCTCTATAACTTAGACCAAGATTCCTTATCCCGTGGGAATCGGTCGTTACAGACTGAAATTTTCCTGTGGAAAATTTACATTCACCCTCCTTCCCCATGTAAATCTCATCCTGTCCCAGTTGTCATTTACTCATCTCAAACATTTTGTATGACATAGACTTCCATTACTTGTTACCTACATTAGCATTGTAGCTCCAGTGCAAAACCAAAGCACAGAAAGAAGTAAAGTTTAGACACCAGACGTTTCAACTGATCCGGGACTTTTTGGCAGGAAAAAATGTGTAGATCAGATTTTTCACTACAGTATTCCTTTAAATCCACTTTTGCCTCATGCACAAGAAAAAATACCTGCACATACAAATCACTGCTGTCGGAACAAAACCTCGTATCTACATTTTTGTCGTTTTTCAGTTTTTGACATAATGTGAAAACACCTGCTGTCCTTTACGTTGTGTGTAAATTTCATGATGGATGGACAAAACAAATGGCTCAGAATTACTTGGAAAGTAATGGTTCTATTGACTTACATTAAAAGGACAGTATGTTTTTTGCTTCTCCTGTAAAGTTACCATTTTGGAGATACAAGGTTTTGTTTCAACAACAGCGATAAATTATTGAAATTAAGAAAATAAGGCATCATATTATGAGGGCTTATCAATCTCTCTCGCTCTCTCAGTGGTGACAGATGTGTGTAAGCCGAGGCTGTTTCCTCCTTTGTGCGGATTGGCTGCTCTCTGGGGCAGCTGGGTGGGACTAATCCTGTCCAGCAGCCTGTCCATCTGGCTGGGGCGGAGCTTCAGTGAGGGCGTGGCTCTGATGTGGCTGGTCTCCTGCATCAGCAGCTTCCTGATGTCATTCCTTATACTGGAGCCTCTAAAGGTGAACACACACATAACCAGACAAGTCCAAAAGTTTGTGGACATGCAGGCTAAATATTGTACTGTTATCCCAAAAATTTGCGTATTCTGTTTTGCCTTTACCTCAAAAGTGATCAATAAAAAATGAGGACTTTTATTTTGAAAAGTGTATCTCGGTAAAATGACTTAGTAGTCCTTGGTAATATCATGTACAACATGTATACCTTATAAATGTTGAATTAAACATTCATGAACATGCTATGAAGTGTTTATGTAAGATGTTATGAACGTGTTATGTAGACACCCTTCAAGCAAAGTGTTACCAATATATTACCATCAGGGAAAATGTGAGCTGTAGGCTCTGTAATGCTCACATGTGCAGCTTTGTAACTGAGTTTGGATCATGATACTGTGGTTTATTGTGATGATTCATCAGACTAAATTTATTGTTATCCAGACTTAGTGTCTGTACTTTATTTGAGCACAAGTGCAGTGTGTATACATAGCAGTAGTAAACTGCTGACATCACAGTGATTCGATTCAATTATGATTCTTTGAGAAACAGTTTGATTCCGTTATTTTTCTATGATTCAGAATTATAAAAAAAAACACAAATGTGACTGGATGAACTGTTTTACACAGTAGTGGAATATAGACAAAACTGTACACCAACATTTTTAATATTTGAGAATGAAATTGAATCACCACTGTCAGATCGATGCTCTTAGATGCCTGTAACTACCCTTAGACAGCACACTAATGCTCCGGACCTTTGTGAATCTCTGTGTGTAGGTGCTGCTGGAGGGTGTGTATTTTGGGCTGTTGGTGGGCCGTTTGAGGCCAGAGGAGGGCGATGTGTTGGTGGATTGCCCGCGGGTGGAGCGAGTGGTCCAGCGAGTTCCGAGAGTGAGACCACCGCAGGGCTTCGCTCTGAACCAGGCTAGAGAGGAGGCCCGCAAAATCCACCTGCTGCACAGCATGCTTAAGGTACACATCACTCTTACACAACCACATCCACAAACCTCTAGTCCAAAGAAGTTGGGACAGTATGTGAAATGTTCCAAATCTGATGCAACACATCATCTACATCACAGTTAACAATTGTTTGGGCACTAAAGACATCAATTGATTCAGTTTTGAAAGCAGAATTTTTTTGCCATACTTCAGTTATTCACAGCTGTATGGGGCCTTCTTTGCCTTATTTTGTGCTTCATAATGCTTCACATGTTTTAATGGGAGACAGGTCTGGACTGCAGGCCAGTCTAGTACCCAGTCTCTCTGATTACACATCCATGCTGGTGTAACATGCATTCATGTGTTTCCACATTGAAATAAGCATGGACACCTATGAAGAAGACAGCATCTAAATGGCAGCATATGTTGCTCCAAAATATGTTCAGCGACAATGGTGCTTTCACAGATATGCAAGTAACTCACTAATACCCCCCATACCACGACAGACGCTGGCTGTTGAACCGTATACTGGTAACAATCTGGATGGTCTTTTTATTCTTTTGCCTTTAGAACACAGTGTCCATTACTTCCACAAACAATACGAAAAGTTGACTTGTCAGACCACAACACACGTTTTTACTGTGTATCAGCCCATTTTAGATGAGCTTGAGCCCAGAGAAGTCAGCGGTGTTTCTGGGTGGTGTTGACATACGCCTTCCGCTGTGCACAGACCTGTGCATAAACTTGCATTTGTGGATGCAGCAACTAACAATGTTTATTTGCAACGTTTTGTCAAAGTATTCCCAAGGCTATGAGGTGATATCCATCACAGAAACCTGCTGATTTTTAATGCAGTGCCGTTGTAGTTTTCGGCCTTGGCCTTTACGTGCAAAGATTTCTCAGAATTCTATGAATCTTTCAATGACACTGTGCGCTGTAGAAGGTGAAATATTGCAATCATTGCAATCACTCATTTAAGAACAGTGTGCCTCATTTACCAGCTGTTCTTAAGAAGACATTTTCATCTTAACACCCTCTTTTCAGAAGGTTCTGACATTCACCAACGTTTTCTTATTTGGCATTTGGTAAGAATAGAATCTACTCACACTGAAGAGCACGAAGGTGCGAACAGTTCTACGGTTTAAAACACGTCATGAATCAGACGAAGAACTAATTTAAGAAAAAACTTAGGAAGATATGAGCGCATGAGACCCATTGTTCCTCAACGAGTGATTGCAAAGATTGCAATATTTCACCTTCTGTAGTGCACTGATACACTCACTGATGCATTTTTTGGCAAAGTGGTAAGCCTTGACCCATCCTTGGTCATAAAAGACTAGACCTTTCCTAGATGCTCTTTAATATCCAAGCATGATTATATCACCTCTTAAAACGTTACATATCCTTCCACTGTTTTTGTTTAACTATAAGTCAAAATGGACTTAGAAATCACTTTTTTTGGAATTGACGTTTATACATTCTTGGTGAACTTGGTACTTATGTAGAGACAATACAGAATACGAATAGAAGGTAAATACAGATAAATACAAAGACCTTGACATGAGGGCTATGACAGAATATACATTATCCACTGTGTGTAATAATCGCTATAAAGGCCTTTACGCCCTGAGTGCGGTTTATTCTTGCAATTTATTTAGATAACAATAATTTAATTGAATCTTGTGTATAACCGATGATCTTTTACACCAAATGAGATTTTTGGTTGGCGAAAATGCGATGTGATTTTATTCGCTCTCCACTCAATTTTTGCAGAACTTGTACCAGTGTTATGAACTCTCTGACCAATCACTGTCATCTTTGGTGTTGGCATGGCGACAACCAAGACGACAGACTGGCTGATTCCCAGCAACTGGAATTTTTGGCAAACATCAGAAGGATCAGAGTCTCCAAGATCAGCTCAGATGGGGCTTAAACTGGGCTAAGAACATCAGAGTTAAATGCGGAAGCATGAGTTTCAGCTTCTGAATAGAGCGTTGAAGCTCTTCACGCCACTTTGTTTACCAAAATGGAGAGTAGCCCAGTGTCACTTCTGACACGTTCTATGAGGAGTAAAGGATATCTTATTAGCAGTTGAAGACCTTCAGCCAGTTTGTCCTCTCCAAAATCAACTCAGCTGAAGTATTGAGGTCAGAGCTGTGAGTGAAAGCTCTCAGACTTTTAGCCCCTGATTGAGGCAGTGCCCGTTTTTAGAGAAGTAAAGGATCTTTTTCATAGATATTTTGCCTGCTTGCTTTTTTTTCTCATGGTGTGAACAGTACAGTGACATCCCCAAAAAATCAGGTCCAAATTTTTAACTTTTTCATCTTGTTTATTCGCGTCACATTAGTTGCATAACGGCCTTTACAGACCCTCACAAACACAACCACACAGACATAAACACACAATCACTGGAAGAATCTTCACAGAGAAGTGTTTCTGTCATCCCTCTGCATTCTGCACCGTAAGCAGCTCTCACTATTTAAAATAGCAACCTCTCACATTCCCCCTCTGCGGATTCCAGTTTGTTCGCTGACCCTTTGAACACTGTTTTGGATTGGGAGCTGTTTGAGGTTACAGTGTAAAATCACCTGCTGATCTGAAAGTCACTGCACTCAGAGCTCTGTCTCCTGTCTCTTCATTCTGACAGCTCTGAAACAGACTCAGCCTTTTCTCCGACAGACTCTCAGAGCACATCCGATCTGCTCAATTATTCAGCTCTCCCACAGGCAGCTACAGAGTGGGTAGAGGGACAAAAAGGAGGAGAAAAATTAGGAGCTTAGCAGTTGAGGAAGACAGCAGTGCATGTCTGAGTGATGGGAGTCGGGAATGAGAAAGTAATGAGAATCAGTTGAGACAGATGCTGCAGTTTCTTTTGCTTTAGTGACTGGTCAGGAGTTTTATTTATTTGGATATTTTGTTTGTCTTTTGTATTTCGTTATTGTTCTTTGTTTTTTTATGTGTTCTTTGTTTTTTTTGGGGGGGGGGTTTTGGTCAATACTTTCTAGCCAGGGTCATGGGTCCTTAAAATCAATGCGAACAGAAAATCACAATGTCTTAATGTGCTGATATTCAATCAGCTACTTATTACTATGGTTCTTGTTTACAAGCTCTGATTGGTTTAAATCTCTTGTATGGTCCAGTTGTTAAGTGTTAAGTTGTTAAGGTTTGGCATTTCTTGTGGAGTCTTTCATGGTTCAGTTTTAGGGCCTTTGCTTTTCTCTTTGCACTGCTACCTCTAGGTGATGTCATTAGGAAACATAATATAAACTTTCACAGCTACGCTGAAGACACCCAGTTATACCCATAAAGTGTGTGATTGTTCAAAAATATACTGAAATATGTAGCTAACATTTGTTCATGGTTATATGACCAAAAATAACTAAGATATGATGCAAAAAATGACTATAATTCCATGAACGAGTGTTGTTGAGAAGAACATAACATGGTTTAACATGCTAGCTACATTTGATTCATTTCCGTACCATCAGAGCACAACCATGCTAATGACAGAGGAGGCACAACACACCGTTTACAGTCATCACATGAACCTTTCAGACTTTATCACACATGTAAGCATTATGTAGATTAATTCGTCTTCATATTAAAAGTCATTTTCTGTAAAGGTTGTGTACCCAAGAAGGTTTTTCCTAGAACTGTACATCCAAACCAAGAACCACTTAGAAACTGTTATTTTGAACTATTTAAAGCTAAATTTAATGTCTGCAGAGGTGGTTACTACACACTGAAAATGAGCACTGTCTGTGCTAATGGTAATGATGCTAATTGTAATAGCATTGCAACTGAAAAATTAAAAAGTCCTTTATAAATCTTAAATTGAACCCTCACAAAAGTGCAGCTTCTGCCGTTTAATCTGCTCTTCTCTGTTAATAACATCATTTCTCAGTGTTACTATATTAATTTGATATGTGAAGAACATCATTTAGCAAAGCTGGACATTCATAGATTTTCAGTGTCACTAAGGTTTGTGTTCACAAACTTCCATTTTGAGCTGGAAAACACATGAACAGGAATATACTTCACACTTGAGTTTCCCTTCATTGTTATTCTGAGGAAACAAATCAAAATAAGCCTTTCCACAGTGATGTGAATGGTGCTCAGAGCCCTTCACGGTGGATCCAGCAGTAAAGGCATAGGATTCATTTGTTTCAATCTGTAGACACCTCACTGCCAGGAGTTCTGAGAAACGCCACCTGTTCCTCTGCCTTCACATCACTTCCTGTCTGGGAAGCTGGAGACCCGCTGAACTCTTCAATAATGAAACATGGCTGCAGGTGAAACAGGAAGCGAGTGGTGGGTCTTGTCAGAAATGCATGATCTTTGCTCTGAAGACTCCTGCGGTGGACACTACTGACAGGTGTTGTTACTAATGTATGGTCTTCGCTGTGACTGACACTTTAGTGCCCTAGAAACAGTGACTGGTGGAGTTTGCTGCTTGCAGAATTTCCATTCATGGAGTTTTCTGAATGTTACACAGCACTGCTGACAAAACCTCTGTGTGTTGTGATTGATAGAACATCCTGGTTTGATAATTGGCTTTCTGAGTTGGATGAATGGATGGATGGATGGATGGATGGATTGATGAAGAAAAGGATGGGCTAATGGTTGAATAAATTGATGAACAGTCTGATGGAGAAATTTGTGTGTATATGCATGGATGCTTTCTGAGTTGGATGAATGGATGGATGGATGGATGGATGGATGGATGGATTGATGGAGAAATGGATGAGTGGATGGATGGATAAATGAATAGATGAACAGTCTGATGGAGAAATTAGTGTGTATATGCATGGATGGATAGAAAGTAGAGTGAAGGGAAGGATGAATAGATGGATGAGTGACTACTAGAGTGGGAACATGAATGAACTAAAAGAATGAATGGATGAATGGAAGGGTGTTTGATGAATGGATTAATGAATGGGTGGTTGAATCAGTTAAATGGATTGTGAGTAGATGGTTCAGTGAATGAATGGATGGTTAGAAAAACATGGATTTCTGGGTGTATGGAGAAATAAATGAGTGGGTGAATAAACGGATGATATGTAAATGGATTAATAATAGAAAAAAAGAATGGCTGAATGGATGGGAGAATGGATAGATAGATGAATGAATAGAGGAATGATTGATGAATGGATGGAACTGCTGAGCTATGTTATTGTACCTAATTGAAACTTGCCAGGTTGGAAACAGCAGTAAGGAATTTGCCACCATTCTAACAGAAGACGGCAGTAATGGGTGGAGCTTGTATATGTCAATTTGGTAGAAACCACAATGAATGAGTTAAATGTTTTTTGGTAATGGATGATGTTCATCAAATGGATCTTGTGGTAGTGGAAGATGTTCATCATTGAATGCAGTGTTTCAGTGATGGATCTTGTGGTAGTGGATGATGTTCATCAAATGCAGTGTTTCAGTGATGGATCTTGTGGTAATAGATGATGTTCATCAAATGCAGTGTTTCAGTGATGGATCTTGTGATAGTGGATGATGTTCATCAAATGCAGTGTTTCAGTGATGGATCTTGTGATAGTGGATGATGTTCATCATTGAATGCAGTGTTTCAGTGATGGATCTTGTGGTAATAGATGATGTTCATCGTCGAATGCAGTGTTCAGTGATGGATCTTGTGATAGTGGATGATGTTCATCATTGAATGCAGTGTTTCAGTGATGGATCTTGTGGTAATAGATGATGTTCATCGTCGAATGCAGTGTTTCAGTGATGGATCTTGTGGTAGTGGATGATGTTCATCGTCGAATGCAGTGTTCAGTGATGGATCTTGTGGTAGTGGATGATGTTCATCGTCGAATGCAGTGTTCAGTGATGGATCTTGTGGTAGTGGATGATGTTAATCATTGAATGCAGTGTTTCAGTGATGGATCTTGTGGTAATAGATGATGTTCATTGTCGAATGCAGTGTTCCGTGATGGATCTTGTGGTAGTGGATGATGTTCATCATTGAATGCAGTGTTTCAGTGATGGATCTTGTGGTAGTGGATGATGTTCATCGTCGAATGCAGTGTTTCAGTGATGGATCTTGTGGTAGTGGATGATGTTCATCGTCGAATGCAGTGTTTCAGTGATGGATCTTGTGGTAGTGGATGATGTTCATCATTGAATGCAGTGTTTCAGTGATGGATCTTGTGGTAGTGGATGATGTTCATCGTCGAATGCAGTGTTTCAGTGATGGATCTTGTGGTAGTGGATGATGTTCATCATTGAATGCAGTGTTTCAGTGATGGATCTTGTGGTAGTGGATGATGTTCATCGTCGAATGCAGTGTTTCAGTGATGGATCTTGTGGTAGTGGATGATGTTCATCATTAAATGCAGTGTTTCAGTGATGGATCTTGTGGTAGTGGATGTCTTTTTGTTATCTCTGCAGGGTTTTCTGGTCTACATGCTGTTCCTGCTGGTGGTCCTGCTTCTGAACTACACCGACTCGGCCAAAGACGCTCACCGACTGAGACTGCACACTCAGCTAGAGAGCTACCTACACACACAGCGCTTCAGCAACATCAGCAGGTAACGGTTATCATAGCACAGTGGTCTGGTTTATCGATTTATTCCTCATAGCTCATTGAAACGAGTGGAGAACACTTCAGGAAGGCTGCTCAAGACTACGTAAATTAAAGAAGTCCTGAAGAATTGTTGCTGCTCTGAGTGCTTCCTTCTCTGACACACTGTCAAGACTAAATAATACAGAATGACACTATCTGTTATATCCCCGACCTCTTTCTCTCTCTCTCTCTCTGTCTCTCTCTCTGACAACCTGAACTGGAGTCTCTTGTGTCAGACTGTATTTGATAAAGTGTGAGAAGCTACATAGAGAGATTGAGAGAGGAAGTGATGGAGCTAGTGGGGAGAATAAGAGTCAGAGAGCATGTGTGTGTGTGTGTGTGTGTGTGTGTGTGTGTGTGTGTGATGTAAGTGGACAGCTTGTTGCTGATTGGAATAGTCGGTGTGTGTGGTGTGTGTGGTGGTAGAGTGTTATCAGTCAGGAGTGCTGTGACAGAACTCAATATTGGATTCACATCCTCTGTTTCTGTAAGATTAATGGACTGTCTCCTTCACATATATATGGCTTTGTTAAATTCCATCAGCAGGACACTGTGTGTGTGGTGTGTGTGTGGTGTGTGTGTGTGTGTGTATATATACAACCCCATTTCCAAAAAAGTTGGGACGCAGTGCAGAATGTAAAAAAAAACAGGATGCAATGATATTCAAATCATGTAAACCATACTACAAAGACAACATATCAATTGTTGAAACTGAGAAATTTTATTGTTTTTTGAAAAAATATATGCCCATTTTGAATTTGATGCCAACAACACGTTCCAAAAAAGTTGGGACGGGGGCCTGTTTACCACTGTGTTTCATCACCTCTTCTTTTAACACTCTGTAAGCATTTGGGAACTGAGGAGACACTGCTGTAGTTCTGAAAGTGAAAGGTTTTCCTGTTCTTGTTTGATACAGGATTTCAGCTGCTCATCAGTTCAGGGTCTCCTTTGTCATGTTTTTCATTTCATAATGTGCCAGATATTCAGTGGTGACAGGTCTGGACTGCAGGCAGGCCAGTTTAGCACCCGGACTCTTTTAATACATAATTCATTGCTGCTGTAATATGTGCAGAATGTGGTTTGGCATTGTCTTGCTGAAATATTCAAGGCCTTGCCTGAAAAAGACGCCGTCTGGATGGCAGCAAATGTTGCCAAAACATGTATAGATGGTTCAGCATTAATGGTGCTGTCACAGATGTGTACGTCACCCATGCCATGTGCACTAATGCCCCCCTATATCATCATGAATACTGGCTTTTGAATTGTGCAACTGATAACAAGCTGAGTGGTCTTTAGCCTGGAGGACACAGTGTCCATGATTTCCAAAAAGAATTTCACATTTTTTTGGAACGTGTTGCTGGCCCCAAAATGGGCATATACTTTTGAAAAAAAAAAAAATTTCTCAGTTTCAACATTTGATATGTTTTCAACAAAATATAGGATTTAAAAGATTTACACATCGTTGCATTTTTATTTACATTTTGAAAGGAGTCCCAACTTTTTTTTGGAAATGTATATCTATATATGTATATCTATATATATATATATATATATATATATATAGAGAGAGAGAGAGAGAGAGATATTTAGATAGATATATAGATACTTAGACACATAGGCAAAGTAAAATGAAAAGTAGTTGATATCTTGTGAGCTAGTTTGATGAACAAGGTCCCACATTTCTCCTCCACACCCCCATTCAGTGCGTGGGTTTGTTAAATTTCATCACCAGCGCACCTTTTTGAGCTTTTTCAATATCATTTTCTCAGGTGCCTAAAACTTCTGCACAGAACTGTATGTATTTAGGTGTGTTTGTATGCGTATATATGTGTGTGTGCAAACTTTTTTGGCACCTAAGCACCTTGTTTAAAACCATTTATAAAAACATCACAAATAATATATGCAAGCAAACATAATTACTGTACAAATGAACAAGAATTACTGGTTTAGAAAAAACAATGAAATCTTTTGAGCTAGTTTGAAGAACAAAGAACAACGTTTGGTTCCAGATTTCTCCTGAACACCAACATCCATTGCTTAGATTTGAGAATTTCATCACCTGCACACTTGATTTACCATAATGAAGTATGAATTAGTTAAACCAGGCATTGGATGATAAATAGTAACACTGTGCCTCCTTAAGGAGAGGTTTTGAAATATTTAGACAAACACTTTGACATAAAACCACTACTTATTGTATTAATGTTATTATAAGTACGTATATGTACTATTGGTGTTTTATCCCGCAGACACCAGCACACTCTGACCCGTGTCTCTGATCTGATCCTGTGTCTAGGCGTGAGGCAGTGTGGGAGTGGCTCTCTGATTCACTGCTGCCGCAGTTACTGGACGGCCCCACCCTCATGGAGGAGACGGGCAGTCTGCTGCTGGGGAAGCCCCGCCTCCGACAGATCAGATCACAACCAGGTGACACTGATAGAAGAAAGAAAGAGATAAAGATAGAAAGAGGGACGTGGATGAGAACGGGAAGGAAAGACTTGCAGGATTTTGGTTTGGAATGTGAAGAAAGATATTTTGGAATCATCCAAACAGTAACAGATGGCGATGATACTTGGTTTTAAGGTTATACTTTGCTTAATTTTGGTTTATTCAGACCTCTTTCATGAACGTATAAGTAAGTTTAAATGTAATTGTAAAAAACAGATCAAGATTTGAATGATCAATTAACAGATTTACAAGGAATTTTGAGCTAATTCTTGTACAGATCTGTTGATCTTGTTGGCACTTTTTGATAAAATAATATTTGGGTCATTCTACAGAAACGTCCATTTTTGTGCCCCTAGCGCTTACAGATATATCACACTTAAAAAACATGTTTGGGTTACAATTTTTTTTTATGTTTTCAAATAAAACAATAATTTATTTTAACAATTACACCTTCTTGATCCATCATTTTAGCAGTATTGTTTTTTTAAATCAATTATCTAGAATTCCAAGCACCACAGAAGAGCTCGTCCTCACATGTTTTCCTGCAATTTTAACTGCAATAATCTATACAAGACTATGAAGTATATGATTTAAATGACATAAAGAATACAAATGCCACATACATATTATAATATATATAATGAAAGTTGTTGTCCCCAGGAGTCATGTCACTGGTGTTACTGCATAACAAAAAAACTCTTATTTTGAAAAAAAAATCACACTGATGACATCACTTCCTTTTACCTTTTTCTGAGGATCTATGAAGAAAAGCTCATGGTGAGTCCACTGTGTCTTTCAGTTATCAGAGATTTTCTCATTTAGCTCATGATTTCATATGAAGCTTTTAGCTGAAGTCACTGGTGTGACTCACTTTATTCTTAGATAATTGTTAAAAAATAGAAAACAAATGGATTAAATTACATGTTTTAGTGGATATTCCATGATTGACAACATGTGGTTTGATGTTCTGTAGCAGACATTTTGTAAAATGCAGTTTTTCATTAAAATGGCTCTGGTGTTACCTTTCTTATGTGTAACACCAATGAGGATCAGTAACACCAGTGACTCCTATGGACAGATAAAAAAGTGGACATTTCTGTAGAATGACCCATTTATTTTGTTTATTTATCTTTAATATAACATTTATTTGATAAAAATGAAAAAATAAATAACTTACACAGATAAATTCGGTTTCTATGCCAGAAATGAAATATACATGTTAAAAGTAAACAGTTTTATGCAAAAGTTTGGACACACCGGCCAGTAATGTTTTGTTGGTTTTTGAAGTGTGAAGAAGTAAATACAGCCTCTCCAGCAGCATTTAAAAACAATAACATTTTCTTGCAAATGGTTGGGCAGGTCAAGAACTGTGATAAGGAATTGTCATTGTCAACAGTAGACGTAATAAAGAGCGTAATAAATTCTCCAACTCTTCAGACCTTGTGCTAACACTCAACCACCTCCTCTGAGTAGCACACTGAGGAGCTAATTGGTGCCTGCAAAGCAGGGAAAGCTGTAAGAACATAAGTCTGAAATATCATTAAGAAATGGCAGTTAAAGGGAACTGTGGACGGCAAAGACCAGGAAAACCCTCACAGTCTGTATTTGACCAGCCTTAGAAAGTGAAATTGAGTTCTGCTCATACGCACAGATTCATATGACTGTGCTGTACCATTTTTTGTGTGACATCACATGACCATTGACCACTGTCTCCCTCTCTCTGTCAGTCTGCCCCACTAATGGCCGATTCCCTGCATCATCCTGGTTTGGGTGTGGCTCAGGCGGGTGGGCGGAGTCAGCGTCTGCCCTCACCCTGAACTGGAGCCGCAGTGTGTCTCAGAGAAACGGGTGAGGACAAACACACTCAGTCACACTCACAGTAATGCGTACACACATCCACCATTAGACCAAATATTAGGGCTGCAAAAATGCATTGTGATGCATTAGATTTGGAATATATATTTAATAATTATGGTAATAATTTATGATATATAATATAATTGATTATATAATAATTAATATATTTATATAATTATGTAGTAAATAGTAATTATAATACTATTATAATATTTATTGTAAAGCATGCACTCATTTTTTAGGGTTGTAAACGTCTAAAGGCTAATTTTAAATAACAATGCAAATAAAGCTACAGTCGTGCGCAAAAGTTTGTGCGCCTCCGGTTTAATGATGGAATTGGACCAGGGATGTTCAAACTTCAAACAACTACAGTAAAATTCATACAACTACGGTAAAATATTTTTCCTGCATTTTTTTCTGCACAGTTTCTATTTATTTGCTGAGTTTAACTCATCAGGGGAAAAATTAAAACAAATAAATTGTCACACTTTTTTTTTTTTTTGCACAGGCCGCATTTTATGTTTCTTTTTCCCCCAATATGTCAGCAATCAGCAAACAAAGACTAACCCTACTTTTTAGCTGAAGTGTTTAACTGCTGATGTTTTGTGTAGAGTGTGGCATTGGGGTCAGGCGTCTGTGTACGACAGTGGCGGATTCGTGCAGGAGATCAGCGGAACGTTGGAAAAATCTAGAACCCTCATACAGCAACTCCACACCCACCAGTGGCTGGATCCACTGTGAGTATCCCACAGGAGGGAGGGAGAGAGAGAACGGGAAAAGAGAGAGAGATAAAGGGAGTGTGAGAGGAAGAGGAGAGAAGGAGAGGGACAGAGAAGGAGAGAGGAAAAGGAGAAAAAGAGAGTGATACAGAGATAGGAGAATGGAAAAAGGAGAGCGATAAAGAGACTGAGCAAGGAAAAGGAGAAAAAGAGATATAGAGATAGGAGAAAGAGGAAAAAAGGAGAAGAATATAGAGAGGAAAGGGAAACAGCACGATATAGAGAATAGAAAGATATAGAGAAAATGAAAAAGTGAGAGAAGAAAAGGGGAGAGGGAAAATGAAGAGCAAGAGAGGGGGAATTGAGAAAAAGAGGAAATTGGAGAGACAGAGAGAGAAATGAAAAGGGGGAAAGAGAGGAAATGAAGAAAGAAAGTAAAATATGAAAGGAGAGAGAGGAAAAGGAGAAAAGAAGAGAGACAGAAAGAGGTAAAAGAGAGCCCTGGAGGTTTGAGACTCTGTTACAGAGGTGACTGTGGTTCACTGTGTGCAGATAATAACACGACCACTATCAGGAAAGCTGCTCTCATACTGAGATACAGTTCACAGTTTCTTCTGTACTTCAGGGCATGAAGTGTAAAGAGCTTTTAGAGGGATGTTCCTCAGAATTAAAGCGCATATGAGAACACAACACTGAGGCTGTATGATGCTTTAGATACTGCTTACAGCTTTAGAGTGTGATCAGTAATATTTACAACGATGCGCTGGGTGCATTCTGAAAGCAGACGGAATGAACGGGTCCCACTTCCCTCTGACTCTGTGTTTACAGGACGAGGGCGCTGTTTGTGGAGTTTTCTCTCTATAACACAAACATAGACCTGCTGGCTGTCTTCTCTTTACTGCTGGAGTTCCCCGTCTCTGAGCGCGCTCAGTCCAGCCTGGACCTGAAAACCTGCAGCCTGCACATGCTCCGCCACGGCCTGGATCTCGCACTGTTTCTCACGGTAACTCACACAGTTATAACCTCTCACTGTTTCTCATGGTAACTGAGTTATAACCTCTCACTGTTTCTCATGGTAACTGAGTTATAACCTCTCACTGTTTCTCATGGTAACTCAGTTATAACCTCTCACTGTTTCTCACGATAACTTAGACAGTTAGAACCTCTCACTGTTTCTCACGATAACTTAGACAGTTAGAACCTCTCACTGTTTCTCACGATAACTCAGACAGTTAGAACCTCTCACTGTTTCTCACGATAACTCAGACAGTTAGAACCTCTCACTGTTTCTCATGGTAACTCAGTTATAACCTCTCACTGTTTCTCATGGTAACTCAGTTATAACCTCTCACTGTTTCTCACGATAACTTACAGTTAGAACCTCTCACTGTTTCTCACGGTCACTCAGACAGTTAGAACCTCTCACTGTTTCTCACGATAACTCAGACAGTTAGAACCTCTCACTGTTTCTCACGGTAACTCAGACAGTTAGAACCTCTCACTGTTTCTCATGGTAACTCAGACAGTTAGAACCTCTCACTGTTTCTCACGGTCACTCAGACAGTTAGAACCTCTCACTGTTTCTCATGGTAACTCAGACAGTTAGAACCTCTCACTGTTTCTCACGGTCACTCAGACAGCTAGAACCTCTCACTGTTTCTCACAATGACTCAGTTATAACCTTCAGACGGTAACTCTTAATTTCTCAAACAGTTTCAAACTTGCTGTCTTGGTCTTTCAGTCAGTTATAAAATTTCTCACTGTTTCTCAAGGCCACTCTCAATCTCAGACAGTTACTACAGTAAGTCTCAATCAAGGCATTGTCATTTGTATTTACATACTTGCACTGAGCATTTCTGGCCTAAGAAATCTAGAATTATGATTGTCACTTTGCAATACTATTTCAGTGGACGTACATGACTATTTACATAGTTACATACACATACTGTTTACATCAACAGGTTCAAGTCTGAACTTCTGACCTTTTCTGTTCATTTTGTTGTCAAAATATTGACAGAACGGTGACAAGCCCCCAACAATAAATGTGCATTTTATTTAAATCATCACAAAATATCTCCTCGTCTACTTACAAACAGAAATGTGGTATGGATTGAATGTTCAGTCTGCTCTTACCACACTTTTTTTCATTTAGCTACGACTTCTCAAGGTTAGGTCTCTTCCTCTCAGGCAATCACAGACAAACCCTAGTTTTCAGAAGTTGTGCTAAATATTGGATGTGCTGTATTCAAAAATACAGGGGGTTCTGAGGGGGTCTGGGATCCCCTGAATGTCTCAGAATCAAAATTCTGGGAGGTCCCTGAAGATGTCCTTATTATGAAGTTCTGCTGTCTGTTAGGGAGAAATAGACGCACAAATACAAATTCAGGAAAAAGTAATTTTTTATCCTGCTGAAGAACTTTACAACATGCTGTAACATATGTGTAAATCTGAAAACCTGCCGGTTTTGCCAAGAAACTGCTGAAACAGTGAACTCTCACTCATTTCTCAAACTGAAGACAAAAGAGGAGATGTGTAAGATCTCAGTGTGTGGAAGACCACAACTAGAAGAGCATTTCCAAAAGAATTGTTAGCTCAAACATTTTGTTGCCACTGAAGCTAACATCAGTGCTGCCATGGCAAGTGAGTTAGCAGCCAGCCAACACCAGAGTAGAAGGTGGTATTTCATACGCTGACTGTGTCGTCCATAAAAACAAACAAATGAAGCTTGGAAATGATTTCTTTCTCTCTGTTTTCTCCCTCTTAGCTCCTCCTGATGATCTTGACTGTTTATTTCTTGGTGCGTGAGGGCGTGGCCGTGAGGCGGCAGGGGTGGAGCTATTTCCTGCGTGTGTGGAACATGGCAGGTGTGTGTATTCTGCTGCTGGCGACTGCAGTCTCCGCCCTCCACATCAGTCGCTCCGCCCTCGCTGCCCGCCTCTGGGCCTCATTCCTACAGCAACGCGATTCCTTCACAGACTTTTTCCCGCTGGCCCAGCAGAGCCAGGTCCTGACCCAGCTGAACGCAACTCTGCTCTTTCTGCTGGTGCTGAAGGTGAGAAGCACCAGCTACACATTACGGGCGAGCATTTGAACTGTTTTAGGAACATCTGTAACATTAAATAAAAATGAAATCATGGAGGATGTTTAGCATAAGGGGTCATTTATACCTGATGGTACGGTTGATTTTGTTACGTATCTCACTACAGGTCACATACAGAACGATAACTCGCACTTTGCACTGTACAAATTTGTCATCTTTTTTTTGTAATAGTTCCATTCATAGCTCTGCCTAGAGCTCAACATGGTATACATCACACATCTGAAGATAATTTGTAATTTATTGCATTTTTTAAACTCCTGTATAACTATGTGTGTTGATAACTACTTAGCGAAGTACCCATATCTGAATATATCTGAACTGCATATCTGAATAAACGTTTACGAAAATGAACACTAAGATGAGCTGGAATATCCATATACTCAAATGACTAGTTCTGTTGACTCTTTCCTAAGAGCTTTTTAACAGTTTGTTTTCAGGGGCAAAGCATAACTACTAGACCTTCAGTTCGGGCCATAAATGTCAAACCTCAATCAAAAACGAGGAAAAAATCCTCTATGATACTCTATGATACATTATTATCCAGTGTGGGATTCTTGTCATGTTTTATTTGAAGGTTGTAACAGACATTAACATTTGCCTTGTATGTAGCAATTTTACAGTGACTCTTTCAGTAAAGAGGCCTGTCTTAGAGCTGCTGCTGATGACTAATACAAGGCAGTGGCTTATATTCAATCAATCAGTTAACCTTTATTTAACCTTGGAGAACACTGAGGGTGACCCTCATTTACAGTGTTGCCGAGTTGATACAGGAAAAAGGGATTGATAATGTGTAAGAACATATCAAATAATACAAGTAAATTCAATAATAAAAATGACTCAAATCAGAAGAGTATAAAAAACAATGAAACATTAATAATATAAATACAGAAAAACAGTAGAAAATACAAAACAATAGTTAAAGCGTAACTAAAATGTAAAAGTTAATAAAATCAAAAGATAAATAAATCAAAGGGAGGAAAAGATCAAAAAAGGAAACTAAAATGAATTAAAATGACTGAAATAATAATAAAATAATGATAAATAAAACAAGAATAAGAATATGAATAATAAAAAATAAATAAATGGAAAAAAATAAGAAACTAAATTTAAAAAAAGACAATATATTGAAAATCAAGTCAAACAGTTGCAGGCAGAGTGGAGGTGGTTAGAAAGTAGAAGTTTAAAATGACTGATTCACACTCGATAGAATTTCCAGACCTTGACATGTTTTTCTCCCGACATTGGCCCCACCTACTGTAAACCAAAACATGAAAAAGTCCTGACCAGTGAGGGAGCTTGGCTGTATCTGCCTAGATACCAGGGAGATAAAATTCCTGATTGTATAGTTTTACGCTGAGATTTTTAATCCTTTTATTTCCAACCAAAACTTAAAAATGAAACGAGTATCACTACAGTATTTAGTGTTTAAATACAACAGACACAGTGAGTATATTAAATAGAAATGAACTGCTAATATGTTAACGAGAATGACTCTGTATCTGCATTTACTCATAATTATGACACCAGCAGAACTAAACCTGAATCTGAGTTCAACTTTTTGTTATTTTTCTTTCTTTTTCCTTTTCTCCTACTCTTATTCCCACTTCTTCTCTTGCTCCTTTTGGCTCCATCCTTCTTCTCTCTCTCTCTTTAGGCGTCTCATCAGCTGCGGTTTCTGCGGGAGTGGGCAGTGTTTGGCCGGACATTGAGGAGGTCAGTGTGGGAGCTGCTCAGTGCTGCATTGGCTCTGCTAGTTCTGCTGCTGGCCTACTCGCACACGGGACACCTGGTAAGCACATGTGCTCTCAGAGCTGGAGGCTCTATTTGCTCTTAGCTTGTAAACTACACTGCATTAGACTAGTCTTCCTTCTCACTTTCACAATGTCCATTATGACCTTTGAGAACAAATCTCAGGGTCAGGCCATAACAGAAAATGAGAGTGGGCTCGCTCCCCAGACCTGCTGCCAGACCAAACATCGGACACCATTTAAATTAGCAAACTGCAGGTTTATTTAGACTTTGGAATTTTGCAAACGGCTAAACTGAATGGAAGTAATGGCTTTGGGGACGAGCATCTGCTAAAATAATAAACAAACACATCGAACGATTGCAAATCTAACTAAACTAAAATCAAAAGAAACAAAAAATACATATAGCTCTACTCTAACTCCCTCCTTTAAAACAGAAGGTGACCAAAACTAAATTTCACCCGTCCCCTACTTTTCCAGTGTTCACTAGAGTTTCACAAACTTTCAAACTTCACACACAAAGTGAAGCTAAGAGAGGTGTGAAGAGTGCCAGGTTGGCCTGAACAGGTGTTCTTCCAGGGGCGGCACAGTGGCGCAGTGGGTAGCGCTGTCACCTCACAGCAAGAATGGCCTGGGTTCGATTCCCGGCCGGGCGGCCAGGGTCGTTTCTGCGTGGGTTTCCTCCCACAGTCCAAAAACATGCAGTCAGGCCAATTGGACGTGCTAAATTGCCCCTAGAGGTGTGTGTGTTTGAATGTGTATGTCTGTCTGTCTGGCCTGCGATGGACTGGCAACCTGTCCAGGGTGTATCCTGCCTTCCGCCCAGTGACAGCTGGGATAGGCTCCAGCACCCCACCATGACCCAGAAGGATAAGCGGTTTAGACGATGGATGGATGGAAGGTGTTCTTTGTTCTTCCAGGTCGTGTCAAAGGGGAAAGAGCCCTGAATGTCTCCCAAGATGGTGGTTCAGCGACCTCTTATACTGCCAGGCGCCCCCGAGTGGCCAGTCATGTACTGTCACATAATACAACAACGGAAAAAACACAAAATGTCGTCAAACAGATACAAAAAAGGGCGCTTACGACCCGGGGTGGTAACAGAAACCAAACTAGAGTAGAATCTGATTTGAGAACATTCAAACAGTCAGCCCTATGAGCCAAAGGTCAACAACCGCATGAAGGAAGGTTCTCAGTGCCCTGTATTTTATATGTACTTGAATACCTTAATACTGTATTTTGTCTCTTATAGACTTGTATGTAAGTGTACTGACAACCAGTTGAGTTATAGATGTTCCCCCACCAGCATTATAGGTGAAGATTCAGGGCTCTTATGGATGCACAAATGCTTAATGCAGAGGCCCCTTAATTATGGTCTGTTTTTTTAAAGATAAATATTTACAAAAATACATGTTTAAAGAAAATACAAAAGCGGTGACAGATTTTTATGCAGAAGCCTCAACAACTAAATGTAACAAAAATTTTCAGACGATTTGATTTCAGTTTTTCAAAGAAATCTGCAGGGATGTTTTTCCACACCTCCAAAGTTCAGTCTTAGAAATTGGTTTGCATTTTGTGTTTCTCATGATTAAGTAATGCAAAACACATTCAGTGATTTTGAGATCTGGACCTTAGGGGTTTTTATTCCTCCCTCTCAAAGATGGAAGCTTTAAGTGCTGCTTATCTGATGGGAAGAGTTTTGGTGGTCTGCAGGGTCTTGCAGGTTGGTCTTATCCTCCTTATGCAAGTGGATTATATATTATATCTAATCTCCTTAGAAATAAAAATAAAAAAAAAGACTTATTTAATGATGTGACTGAAAATGAAATAAATAAAGATTGGTTTCTGACTTATATGAAAGACTTTTCTCCACGGCATCACATGCTCAGCTTTAGCAGGGGTGCCAACAACTATTGACGCAAGTTTAACAAAAGCTCAGAGTGCAGTGATCTAACTAGCGTCACTTCCTGCAGGTTTGAATTCAGTCTCTATTGAAAAGTTAGAGACTGTGTTAGAAACCTTGGCCCAGTCTGTTATACAACACCAACTTCACAGTGAAAGAATGGAATGAAAGTTCAAAGTCCAAAGTCGAGTTAAAGTACAGTTTTTTGTTATGTTCATTCCGCATATGCACAACAGAATTGACGTAGTGTTTGCCTGGTTTGCAGTGTTACATGAGACATGGACTGCAATTACACAACTCAAAGGGTAATTCAAATAAAAAAAGTGCTATACTGCGCATTCTAACACAAACACTGAACATTACAGAGTGCAAACACATTGAATATTACATACATATTACAACATAACACAAATACCCCACTGAATGACAAGTTACATAAATGAAGGTTAAAGGAGCACTATACGATTCTGGAGAACGACTGTTCATATTTGAACTCAACAGCAAAACAGACACAACCCTCCCTTCAGTGCTCCTTCAGAAGCTCCGCCCCCCACATTTGTGGATGCACATTGCCAAAGCCAACACGCCTTTTTAGATATTTGTGGCCATAAAACCCTTCGCAAACCTTGTACACACAAATACAATGATATACTATTAGAGTTAACAACCACACAGCAAGTAATGTAGCTAAAGTTAGCTAGGCTGTGGGTTAGCAAACTGTGGCTACAGTTGCGGCTGTGAAGCCAACCAGCTGCTATCATGAACATTCGCAAACAGGACAAAACAATACTGACCTATTGATTCAGTGATACAGCAAAAATGAGTTAATGTTACCCTCCTATCCAGCAGGAGCGACCTCCTCATCTATTTTCATGCATTTCAACTCTCAATGAAGCTTTTTGTTCAAATTTCTCTCATTCCACCTTAAAAGGTGCAGCAGCTAGACTACATTCCAGCACCTTAGCTTTTTGTTCAAATTTTCCCATTCCACCTTAAAAGGTGCAGCAGCTAGACTACATTCCAGTGCCCCAGCTTCTTGTTCAAATTTTCCCATTCCACCTTAAAAGGTGCAGCAGCTAGACTACATTCCAGCACCGCGGCTTCTTGTTCAAAATTTCCCGTTCCACCTTAAATTGTGCATGCTCGCTGTATGTGCGGTCACTGTCTGTGGAGGGCAAAACAAAATGTAAGGGGGGGCCGACGTTTCCACAGGGTGGGACTAACGTGCATGTGTGGCCGTCCCAGCTATGAAAACAAAAATCAGAGAAGCTCAGATTACACACACACAGAGGGGGCGTGACTTCATTCTCTGCTCAGAACGCCATTACACCACTGTGACTTTACAAAGAAAATAGTTGTTTGCCGCTATATTAATGTGTAAAACGTTGAATATATCACCCTTAAAGTGACAGTTTTAGGGAGATAAGTAGATCATTCTGAATCACAAGTTGAGATGGTGTAGAAATTGTCCGATTGTCTCTCTGACTCGTTGAAGGGCCTGATGGATGTGAATTACTACTCTGCAGCTTGCATCATCTCAAAGGGAACAGGTCTAATTAAGTAGTCAAGGTCAAGCCATTACCTCAAGTGCCTTACGGCCACTCTTCCGCAGTCTCTTTGTGTCTTTCATCTTTTTAGTCTGTGCTGTTTGTCATTCTGTTTAGAACACCTAATTAACCATTTGGAAAGAAGTATTCATATTGAAAAAACTTACTTTCCCTCTCTCTAGCTTTTCCACTCCATCCTAGAAGGCTATGGAACAGTTAGCTCCGCCTGCTTGTCATTGCTGGGCTCTGGAAGCCGTGGACTCTTGTCATGGAGACCAGGCGAAGACTCCTCCTCCTCCTGCTCCGCTACCTGTTTCGTGTTTCACATCAGCTTTGCAGTGCTGCGTCTTGTCTTGCTGTGGCTGGTGACCTCAGTATTGCTAAGGAATTATCACAGGGTGAGGGCGGAGCTGTACCAGCCAGCGGTGGACCTGCAGGATTATGAGATGGTGGAGCTGTTCCTACGACGCCTCAAGATGTGGATGGGCCTCAGTCGCACTAAAGAGGTGTGTATATGGTTCGCACAATTGCTTGCTTCATATCACTACTACCTTTTCTTTACATGACCTCAGTTCAAATTCAGGACCCTGAAGGTGGAAAATTTCTTATGACAGGAATAAGGCTACACAATATTATGACCACCAAAAACAGGTGGAAGAAGGGGATGGAAGAGTTGATTAGAATGCACTTTGGATAAATTCTTCCCCTCACTTATCTGATTATTTTTATCTACTTGAATCTGAAAGTTTTCCCATTACATCCATCTAGTTTACTACTCAAAAGCCCTAACCATTGTAGTGCCTGAACAGAAACAGAGACAGAGTCGTTTAGTATTCAACATCAACTGATACTAACCATTTGGTGTTTTGCCCCTACCTCCACAGTTCCGACACAAGGTGCGCTTCGAGGGAATGGAGCTTCCGCCATCCCGCTCCTCATCTACCAGCGATTGTAAGTCCTTGTGCCTGCCTCCTCTGGACACCCCCGAGGCTCCCCCAACCCCTGACAGTGTGGACTGCGGTTCTGAGGCTTCCTGGCGCCCAGCGTCCAGCAGCCCCTGCAGCCTGGTTGAGGCTCCCGGGCTTGGGTTGGGTCTCAGTTTAGGCCTGGGGGTGGTGGTAGGAGGTCAGACCTGGAGAGAACGGGCAGAAACCGAGGCAACCCTTCGAAGGGTCCTGCCAGCCTTTGATGCTTTGCTGCTGCAGCTGGACAGGGTTACCCAAGCGACGGAAGAACTGTACCGCACCGAGTGCCGGCTAGAGAAAGTCCAAAGGAAGAGCCGGGGGCGCACCAGTGGAAGTCTGGACTCTGCAGGACAGAGGAAACACAGCAGGGGACACAAGGGGTCCCAGACAAAAGGGCACAGGCACTCCCACAAAGAAAGGAGCAAAAGCCCCCACAAAGCTGAAAGGAGAACCTCTGACAAGGTTTGCAGAAATGACAAAAGTTCTCACAAAACTGATAAGGCCCTCCGCAAGGGAGATACTTTGGCATCAGGTCCTCAACAAGACTTGCTGCCAAAGGATGCAAGTCCCCAAAGGATTGATATGGGTCCTAATAAAGCACAAGCAAGTTCTGACATGGATGCACATGCCAGTAAGACTGAAAAAAATTCTTACAAGGATCACAAGCTGGATTTAGGTCCCCTCAAGGTAGAAGAAAGTGCCATCAAGGCAGAAGCAAGTGTAGGCACGGCAGAATCAACAGCCCACAAGACTGCCAAAAGTCCTCATAAGTCGGTCTTGAACATCATAAAAGATTCAGAAACTGCTGGCTGTGCCAGCAAAACGATGCCCCCTCCAACACCAATACCCACTCCAAATAGTGCCCCTTCTTCTACCCCAGGCTCAGCTATTGCAACCCCAGTCCCAATCCCTCGTGCCCTTGAATGGTTCCCACTTAGCAATCGTGAGGAACTTCCCTCCAGCCTCTTCCATCATCCAGCACACACCACCACTATGCCCACACGCAAACGCAAGCACAAACCCCCACCACTGAAAAACAAGGTCCATCCTAACACAGACAGGCCTATCTCAGGACACCCCAAACCTTGAGGACCCAAGGATTCCATTTGCTGGTACATTGGAAAGAAGATCATGTAAGATTGAAATCAGGTGATTAAGACAATAAAAATAGCAACTATTGGTGGCGTAGCTGAGGGTTCGCTCTCATCTGTTGTTGAAAGGGAGGATACTGGTGACAGCAGGTTTTGTTACCAGCTCCTTATGGAAAACTGAAAATGTTGGAACTACTTTCTTTACCACAGTGTACATGATTTAAAAAATATCCCAGTCAATCCCAGAGCAGTTGCGATTTGGCTTGTAAGACTGGGATATATAATCTCATAGTACTACACAGTTAGCAAAGAGGTGCTGGTCACCCTTTCGATTTTACCCGCAACAAATTCTGCTAGCCTCAGATCCCTCCCCTTAAGTCCTTCCCTTTGAATGACCTCAGTCCAGCCCTTTGACCCTGGCGGTCAAATGGGTTAAAACCGACAAGAGCACAACTTGTGCTGTCGTTGCATCAAAATGAACTCACAGAAGTGGCAGGAAGTGACATCATGAGACTGTAGTGCAAGTCTGTTATATAGTGAAGATGTCTTACAGTATTTGAGTTGTGTCGAGTTATGTATTATGTGAGCAATGTTTTGTGATGTTTTGATTAATATTTTTTTGATGTATCAAAGAAGGAAGCTATTGCAAGGTAATGGGCGTAAGTTTGGCCCATCAGTGCGGTCTATTCAGAAGCTGAAATATCATGCGCACACACACACACACACACACACAAACATATATATATATAAAATATATATATATACACACATAGACTAACATATCAGCATTAAGCAAATAGATCTATGCTTGCAGGTACTTATGCATAATGCATGCTTCTTATCGTACAGGTACACACATGCAATTTCTACACACAAATATGTCTGTAAAGGCTATCAGGGTGCTAAAATATCAGCAAGCCTTCACTGTTCAAAACTGCCCTTTTATTGACCCATCCATGCACTGCCAACAAGTCAGTCCTTGCTTTGCAACTGTTGCTAGGTTGGACACACTTTACACAACGGCCAAATACTATTCCGCCTAATGAGAAACTGTAGTGAATGTTGCTGAGACTCCAGTTTAAAATGCTAGAGTACTGAGCTGAACCGTGTTGAGGCTAACAAAGCAAGATAGGTCAGAAACAACAACGAAAAGTCACACTTTATTTTGATGGTCACCCACAGATTATCTGCAGGTGCGCAAAGTGTTAACAGTCTAGTGAAACTCAGTTCATAGTCAGCAGTTTTAGGGTGTTTTTACACTAGAGCTGTTTTCTGGTCCGCTTGGTCCGTGAGTTCACGTTCGGTCAAGTGTGAAAGCTGTTTTTGAGCCTGGGAGTGGTCCAGAGAACCAATGGCTGGTCCTCCTGAAATTGGGGGTCCGGGGGTCACTTCCAGTTCACTTCCGAACTCTTGTGCGACCCGCTGCGCATGTGGAAGCTATCCACTCCTGGCGCCGCATGTGGGGTTACATGATTGGTTGATTTTGTAACTGGTTCAGTTTAATGTGTTTGGTTTCATTATGGTGGGAAAGGATTGTTGTAAACAAAAGCGCTGAAGTTCACCGCTTGAATGTTTGTACACAAACAAATAGTAAAAAGCAGCGAATGGATGAAGCGATTGCCGACCATTGTGGAGAGAGTTGCAGAGAAGTGACGTAAGGAGTTGTGCAGTCGATCCACGGTTTGAATAAAACTCGTGTGTGAAAGCAAACCAGCAATAAAGAGCCCCTCCTCCAAACAAGGCCAAAATCGGTCCTGGTATTCCGGACAAGTGTGAAAACGTCCTTAATGTTAGTGTCAGGTTTAAATGTTAATGTTAAAGTCAAGTTTAGGATTTAGGTTTTGTGTTGAAGTTTAAGTTTTGGTTTAGAGCTGAAAGTTAGGTTTGAGTTCAGGGTAGATTTAAGAGAGTCTGTTACATCCACCTTAAAGTTCAGTTACTTTTACATTTACATTTACAGCATTTAGCAGACGCTCTTAGCCAGAGCGACTTAAAAAAGTGTTTTGTTGTCCACTCAGAGAAAGTATCTTTGCTAGTTACAAATAGGTTAGAAAGAAAGTTAGTCCTGAGCTCAGATACTGCTAGAGAACAGAAAGTCCATGTTGATACAGAGAGAAAAGGAGCCTTATTAAACAGCGCAATACATTTCAGTGAGTACTAAATTAGTGCTCACTTAAGTGCTGTAAAAAGAGACGTGCCTTCAATCTGTGTTTGAAGACCGTGAGAGACTCTGTTCGGCCAGGCATTGGGAGTTCGTTCCACCACCTGGGTGCCACGACAGAGAAAAGTCTTGAAGGATGGCGGGTCGAGCTGAGCTGTACTTGAAGCTCGAAGGGCTCGAGGTACAGTTCGAGTTTTGACCATTGCCATTATGTGGGGGAGGGGCTGGTGCGTTTTTGGCTTTATAGGAATCGGGGTTTTAAATCTGATGTGTGCAGCTACAGGGAGCCAGTGAAGGGAGCGCAGCAGTGGGGTGACGTGGCTGAACTTAGGAAGATTGAAGAGGAGTTGTGCTGCTGCATTCTGGATGAGTTGCAGAGGCTTGATGGTCCACATAGGAAGACCAGCCAAGAGCGAGTTGCAGTAGTCAAGCCTTGAGATGATGAGACTGAACTAACTAAAAGGTGGTTGGTGTAGTGTAGTGGGTAACACCTCTGCCTTCTGCGCTGTAGACTGAGGTTCAATCCCTGCCTGGGTAAACACCCTACACTATACCAGTAAGAGTCCTTGGGCAAGACTCCCAACACTACCTTCACCTACCTGTGTAAAATGATCAAACTGTAAGTTGCTCTGGATACGAGCGTCTGCTAAATTCCGTAAATGTAAATGAACGAGCACCTGGGTGGCCTCTTGTATTTATGTAGTTGAATGTAAGTTAAAGTGAGCTGACCATCTCCAAAGCCTCTACAGTGGACCCTCAAAGTAGTGTTACCTGCTGAATTTGCCACCATGACAACGTTAGCTTGATTAAATAACTACAGCCGATCTGTCCCAACAGTGTGACCTCACGTACATAGACACTCTAAATGGAGGTGTTTGGACTAAACTGAGTTTTAGTAACAGGTTTTATGCTAACGTTCTTTAAAGGTTCTCAAGCCTAGCAACAGTTGCTACAAAACAATGCATTTGTGGGCGGAGCATGGACAGAGTGCTGAACTCCTTCATTTAAAGTCCATTCCAGCGTTGTAGAGGTGTAGGAAATGTAAAGGACTCGAGTCAGAGTGAAAGCGAAAGAGCTGAGGGTGAGAAAGTTGAAGAAGTGAGCAAGAGTTAGACATAGAAGAAAGGCAGGGAAGAAAGACCTGGGTTAGAGAAGAAGGTCTAGAATGAAAACCGAGAGGACGACGGAGGAAAAGAAAGGGAAAAATGAAGTGGTAACCGATGAAAGAAGGGTTAATCTCATAAAAGGACCAATCTCACTTTCCTCTGTTCACGTCACGAGTCGTTACTATCAGGAACACATTATAATGCATTATTAATTGTAATAATTGTTACTTTCAAAATGTTTTTAAATCTTATTTAAAGAAGCACTTTGTAGTGATGTATGTAAGTGATTGCTTAAGAGAGTGAATGTGAGTTGTTTGTTTTTTTTTCAAAAAGTAAGTAAAATAAGCTTGGTACGAAAATCAAATGAGATCGCTTCCAGAACATTACTCTCTGTATAGGTCTGCCAAAGCTTGCTCTTCATTTAAGCATCCAGAGATTTATTTTAACTAAAAGAAGAAGTGTGTTTCTTTTATACGTAGCACTTTATTTCAGTGTTAAGCTTTTACGCTATGCCATATTTAAGACGTCGCGTGTAACGTCGATTGTTTCTCCCGTTCCCTTGCTAGAACATCTATGTAGAACTATTCACTTTGAGTATTTTACATCAGGAAACAGATCTAACTAGCATTTATTTGTCGTTGTAAGTTGTTTATGCAATGTTTCCTGGAAAGTACTAATAATGACCCATAAACTTGTTTACCATGGTGATGCTCAGGGACCCTTGAAAGAACCCAAACCAGGATGATTTTGTAATTTTTTTTAACGTTTCTATGTTCGTTTGTCTCCTACAGGACACGTGAAGGTCTCGTAATGCAAAAAGTACTAAAAATCTTTTTAGATGGCTTTTACCAAAGCAGCAAAGAGCAAAACAGAGCAATGAAGTTCAGACCTTCCTCATTTAACGGCAACAGAATGATGTTTTCCGTCCAGTCCAGTCGTCTTCGAGTCTTTAAGCAGCGTCTGTTTGTACATATTGATGTGCCCTGATGTAAATACTGCTTAATGTACCTCTTTTCTCCACGTTTGCTCTAAAATAATCTGCACTGACCACACTGTTTTATTTTCACTCAGACTTCACAACATAAACTGCAGTATTTTCAGAACAACCTCATGTCGCTAAAGGAGTTTATCTTTGGTTTCAGTTGCGTTGAAACGTGTTTTAACAGTTCGTCATCGAACACGAATGAAGTTTGCTAGCTTGTTTCGCTAACATGCTAATAGTAAGTGTATGTCTTCGAGGTTGTGTGTTGGGTAAACTGAGATTTGTTGTAAAAAAAATAAATTCACAAGTGCCAAAGCTGATTTGCATGCTGAGAAATATTTTTGCATTAAATGAAGGTAATTTTGTTCATTGCAGCCATTGTGGCGACGTCTTTCTGTGCTTTATTTTATCGTGCCGCTGTATTTTATGTCTGTAGCACTTCGCCTAAAATGCTTTTGCACTTGACAAAGTCAAATAAAAAGTTTGACAGCTAAGATCTTCTGTTTGTATTTTAATTGTTTGTTTGAATAAATGCTTTAAAACATTACAGGGGCTTCATTTGTTGTTCATTTTAAGATGTAAACAGTCATTCAGAGTGGTTTGGTGTGAAACGCTCTGTTCTAGAGAGACTTAGCGAGTCAGAATGGTTCACAGTGGTGGTGATGGGAACCAGACGTCTGAAGAGTTTAATGCCTCTTAAAGCTCCATCACAGAAAGTTATTACAGGACATGGTTATAAATCCACTGCCTGATGTCTGAGACTCTGTTTTACAGTAGTTGTGAGGTTTTGGCACCTGCAGTACAATTTGGACAGCAAAGTAGCTGCCAAAGTGTTTTTTTCTTCATATTTCTTTCTATTTTACCATCATCATTACATATAAAAACTCAGAAGGCTTGTGTGGGTTCACTGGTGGTGTTAGACAGTAAAATGGCTGTATTTGTGTTGTAGACATTGTGACGTCTGGTTTCATATCAGCACCACTGTGAAGCAATCTGAGTTTTTCTAGAATGGAGCATTTCGCATCAAACCACTCTGTCTGACTTCACATCTCAATGACTGGATTATGTATTAAGAAAAAAATATATATATATATATATATAGGTGGAATTCACCTTTAAGCAAACCATTTTTAATATTTAAATAAGACCAACTCATTAAATACCAATAAAATAAAGTGAAATAAATAAAATTACGAACCAAATTCTCGCCATTGCATCATTTTATTCAAACACAGACAAGCAAAAACATCTTGGTTTACAAAGGATTTAGTGTTTATTCGTTCTTTCAGCCATTTGAACAGAATCAATGGATTCACAAAAACTCTCACACACCTTTGCTGATGGATGGGCAAATAATACAGTAAATATTTGGATAATGGGTTTAATATTAGGTTTAGAGACTTGGCTTTTTTCAGATGAGGTCAAGTACAGTTTTGTGTTGTCCACTCTTAAGTGTTCACCTTCAGTACCGCCATCTCTGCTATATTTCCTCTCCGCTGAAATCCTTTAATCCACTGAATGAGTCTTAAAATAAGCTTCATTTACACCCAGAAAACTGGATGAAATCTTATCAATTCTGCTTCTAACAGAAATCAATTGATCGCTCAATCGATCGTCACTGAGGCTCATGACTGGGACACCTGGTTACTAAAGCTGATTCTGATGCCTGTTACGATCCACTGATTTCCACAACTAATCTTATATTTTTAATGTATCGTCGGAAGAAAACCTTGTATCTCCATTTTTGTCGTTTTTCACTTTTTGACAATTTGGAAAATGCCTGTTCCTCTTTACACTGTACGTAAATTTCATGATGAATGGACTAAAAGAAACGGCCCAAAATTACTTGGGAAAACGTCTGGTTCCATTGACTTACATTAAAAGTAAAGCAGGTTTTTCCTTCTCCTGTAAAGTTACCGTTTTGGAGATAAGAGGTTTTGTTCTGACAACAGCGAAGTGTTATATTTAAACATTTGCTTATGCTGCATTGGCACTAGTGCACTCTGTGTGTGTGTTTGGGGGGGGGTTAGTTGTGCAAATACACACTTTCATTCGTACATCAGCACACAAACAAAAACTCATAAAAGCTAAAAGCCATCTCACCGATCAGCAGAGCAGCGCATCAATCAGTTAAGCTAACACTACCAAGAAAAGCGTGCGCGTCTGAAGAAGGAAATACTGTGAACTAAACAGACACTAAGGTTCCGTTCCAATACCTTAACGTGCCCCGACACCCCACTCGAAAGTGCACTGACACAAGAGGCCACTGAGCTAGGTTAGTAACGCAGAACGTTTTTGAGAAGTTTGAATGTGACACACAAAATATGTGAATAACTGCTTTATTGAGGCTTTAGAAACGCGGTGCATCACCGTTTTTGTTAGCTGCGTAGCTAACCAGCAAGCTAGCAGGGTAAACTGAGCTGTATCGGTGGGCGTGTCTAAGAGATGGAGTAGCAAATCAAATGTTTAACAAACTTCAACTCAGCTCAGAGAAAGGGCCCTTAAATGGCGTCAGGGATCCCCCAGATGGGAAATGAGGCCAGGTGCACGAGGGCGTCAGAACCGGTACTGAAACGGAGGTGTTAAGGTGCTCCAGGTAAACGTAGTGAAGTCCTTTTGGCAAACGTGAGAAAGCAGAAGAGAGTAAGAACCACAGTGTAAGAGTGTTTGTGTGAATTCATTCAGGTGTGTTAGCAAGAGTGCTACATGAGAAGCGATACGAGAGGTCAGAGCAATTTTATAGATTTTAGAGGGTTAAAAATAAGTTATTCTGTTTTAAAACACTTTGAAATCGATCAGGTTGAGGCAGAGGTGCTTAAAACAGCCTTTCAGAAATGGATTAATCTGCTTCAAATAAGCAGGCAATGTGTACAATTCATGGCTGAATTTATTGATAATAATAATAATAATAATAATAATAGATTGAAATTTGGCCCTTCCATTCATCGGATGACTGAGGAAGGAAGGTCAGGGGGTTGGTTTGAGAGAAAAGGCTCAAAAGAAGAATCTTTTCAAACGAAATCGGTGAAATCGTCCACTGTAGACACTAGCCGCTTCCTTTGGCCGGAGTCAGTTGTAGAGGCGGGGCCTGATGGCTGGTGGGTGGCTTTGTTTTGCATTGGGCCGTGGCTCTGCGTGAGGGAGATACCAGGCGTTGGGCGAGACTGGATCTCCTCTTGAGCCTGGAATGTAGAGGGGAAAAATACGTAATATTCAAGAAATGGTTTAGCAGTACAGGACCTTTGTCCAGTTTCCCTCCCTCACAGCAAAAGTAGTCAATCAGTGTCTAAATCAGGGGCCCAATCCTGGTCCTGGAGATCTACCACCCTGAGGGGTTCAGATCCAACACACCTGGCTCTAATGCTCAGATGGCCTTCGACACCTGGATCAGGGGTGTTTGATTAGGGCTGGATCTAAACTGTGCAGGGTGGTGGATCTCCAGGACCAGGATTGGGCAACC